GGGTACTTGGGTGTTTTGTCTCCCTCGTTTACCTTAGGGTAAGAGGCAGTTTTTGCACTGGTAGGGGTGCAGGGTGCTGCACAGCTAGTTGTCACCTATCACAGCGGCCGGCTCTGTTCCTTGGGGTACATTGTCCTCTTGTGGGGATTTTGTTTCTCTTTTTGTTCTTGCCTAGGTAGGGGGTTCTGCCTTACTTGCCACTGGTGTTTGGCCTCACCCTGATACTTGGTGGTGCCCTCTGCTTGGTCCCCGTGAGTGTACACGTCCCTGGGGTTCAGCTTTAGTCTGTTTGGTTGGTAGTTTTTGAGCGCCGGTTAGCAGTACCCTGCCTGGGTTTACCTGGGCGCGAATCCTCTTATAGTAAATGCTCGGACCCTGGGAATCCCCTAAGGGACGCGTGGGTCCGATGGATGTGACCCCCCTCTCTCTTCATGCGAGTTTGAGGGTTGTTCGGTTTCCTTGTCTCAGGGTGACCCTCACTGTTTTTGCCTCCGTCATGCAGCCTGTTGGGTTGGTGACACTTTCGAACCCGAGTCTTGTGAGTACTGCTGCTTGCTGGTGACTCAATGTACCCGATCTGTGGATGATCATCTTATAGTACAGGCTGTGCGGGTGTTGCATTCTAGGTTTCATTTGTTGCAACGCGCTAGGTTAGTTGCTCACTGGGATGCCCCGTGGCTGCCTTGTTTTGCTTATAGGGACTCGGACTTGGGGGTGGGGGTCGCTTCGACCCTGGTTCAGTCCGCACCTCCTAGTCCTTCCCATCCTGTTGTTCGTTCTGGCCCCGAAACGTCTGAGGGTTTCGGAGCCGGAGCTGGGGTTAGTTGGTCTTGAGACTCGGGCAGCCTCGAGGGATGCCCCTTCCGGTGTGGCGACGGAAGCATTCGAGTCTCCTTCCTAGACAGAAGCCTCTGGGTCTGACCAGTGGGCCTCATTCTATCCGGCTTCTACGTCTGCGCCGGCCTTGTCTGTTAGGGTCGGTGCTTGTGGGAAGGACTCGGCCCCGGGTCCTGCGGAGGAGGACCCTGGGGCTGGGGAGGGGCTGGCTTGGGGGCCTTGGGCTCCACTGGACCCCACCTGGGTTTTTCTGCCCTCTGAGCGGAGCTTACTGTTACAAGGAGTGGGGTTTTCTTTTCCCCCCTCTCCGTACGAGTTGGACTTGGTGTCTGCCCCCTCCCTGCTTCGGTTCCGTCTTTCCGGAGGTTTTCGGCTTATCGCATCTAACCTGCTGAGGTGCAGGCGGCTCTTGCAGCAAACCTCCTGCGTGACCCAGATTGTGCCTCGGCAATGGATCCCTCGGCTTTCAGGTTTGTGATTTTGTTCCCTTTCTGGCTCCGTTACGAGGTTCCGGAGTCTTCCTGACTGGCGGACTGTCCTGTCCTTGCTTTGGAGGCTTGGCACTCCTTCTGCCGTTCCCGCACGCTTGAGTGGCGGGAGGTTTCTACGGTGCTTCAGGTTTTCCTGGGGGGGGGGCGACCTTGAACACCTCAATGAGTGCTTGTTTGCTCCTGCCCTTACCCGGGATGTTGGTGTTGTTCAGGCTCCATGTCGAGTTTATCATCATCTTTATGTTGGTCAGGTGGCTTCCTTATTAGTGTCCCACCTGCAGGCTTCATCTTGGCGGCAGTATGAAGTTTCCTGGCGGTCCTTCCGGTTCTTCTTGCATCTTCGTCGTTATGCTTCGCTTTCTGTTAGGGTGGTGTTGTCCTTTCTCTCTTGGTTGTTCCAGGACCGTCTCCTTATGCCTAACACTGTCGCCTCGTATCATGCGGCGCTGGCGGAGCCGCTGCAGCTTCCTTTCGGTATTGATGTCACGTCTGCGCCGTTTCACAAGCTGTCTCGGGTGTTGTTTCACCTCCGGCCTGCTCATGCACCGCCTGAGCCGTCCTGGTCATTGGACAGGGTGCTCTCTTTTCTTTCTTCTCCTAGTTTTGTTGTGGCCCCTATGGTTCTGGATTGTTTTTCAAAGGCTCTTTTCCTGTTGGCATTGGCCTCTGGGGGTCGGGTTGGTGAGCTTCATGCTCTCCTCCGGCGCAGAGGTTTCTGCTCTTTCGGTCAGGGTGATCATTTTGTTCGTCTGCAGCCTTCTCCTTCTTTTCTGGCGAAGAATGAGACTGCTGCTTTCTGGAGGGGTCCCTGGGTTGTTGATGCTTGGTTGGTTAGGCCGGGGGAGCATCATGTTTTGTGTCCGGTTGCAGCTCTCCACCGTTATTTGTGCACCACGGCTTCTGTATCCATGGACGCACTTTGGGTTGATTCGGTTTCCCTTCTTCCCTGTTCGGGGGTGCGGGTCTCCCAGGTCGTCCGCAGGTTAATTAAGTCTAGCCAGCCTGCGGTCTATTCCCGTGCCCATGATGTCCGCAAGTTCGCGGCTCTTGCTGCCATCTTTTGAAATATGTCCTGGGCTGACATTCGGGTGCGGGGATATTGGAGGTCGAACAGGGTCCTGGCTGCTCGTTACCTTGTAAACATTCCTGGGCCCAGTCGGGTTGTGTCGCTTTGGGTCGGCGGATGCAGCCAGCTGTCTCGACTTTGCGTTGAGGAGTGAGCGGCAACTGCCTCTCGGGTAAGTCCCTATTCTCTTATCTCTGTGGGTAGTTAACTCCGGGGAGCCATAGGGGCTCCCCCCAGAAAACCAGCGTTGAATGTAATGAAACGCCATTTTCTGGTTGAGTCCCGAAGGCTCCCCGGCATCCCTCCCTCCCTCCAGTCGGCAGTTTTTTGCATGTTTTGACATCCAGCCTCAGAACTGGGGTGTGGGTCGCTGGCGTGGTGGGTCTGGGGCTACCCCTTCCCCCTCCCGGGGAGGGGGGAACTGCGCAGACAGCGGCGCGATGACGGGTGACGTCATACTAGTTTGCTCGTTTTCGTTTGGGGAGTTCTATCCACTCGTTCGGTCTTTGGTTGCAATTTTCACCAGAATAAGGGTTTGTTTTGGAACGCCTACCTTTCTGGGTGCTTAACCCGGTCAATGGCAGACATAAAATGCTTCCAATCACACAGGGGTTCTATAGGCCATTGCTCCCCTTGCCTCTCTAGAGGGGGGCCAGGTTCTGGCTCGTGGTCCCCGGTAGGCCCACAAGAACTCCATACACATGACTGATGCCAAAGTCTGACATTAGCATATCAGCCTAGTAAGCTCCGGGGAGCCTCCGGGACTCGCCCAGAAAATGGCGTTTCATTACATTCAACGCTGGTTTTTTCCAGCCAAAGATCAGGGTTCTTTGAGTCATTTCTTGCCAGGCTTTGTCAACGAGTTTTAAAGCACTACAAATGTTAAAATGGTGTTTCCAGAACTCTTTGAGGGTGAGGTTTGTGGCTTCAGTCACTTCAGAACATTTCCGGAAAAGTGCCCTTTCATAAAGTTTCTTAAAATTCGCTATGATTTTCTGGTCCATAGGCTCAATTAGAAAAGTGGTGTTTGGAGGAAGGAACTTTACTGTGAGAAAATTACTGTATCTGTTCAACAATGCATCTTCCAAGCCTGGAGAGTGAGCAGGAGCATTGTCGAGAAGCAGGACCTTGAGTGGCAAATTTTTCTCCTGCAGATATTTTTGTATGGCAGGGCACACCACATCATTCACTCCGTAAAAAAAAATCCTAGTCTCCCATGACTAGCCATTACTGACACCCATTATTAATGACACCCATTATTAATGACACCCATTATTAGCCCTCCACATCACACACATTTGCTTTTTCTGCACACCATACTTTTTGAAAACTCTTGGATTTTCAGAATGATTCACAAGCAAGGGTTTAATTTTCAAATCGCCACTCGCATTTCCACACAGTACAAGTGTAAACCTATGCTTGTGTCCGGGCAATGATTTTTCCTCCTTGGTAATGTATGTCCTCTTAGGCAATCTTTTCCAGAACAATCCTGTCTCGTCACAAACACTTGTTGCGGTAGGTATCCCTCAGCCTGTACAAACTCTTTAAATTCAATAAATCTTTCAGCCGCTGGTTTGTCTGAGCTGGCAGCTTCCTCATGCCTCGCAACACTATGAATACCACTCCTTTTTTTTAAATTTGTCAAACCATCCCCTGCTTGCCTTAAAGTCTATCGTATCTGCACCCGTTCTAGGGGGTTTTCTTTACAAGGTCTTCGTGCAATACCCTGGCTTTCTCACAAATGATGGCCTCTGAAACACTATCACCCGCTAACTCCTTATTATTGTGTATCCAAATTAATAACAACTTTTCCACATTCTCAAGTATTTGTAGTCTTTGTTCGTGATTGTTGATACGCCTTTTGCACTTTAGCACTCATAATGTCCTTTTTCTTGGCAAGTATAGTGCATGTCGTTGATGTGGATTTGTTGTGCTGCCTAACTAGTTCAACAACACGAGTACCATTTTCATGCTTCCGAATGATCTCTTATTTTTCATCTGTTGTCATCCTCATGTGCGATTTCTTGCCTTGAACCTTACTTGGGTTTCTTGGGACCCATGGCGAGATATATAACAACTACTTTTATGCTCAAATGGCCAAAAATCCGACAAAAAACAGTAAATCCTTGTGAAGAATTCAGGCGGGATAGTCACTGGGCGTGAGGCACTGGTAAACTGAGGCCCGATCTCCGTGCCACCACACGTTAGGTCGGCCCATACGCGTATCAACAAACTTGTAACCCGATGCAATGCTCGTATCCCAATGCATATTTTCTAGATAAATCAGGCTCATAACCCGAAAAACTCGTAAACAGGGACGCTTGTAACTCAAGGTTCCACTGTATACAAGAAATACTATTTCAAGAAAGTGATGATACAATCAGTATTTCTATAATGAGTTGATACAGTAATTTTATAGCAAAGAACAGTCACATTAAATTTGTTAAGTTTATCTTTGGCAACCTTATGGTAAGTAATTGTACATTTTACACTGGGACCTCTTGAAATTTTAACTTACAGACCCCAGGTTGGGAACTGTTGATCTAGAATACTGTATATAAAATATGCCCAATTTATTTTAATCAAGCAGTTCTATTTGTTCCCAGGCCCATGTTCTTCTGATCTGCAAGAAGTGTCTCCTGATGTGGCATATTTGGCTCATTATACTTTAGGAACTTGTGGAGAAAAGTGCAAGAATCAAGATTACATGCGTGAGGAGCCAGCTATTCTGAAGAACGTTGACGTTGTTAAAGCTGCAGTAAAAAACGTCCTAGAAACAATTGGGATCTTATAACAAACTGTGATATTTTGATTAGTATGTGTACTTAGATATGCTAAATCTTTTTGAGTGTGCATATAGTTTTTAATAGAGATGTTGTATTCGTAAATTTTGTTCTGATAGTTTAGTTCATTTATTATGAACCCCATACCCATCTTGTGGGCTGTAGTGGAGAGAGTTACAGAGGTACATAATGGGTTCATGGACTGAACCCCACAATTCATTTAGTTAAGCCAGTTACAATCTTGATGAGCTAGTTACAAAATTCAATATATGTTGTCACATCAACAATGGGTTTGAGATCAACCTAAAGTACAGTTTCTAAATTAAGCAACTGACATACTGTATGTGGAGAGCTAGTGTCACAATTTTTATGTTTGCCCTGCACACCGCCCCTCCATCCAGTGGGCAGCGGTGGATAGGTTATAATCATTTAACTACTACCCACAGTTAGCAAACTAGGAATATTTGGCTAAAATTTCTGGTAGCAGATCATTTTGAATAAAATATTTGCACATCTTTAGAACATTTGTTATAGAATTGTCTCTAAATTCACGTATCTTTTCACACTCCATCACATAGTGATGGAGTGTGTGTACCTAACCTACACATGGAGTGTGTAACCTAACCTAACCTTCCACCCTAACCTAACCACCGAATAATTTTGTTGACACAGTTTACATTTGGTCAGGTCTACATCAGCAGATAATGAGAATTCCCAGAGATACATGTAATCGAGTCTAAGACGAGCAGTAGTAACATCTAGAAGTCTGCTGATTTCATTGGATGATCCATAGATGTGTAGCTCCTCTTGCATGATAGTATGATGATAGATGGAATTACTGGTGTCGATTTCACTTTGCCTCAGATCTACAAGATTTTGTTGAAGTACTTGATGTACTATTGCTCTCAGACTGTTTATTGACAAACCAAGGTTATACTCAATTTCTCCTTTAAAGGCAGATTCTTTGGCTAACTCATCAGCTCTTATCATGCATTCGGAGGTCAACATGAGATGGAGTCCACATGAAATGGACTCTATTACCATCATTAATAATTTTGTTGTATTTGTGTCTAGCTTCAGACACGAGCATGTTACAGTTATGTCTTAAAGAGTTGAGAGCAATTAAGGATGATAGTCACTTATAATTAATGTATCAAGTTTGGAGACTTGTCCACATTTCAGTGCAAGAAGGAAGGCAAATAGTTCGGTCTGGAGTGTAGAGGCCCAGTTGTTTATATATGGACTCCCCACTCAAGATATCGGCCATCTCCCATTGTCAGGACAACTGTACTTCCAGCTGCACCCATGGGGCAGTGTGGGGAACCATCAGTGTGTATGATTTGAGAGAAAGAATGCTGTGTGGACAGAGCATCAATGTGGTTTAAGGCATTGAGCTTTGCCTCAAGACAAAGCTTGGGCTGATCTCTGATTTGCTTCTTGGGTGGAAAGGGAGGGATTAAAATTGGAAAGGGTGTAATCTCCCACGATGCAGGAAAGTGCCGTTGTTGTCTCTTTTGGTACAAATTATAAATCTGATACATTCTGAGTTCAGTTCCAGTTTTAGTTATCCATTTGGAACATTGTTGACCTTCAATAAAGAAATTTTGGAGGGTTTCTGTGCAAGGGATTAGGATGAGTTAGCCTAAGTATTTTTCTACCAATTTGACAGTTAATTTCAGTACAAGTACATTAAATTATGGTTCTCAGCAAACATGTTTTTCTGTACTAGTACATGGTTTTCTTATTATACCTTAAACAAAATTAAAGTGCCTGCTGAGAAGATGCTTGTTAGTAATATATGCAGTAGGCCCTAGCTTATATGAGGGATGTATTCTAAAATATAAAATGTATGAAGTTCAATTAAAAGCTCATCACTTGCATTGTGCTCACATAGATTTTCATCTTGCTAAAGAAGCAAAATGATGAAAAATATTAGAAAGTTATCTTTTCTGTGGGGAGCCCCTACAGCTCCCTGGAGCTTATCAAGCTAATGTATGTTATATTAGACCGAAACATTAGCTAAGGAGTTCAGACCTACCAGGGACCAGCGCCAGAACCTGGCCCCCTTCAGAGAGGTTTCAGCGAGCAATGGCCCTGGAAAATCCCCTTGTGGTTGGGGTTTTCTTTATCTGCCATCGACTGGGGTTAGGCACCCAGAAAGGTAGGCATAACAAAACATACCCCACATGGTAAAAAACAAACATAAAACTGAACAGAAAGGTAGAAACTCCCTACAATCCCAACTAAAGGTACTTCTGGGAACAAAATTCAAACTGCTCTTAACATACTTGGTACAACCTGTTACAAGATAAGCTTAGTTATAAATGCAAACAAAACCAAATATGAGTATAGGAAACGAAGAAATATAACACTTTAAATGGTGTGGAACTGAGCCGTGTTCAGAAGTAGAAGTATCTGAGCATGTATGTTGGATACACATGTAAGAGTAAAAATGCTGAAATAAATCATGTCAGCACCTTATGTAAAACCCGTCTGTATCCTCAAAAAGCATCGGTTACCAAGAGGAAACAGTTTACATGTATATTGTGATGGGTCGGTGGTGGAGGATGGCAGGGCAGGGTGTGGTGTCCTAATAAGAGAATATACGGAGTTTGGGACTGTGGACAGGAAAATTGAACTCCGACTTAGTAATTATATATCATCCACACAAGCTGAACTGCAGGCCATTCTGGCGTGTTTGGAGGAAGTACGTCATGAAGACAAAGATGTTTTTGTCTTTGTCGATAGCCGAGGAGCACTTGATGCCTTAAACAGTCGAAATCCAGTCTTCATGTCCATAGTTGAGGATTGTAAGAAAAGGATAACTGAGATACAGCTGAAAGGTCACAATGTGAAATCCTGCCCGAAACGCTTTGCGTAATAGTGACTTTTAGGCATTGTATGTACTAGCTCTATAAATCTATCAACGTTTTGTATCTCACCTTGTATGTATGTACTTTATCTGAATAAATATTTTTATTTGTATTTGTATGTGGATTCCATCTCATGTTGGAATAGTGCTCAGTGAGGTGGCGGATGAGTTGGCCAAACGTGCCACATCAAAACCACAAGTTGACATCGAATGTGAATTCACATTGAGACAAATAAGAAGCAAAATCAGAAATATTCAGGCACAGGCAGAAGTGGAGAGGAGAGGTATAATGTATGAGGGAAGTCAGATCATGCAACACTACATGTATGTAAGTCAAAACGCCCATTTCACTTGTGGTAAAAGGAGAAATGCTTGGAGTGATTGTCCACATGCGGCTCAGGCTTGGGTACAAATATTACTGGGAATACAGAATAACCACATGTGAAAAATAGAGAATGCTTAATGCATTTTCGGCTAATTCGCCTTCATCAGAGCAAAGTAGCTTCATTCTACTTTGCTCTGATGAAGGTGAATTAGCTGAAAACGGGTTAAGCATTCTCTATTTTTCACATGTGGTTATTCAGCATACTTGGATCATTGTTGCATTACTGGGAATATGGGATAGGTGTTCATGATAATGACATGAAGTGTAAACTATGTGGTATGTTGTTAAGGTCTCGCACCCTTGCCCATTATGTTCTTGATTGTCCGTTTATTAATGTATATAGAAACACTGAGATAAGGACTGTTCCTGAACAAATAGCCTGGATGTGTCACAACGGAAAGGTTGATGATATTCTGGAGAGAGATAAGAATTTTGCACCAAGACTGTAATCTTTTTTTTTAATTATCTGCATGTGTCTTGCAAATTGTCTATACAGTATACCTGTCATAAAAGTATGTGTTTGTCTGATACCATACTACTTGTGTAAAGGAGGAAATGTATAAGCTTATCTCTCAGAATGTTCGGCAATATGTTTATCGTTTGTGATGTGTGTCTATATATGTATGAACACGTTGTACTGAACGGGGTGAGAATAGCTTGAGCTACCTCATCCCTTTGTGTGTATTTTACCTCAATAAACTTATTTCAATTTCAATTCATTTTCAATTGTAAAATGATGGAAACTATGGTCATTAAGAAGAGGTCTTTCAAAGAGACAAGAAAAGCTGAAACTGAACCTTGATTAAGCAAAAGTTTAAATGAGGGGTAGGAGTGAAGAAAGAAATATTTTTTCAACAAGGTGATAGGGATTGGAAACTATGACATGATACAGGTACTCAAAATCAGTAAGAGGAAGGGGGAGTGGAAGGCAAAGGAGGGAAAACATTAAAAAAAAAAATTGTATACTGTACAAATGTTAATGGGTAAGGTAAACAAATATTAGGTTAAATGATGTAATATAGCTTAAGTTGCCAGATATTGTTGCATTAAGAGACCAGAAACTTTAAGATAAAATTGTAAATAAAGTGGTATCAAAGTACTATGCTATTTGGAAATGACATTAAAACTGGAATAGAGTACTTTTCTCCAGTACTTTTTCTCATCCTCATATCGGACATAGACAAGGGCATAGCCCATAGCACTGTATCATCCTTTGCAGATGACACTAGGATTTTTATGAGAGTAGACAACATAGAAGACACGGCAAACCTCCAATCAGATGTAAATCAGGTCTTTCTATGGGCTATAGAAAATAATATGGTGTTTAACGAAGATAAGTTCCAGCTCATGCGCTACAGAAAAAATGAAAATATAAAAACGGAAACCACGTATAAAACTCTGTCAAATCATAACAGAACGAAAAGGCAATGTAAAGGATTTGGGTGTACTCATGTCGGAAGACCTTACTTTTAAAGAACACAATAAAGTAGCCGTCACAACTGCAAGAAAAATTATAGGTTGGATAGCAAGAACCTCTCACACCAGAGATGCTATACCGATGATGATATTTTTCAAGACGCTTGTGCTCTCTAGAGTGGAGTACTGCTGCACAATGACAGCCCCTTTCAAAGCTGGAGAAATTGCTGACCTGGAGAGCGTGCCGAGATCGTTTACTGGTAGAATCCACTTAGTAAAGCATCTAAACTATTGGGACCAACTAAATCTGTATTCTCTTGAGCGCAGGCGGGAGAGATACATAATAATTTAAACATGGAAAATAGTAGAGGGGCTGGTCCCAAACCTGCACACATAAATAACATCACATGAGACCAGAAGGCATGGCAGGATGTGCAGAATACCCCCGTTGAAAAGCAGAGGTGCAACAGGTACTCTGAGAGAGAACTCTTATCAACATCAGAGGACCGAGGCTGTTCAAAACGCTTCCACTACACATAAGGGGCATAATTAGCCGACCCCCCCCACAGTGTTCAAGAGAGAACTTTACAAACACCTCCAAAGGATACCTGATCAACCAGGCTGCGAGCAGCTGCATCCAACAGCCTGGTCTTGATCATCTTCTCAAGAAGATCAAGATCTGGTTGACCGGGCCGCGGGGTCGCTAAGCCCCCGAATCACCTCAAGGTACCTCAAGGTAAGGCTTTGCAATCCTGGTGAAGAACTAATGGTAAGACAATTAATACTTGACAACTCATGAGAAATTGACATAATGGCACTGGAGGTATTGGGTATCAGGATGATTAATACAGTAATTATTAATGCCCACAGTCCACCAGTAAGCAACAGTTGAATAAAGGAAGAGCTATATGCCAGAAGATAGGATCTTATAATGATCGTGAGAGAGATTATAGTAACGGCAGATAAATATATATCACATTGTCGGTACTGTACTTGGTGACTTCAATTTGAAATCAGTAAACTGTTAAGCCAACAAAACAAGAATGGAGAACATTTGGATTGGCAGATTCATAAGCCTCATCCTGTAGACATTCATGTAACTGTGTTAAACAGGCCATGAGAATGCAGGAACGAGATGATTCATCAATGCTGTATTTTATAAGTACTCAGAAAGAAGAGATAGTTGACATTCAGCCTTTTCTTTCCTTGGGTAAGTGACTATGTCTTTTCAGAAATCAAATACAGTATACAACATGTTATAATCTAGAAGAGAATGGTAACAGTCTGAGAAGAGACTGTTGGTAACAGTCTCCGTGGTGTAGTGGTAAGACACTCGCCTGGCGTTCCGCGAGCGCTATGTCATGGGTTCGTATCCTGGCCGGGGAGGATTTACTGGGCGCAATTCCTTAACTCTAGCCTCTGTTTAACGCAACAGTAAAATGTGTACTTGGATGAAAAAACGATTCTTCGCGGCAGGGGATCGTATTCCAGGGACCTGCCCGAAACGCTACGCGTACTAGTGGCTGTACAAGAATGTAACAACTCTTGTATATATCTCAAAAAAAAAAAAAAAAAGTGGAAAAAATAGACTCATGAGAGAACACTTTGATGAAGTCTGCCAGTTTTTTAATGAATTTAATAAGAAATATTTGTTAGGAAGTATGCTAAATTTTAATGGGAGATTATGATGAAAGTACAACAAATTTTATACCAAAGCAGATGGAGAATTATAATAGTATGATAGACTGGGCTCTATCATACCTATATTTGAAACTGTGTATGGAGTCCTAGCCTCCACCACATCACTTCCTAGTGCATTCCATTTATTAACTACTCTGACACTGAAAAAATTCTTTCTAACGTCTCTGTGGCTCATCTGGGTACTAAGTTTCCACCTGTGTCCCCTTGTTCATGTTCCACCCGGTTCATGTTCCACCCGGTTCATGTTCCACCCGGTTCATGTTCCACCCCGGGAGCCGGTCGGCCGAGCGGACAGCACGCTGGACTTGTGATCCTGTGGTCCTGGGTTCGATCCCAGGCGCCGGCGAGAAACAATGGGCAGAGTTTCTTTCACCCTATGCCCCTGTTACCTAGCAGTAAAATAGGTACCTGGGTGTTAGTCAGCTGTCACGGGTTGCTTCCTGGGGGTGAAGGCCTGGTCGAGGACACTAAAAAGCCCCGAAATCATCTCAAGATAACCTCAAGATAACCCATGCTGAAAAGTTTGTCTTTGTCCACCCTGTCAATTCCCCTGAGAATTTTGTAGGTAGCTATCATGTCTCCCCTTATTCTTCTGTTTTCCATGGATGTGAGGTTCAGCTCCTTTAGCCTTTCCTCGTAGCTCATACCTCTCAGTTCCGGGACGAGTCTGGTGGCATACTGCTGAATCTTCTCTAACTTAGTCTTGTACTCTCCTATTTGTGCTTGCGGGGGGTTGAGCTTTGGCTCTTTGGTCCCGCCTCTCAACTGTCAATCAACTGATGTACAGATTCCTGATCCTACTGGGCTCTATCATATCTACATTTAAAACTGTGTATGGAGTCAGCTTCCACCACATCGCTGCCTAATGCATTCCACCTGTTAACTACTCTAACTCTGAAAAAGTTCTTTCTAACGTCCCTGTGGCTCATTTGGGTACTCAGTTTCCACCTATTTCCTCTTGTTCGGGTACCACCAGTGTTGAATAGTTTATCCTTGTCTACCCTGTCAATTCCCCTGAGGATTTTGTAGGTAGTGATCATGTCTTCCCTCGTTCTTCTGTCTTCCAGTGTCGTAAAGAGCATTTCCCGCAGCCTTTCCTTGTAACTCATGGCTCTTAGTTCTGGAACTAGTGTAGTGGCATACCTCTGAACTTTTTCCAGCTTCATCTTGTGCTTGACAAGATACGGGCTCCATGCTGGGGCCGCATACTCCAGGATTGGTGTTACGTATGTGGTATACAAGATTGTGAATGATTCCTTACACAGGTTCCTGAAGGCTGTTCTGATGTTAGCCAGCCTCGCATATGCCGCAGTCGTAATTCTTTTTATGTACTCAATTTATTAGCCCACATTTATTTAAATAAATAAATAAATAAATAAATGTGGGCTTCAGGAGGCAGGTTTTGGTGTGATATCAATTCCTAGATTTTTTCTTCCGTTTTATTAAATACTTCATCTCCTATTCTGTATCCTGTGTCTGGCCTCCTGTTTCCACTGCCTGGTTTCATTACTCGGGTTAAACTTTAGCACCCATTTGTTGGACCATTCGAGAGAAACGAGTCTATACCCTCTGTGAGATCATTTCCTCTTAATTACTCAACACAAAGCTGCTATTAAGACAAAGAACACTACCTTTCCAAAAAAAGCGGTGGGTTTTCTGAGGAAAAGAAAACGTATGTCTGCAAGCTCAGTCTAACCGCCCAAGCTGCGCGCGCAACGAGCTGAGGTTATATACGCTCTGCCTACAGACTGGGTGGCCTTCCGGGAGACATCTCCCGTCACGCAGGGTGCAGTTGCGCCTCCACAGATCTCCAGTATCATCTTTTGATACTGGTAATGGCTCAAAAGGGCCACCACTTACGGGCTATTCATGCCCGTGCCACCTCTTGAGTGGCTTAATCTTCATCGTTGTTGTTGTTGTTTCAGATTTAGCTACTCAGGACGAAGTGTCCATGTAGCACGAGCTATGGTGAGCCCGTAATTGAGTTTGGTTATACATGATAACCTTTTTCCTGTGATATTTGGGTTAAAGTTTAAAATGGAGGAGGGGATTTCTCCTTTTTCCCTGATTATTTATTGCTTCTGTTTTAGTGCACTGGTTTTAATCTTGTTTTATTAACATTATCTTGGTGGCGGATATAGATGCAGAATGCTCACTAATGAGTCCCATTCCTCAACAGCTTTTCTAATCATTGTAGTCGCGGTGGAATGTGCATCTAATGCAGCTGCTGTCGTTGGATTAATGTTGAGTTTGATGCGCAGGGGTTCAGTAGCTTCACATTCCAGTAAATAGTGCAATAGTGGCGCCTCTGCTTCAGTTTAACAGATGTGACACTCTTTAACTATTGGGTTCATTACCTCCCAGCAGCACTTGTAACCAAGTCTGAGTCTGTGTATGGCTACTGCAATGTCTCTGGATATCTTTTTGCCAGGCTTGAAAGAGGAGTAACCAGTGGCTTGTTCGTACCATATCGCAGTGGATCTTCCTTCCGCTACTTTGGCTCTGTGGCGACTTTTGATAGTTGAGAATATTTTCTTCTTGATTTGCTCCTTTGTCTGTGAGAAACTTGGAGGTATTTGAACCTGTACAACAGGTAGAGCAGTGGCAGTTTTTGCTAGTGAGTCTGCCTTTTCATTACCATCTATGCCAGGTATGCCAATATGACTTGGTATACAATTTAGGGTGATTGACAGCCCTCGATTATGGGCTTCTTTTCCTATATGTTGAATTTCTGTGAGGAGCTGTATATTATCTCTGTCTTTAACATGATTGGGAAGGTCATTCCACATTCTGGGTCCCTTGATTTGTAGAGCATTTCTAGTTTAAGTCGTGCTCTTGGAATATCAAAAAGGTATTTGTTTCTGGTGTGGTGCTCATGGGTTCTGTTACTGTACAACCTTCTAGAAAGGTTTTAAGGTCAGGATTGCCATTACAGTTCAGCTTTTCAGCTCTTTTCCAAATTAACGCTATTTGAGCGTTAATTCAAATGTTTATTCAGGTAAAGTACATACATGCAAGAGGTGATACAAAAAATGATAGTTTTATAGATAGAGCTAGTACATACAAGAAAAGAAGAGAAAATCTTCTTGGAGAATATCAATTAAGTACAGTATATCATGAACTATAACTCAAAGCCTGCTTGAAACTTGGCCGAATCGCTGTGCTTGCTAGTGGCTGTACAAGAATGTAAGAACTCATGCATATATAAATAAAAAACTAAATAAATAAAATAAATAAAATAAATAAAGATTATGTAAAATAAATAAAGACCACGTAAGATCCCCGAAGGGTCGCTGACGCCCAACAGGTGGCAGCAGCGGGGCCTGTGACGTCACTTTCCCGTCTTGGTGGTGTCGTGTAGACTTGTTTACATTCTGCTTCCTTACTCTGGCCCCTACACTCATCGCGCACATTTAAAATTGGTAAATATTATTTGGTTATATTAATCTGTCTTGTTACTTGTCATATGGGCAAAGAATTATTTTTATCTGTTGAAAGTAAGGTGTCAAGAATGGTCATTAACATCGCTGATGTATGGTACGTGGAGTTTGTGTGAAGGTTTTCTTCTGATTACTGCACATTTAACATCATCTCGTATAACAGCGGTAAACAAATATCCTCTAAAACGTTCTTATTAGCCAATAAAGATTGCAGTCATCTGAAGGAGAAAATCACGCAAACCACGTATCATAAAAAAGAGATTGTTAATAAATTGATTACCTGAATTTACCTGATGGTCACTTAACACCAGTGACCTCGACGAGAACAGGACGCCGGCGGCTTGTCAAAGGTTTCCCCCATTTGCCATTATGATTTTCCTCAGCCGGATTTTAAAATTTAAGAGTTATTGAGCATGAAACCGTTGCTCCTTGTTTGTGTTACATCTGACCTTTTGAAGTTGCCTGGATCAACATCCTCCAAATTGTTCACTACTTTAAAGGTTTCAGTGAGATCTGCCCTGTCATGTCTAGTCTGCAGTATTGTTAGCCCTGTGGCCCTTGACCGTTCCTGATACAAGAGATGACTTGGCTCTGGGAGGGTTTTTGTCCCCCGATGTTGCACTTTCTCCAAAGCAGCCATGTCCTTCTGAAGATGAGGTACAGTATAGGAAGCACGCCCAACCATTCTATCCTGCACGAGATTCAAACCCAGAATTCTCGATTGTGAGTTGAGAAGAAACCCAACTGTACTACCGGGACCCTTCACCCTTTAAGTCTAACATTACTTTTAAATACTGTAACATAAATGTTGTGTAGTTCTTTATTTAAATATGAAGGGAGTTCCCCCTCATTATTAACAAGGCATGTTTGTGTAGATCAAGTTGTTCTTGGTATTGTCAAAGAGGTATTTATATATTATGTGATGTTCATAAGTTCTGTCACATCTATTTAGAAGGAATTTCAAGTCTTGAGTATTGTGAGTACAGATAATTTCAACTGGGTTCATGGCATGGGACAGAGAGTGATACTTGGGTGCTGATCATTATCTGTGCCCCTCTTTACCTAGCAGTAATTGAGTACCTGGTTGTAAACTGATTGGTAGATTTGATTCCAGGGAAACTGAAAGGATAAAGCAAGCTCTAACCCTTCCTTACCCTGAAAGGTTAAGGAAGAAGGGCGAGCTCTAATCCTGTTATCTTGAGAGCTTGAGATGATTTCGGGATTTTGGGACCCGGTCCTCGACCAGGCCTCCTTCTTGTTACATACTCCCAGGAAGCAACCCGTAGTAGCTGTCAAATTACCAGGTACCTATTTACTGCTAGGTGAACAGAGACATCAGGGTGAAAGAAACTCCCCATTTGTTTCTGCCTCCACCGGGGATCAAACCCGGAACCTCAGGGATACGAATCTCAAGCGCTGTCCACTCAGCTGTCAGGCCCCTTGAGAAGATTGCTGGTAAAAAGTAGTCTGCTCGTGTACCCACCTGTATAATAAACCAAAAATAGTGGACAAGATAATATTTATAGATGTAAACATATACTTTATACTGTATAATTTATGTTTTTTCTTCCTCCATTAAGTTGTTCACCATAATTTTCTTTATTGCATTTACAAAAATGCTCTAATAGAAATCATGGCGATGATGCAAGAACGAAGTATTGATGAGCAGGAGTCAGAAGCTGATAGTGGAGCTGCTGGGCCATTGCTTATACATACACTTGAGGTATGTAATTACTACTGCATTATATATAATGATTAACCCTAAACAGCACAATACATACATACAGTATATGATTGGAGTAACTGTCACAAAATGGCACAAATCATATATATATGATTTACATGTTTAAAATAGTTAAAATAGTCCTGTACATACATAGAGCTCACATATGCTTCCTTAGACCACCAGTAACCACCCTCCCATCTTGATTAAAAATCCTGAGTCCCTCACTTTCCTTCTAGTGTCTTTGTAAGAAAATGATGACAATTGTTTGGCAACGTCACCATCCAGTCTCTTAATGTTTAGGGCAGCTCATAGAGAAGACACTAAACTTTTAGCAACAGCAAATGAGTGATTACCATGTATATATTTGAGGCAAAATGTGTGCGCTATGCATTTTTAAAATTTAGGCTTATAATATATACAGTATATATACATGTATTGCTATGAATAAATATGTGGGTGTCTATATATCTGTTCATGTACTTGTATATCCATACATGCTTATATTTTCAAAGTTTTACATAATAGACAGTAACTTTGACACACAAATATATTACATACATAATAGACAGTAACTTTGACACACAGTGGGATAGCCTAAGCATCTTGATGCCAATTGAAACATTGATTTAAGTGAGTTCATCACTTACACAGGACCTAATGAGTTCCTTCCTCATGTTTGGTAATTTAGTTACATAGGGAACATCCGTGGATAATTCCCATGGCTTTATTTTGCATTTTTTCAGGCATGAGTAAGCAGGGGTACAGCATAATAAATTAAAAATCTGCATCTCCCTCTGTATTTTTTTTTTTTTTACTGCAAAATTTGTATTTGTGAGCCTAATTCATGCTTCATAGTATGAAGCCACAGTCTCCTCCACTGGTGGGCAGATTTGATATAATGTTGAGGGCTTTATTTAATGAAGATTTAGATATTTTAGGATTCATTATATTTTAAAGGTCTTGATTAGATCAACCCTGTCCTGTTTTAATTGCAGAGTAGTTAGTCCTGTGGCTGTGAACCTTACCTAGTTTAAGCCTTGACTTAGTTCTTTAATGATTTTTATATCTGTGTAGTGCATTTTCCAGTGTAGTTATGTATCTATATGTGAGGCTCTGACTTACAGAATATTTCTGGGGGGAGCCCCGTCGGCTCCCCGGAGCTTTACCGGCTGATATGCTAATGTCAGACTTTGGCATCAGTCATGTGTATGGAGTTCTAGGGCCTACCGGGGACCACGAGCCAGAACCTGGCCCCCTCAGAGAGGCAAGGGGAGCAATGGCCTATAGAAACCCCCGTGTGGTTGGAAGCATTCTATGTCTGCCATCGACCGGGTCAAGCATCCAGAAAGGTAAGCATTCCAAAACAAACCCCTATTCTGGTGAAAATTGCTACCTAAGCCGAACTAGTGGATAGAACTCTTCAACAGAAAACAAGGAAACTAGTATGACGTCATACGTCACCGCGCCGCTGTCTGCGCAGCTCCCCCCTCCCCAAGAGGGGGGGAAGGGGGAGCCCCAGACCTCCCACGCCGGCTATCCACCCATCAGTTCTTCGGCTGATGCTATAGGCAATGGTTATGTGCTCTGGCTCCAGTGGTTGTTTCAGCACTGTACCTAGAGTGTGGTGTCTGCACCGTTAGTCAGCTGTCTTGTGCGTCGTTTCACCTCCGGCCTGTTCGTGCGCCGCTTGCACCATCCTGATCTCTGGTCAGCGTGCTCTGTCTTCTCCTCGGTTGGTAGTGCCCCTTCGGTTCCGGTGTGTTTTTTCGTCGGCTCTTTCCTTTGGGCCTTTGCCTCTGGGGGTCGAGTCGCTGAGTTTTCTTGCTCCTTCGGTTTTAGCGTTTTGGTTGTTTGGTGGCAGCAGTCTCCATCTTTTCTGGCGCGGGGTGGGGCTGCTGCATTCTGGAGGGGTCCAGGGTTTGTTGGTGCTTCGTTGGTCGGGCCGAGGGTGTGTCGTTTGTGTTCAGTGGCGGCCCTCCGCTGTTGTTTGCGTGCCACGGCGTTTGGGTCCGGAGCGCGTTTTGCGTTGATCCGGTTCTGTTCTTCCCGGTTCGCGGGTGATAGTGTCCCGGGTGGTCAGCCGTGTTCTTGCGGCTAAGCTGCCTGTGTTCTTCCCTCATGCCTGTGGCGTTCGTGGCTTCGCTGCTCTCGCTGCCGTCTGGGGGACGTGGCCTTGCGGTCTTTCGGGCATGGATTTTTGGTGTTCGTGCAGGGGCCTTGCTGCTCGTGGTTCTCGTGTTGTTCCCGGGATTTTCGGGGCTGTGGAGCCTTGGGTTGGCGTTTGCTGCTGGTTGTCTCGCCTCCTTGGGGGGTGCGTGGTGTCCGCCTCCTGGTTCTGTCCCTTTGACCTTCCTCTGTGGGTAGTTAGCTCCGGGGAGCCGACGGGGCTCCCCCCAGAAAACCAGCGTTGAATGTAATGAAACGCCATTTTCTGGGTGAGACCCGGAGGCTCCCCGGCAACCCTCCCTCCCTCCAGTCGGTGTTTTTCGGGTGTTTTGACATCCAGCCTCAGAACTGATGGGTGGATAGCCGGCGTGGGAGGTCTGGGGCTCCCCCTTCCCCCTCTTGGGGAGGGGGGAGCTGCGCAGACAGCGGCGCGGTGACGTATGACGTCATACTAGTTTCCTTGTTTTCTGTTGAAGAGTTCTATCCACTAGTTCGGCTTAGGTAGCAATTTTCACCAGAATAGGGGTTTGTTTTGGAATGCTTACCTTTCTGGATGCTTGACCCGGTCAATGGCAGACATAGAATGCTTCCAACCACACGGGGGTTTCTATAGGCCATTGCTCCCCTTGCCTCTCTGAGGGGGCCAGGTTCTGGCTCGTGGTCCCCGGTCTGACATTAGCATATCAGCCGGTAAAGCTCCGGGGAGCCTCCGGGTCTCGCCCAGAAAATGGCGTTTCATTACATTCAACGCTGGTTTTTTTGGGTTGAATAAATATAATGCTCAATTAACCACTGCATTGCTCTGCATTAAAATACGACTTCCCCGTGGTGCGCCGAAAATAAATTCTTTCCAAAAAATTTTTTTCTCTTATATTGTTAAAATGCAGTCTCTGATCATGGGAAACTAAAAAAAAATAATATTGCATGTGACATACTTTAGCCGTGATGGAGCTGGAAAGTTGAACAAATTATGGGCGGTGAGCGATGGAGAGCTCGGGGTCACTCGGCCCCGCCACCCCGTGGGGCAGCATTTGCTGGGAATATAATGTTTCACACTTATTTTGATGTTTCTCATTCATTTCTTCTGGGTTTTTTTTCCTGTAATATTAGTCAAAAGTGTGTAATTTGTGGAATTTATATAGTTCACTGTGTGGAACATCGCTATGCTCAAAATTATGGTGCTCATATATGTGACATATATATTATATTCTTCGATCAAACAGTGTTTTTGCTGTTATTACACTATATACACACACATTGTATATACCTATCTACATATGTTCACCATAACGAACCACTAAGTTGGTATGGTGAGCCCAAAACAACAAGAGTGGGCTGCCACACCCAGCCAGCCCTCCCTCACTCCATCAACACCTAAATTGCCAACATTCGTACTCCCACAATACTGTTTGTGGTTTTATTATGCTATATACACATGTTATATATAAATATCATACATGTGATATATAAGTATCATACATGTGATATATAAGTATCTACATGTTTTGCTCACTGTAACTGTACAACTAAGCTGGTATGGTGTCCAAACAACATAATGGCAACAAAAAACTTCATGATAAGTCACACAGCCAGCAGATGACAGCCTCACTCCCTCCCTCCCTCACCAAAATGGCTTCTCCCAACATACTCCTTTTGCTGTTATTACACTCTATACACACATTATATATATAAGTACAGTATCTACATTTGTGTTCACCATAGTGAACCACTAAGCTGGTATGGTGATTCCAGACAATAACATGTTGCCACACCAACACGTTGCAACATGTAGGTGGTGGAGGCCAAGACCGTCAGTCGTTTCAAAGCGTTATGACAAAGAGTGCTGGGAAGACGGGACACCACGAGCGTAGCTATCATCCTGTAATTACACTTAGGTAATTAAACCAGCAAGCAGATGACATTACATCGACCCTCCCTCCTTGCCAAGATTACTCCTACCACCATACTACTCACATTGCTAATTCTTACCACAATCCTGCTATTATCAGAATCCTGGTCAAAAAATCCTGTAAATGAATAATTTTCCACAAGTTTATTTTGTAAAGGAACATGAGAAGTCGTTTGAACAATCTTAGATGGACAAAATAATGGCAGTGCTGTGGCTAGCACTGTGAACATCTTGAACAGCATTGATTCACTGATATCTGAACATTGTACACAGTCTTTATCACAGTCAGACCCTTATGTAATACTCGGTACTATCATGGCTAAATAACACTGTACCAGATACATACATATTTTTACATTTTTAGGCAATGCTGTTGTCACAAGCTGAACAGCAGTGATGTTAACTCATGCTGCGTATGCCAAGGGGAATTCACCTTCCATTATAATATCAGGCAGTGATGACTTTTCTGGGGTACTTTCTCTCCTACATTTTGGCTGCATACCAGTAGGACCTGCTTATGGCTCACTGCTTGGTTTTTCTCACTAAAAACCTGTCTAGCGACACTTGTTTTTTTCCTACGTTGTAACACTTGTCTGAAGTGAGACATCACAATGTCATTAAAAAGTTTAACACAATGGCCTGCTACAATTTGATTTGGGTGAGCCTTTTCAACAAAGGTTTAGGTTGAACTTTACCACTGACTTTCTTGGGCCCCATGGCATGATATATAATGAGAACTTTTATGTTGAAAAGCAAAAAAGCAGGCAAACAATGAAATTTTTCACAAAGAATTCAAGCACGGCTGCAGTCGTCATTATACAGAATAGACTTGTAAACAAACTGAAAATGCCTCGCCTTGCGCCCCCAGCACCACGCGCTTCTTCGGCCCAAACACACGTTTGGGTCGAACAGATGTTTTTCAAGTAAACCGTCGTATACCAAAAAATTTGTGCTCTAGGGCAGTCGTCAGCTGAGGTTCCAACTGTAATTATTGTCTTGTATTATTGTGTAATTTTTTCAGCGAGTTACATTAAATAAATAAATGTGTGTGTGAAAAGCATGTCAACAAAGTTATTTATTATACTTTATTTTATTAATTTTATGAAACTGGGAAGCAAAGTAATGCTGGTATTCCTGTTTTATTCAGCAAAATGGAATATCTGTGGCAGACATAAAAAAATTGGAAGAAGCTGGTTACTATACCGTAGAGGCTGTAGCTTTTGCCCCAAAGAAGGCCCTCCTTGGTATTAAGGGAGTTAGTGAGGCTAAAGCAGACAAAATACTGGCAGAAGCTTCTAAACTAGTACCAATGGGCTTCACTACTGCAACAGAATTTCATCAGAAACGTGCCGATTTGGTGCAGGTAAGTTGTAATGACATTCTCCTGCAGATTATTAATGAGACATTGATTTTTCCTCAGGGAGCTTCTGAGTGTCTAAGTTAGTAAGTTGATTTTTCATATTAACTCTGTTTTTTTTTTATGAAATATATCCAAGCAGTGCATCAACTAATTTCCTTCAGATTTATGCCCAAAATGTTTTACATACTACAGTAGTGGCTTTATTAAATATTCATTTTATGTAGCAACTATTTAACCACTGTACTATGTTTTGTAGTTGTTAAATAAAGTACTGTACAGGGGTATTATTATTATTTATTAAACACAACTATACTACATACTACACCTTGACATTGTGTAGTATGCTGGATTAATTTAGTAATATAGATGCATTGTTTGACAATTGGCCAAATGTTATTGTTACTTCATATGCAACATTTAGTTCTTTCCTAGTAAATACTAGAATATTTATTCACAATCATGCTAATTTCTTCTCCATTATGAATTAAATGGACTAAACTTGATTTCAGGAACCTAATTTTTTCATAAAAATTGATCTGGCATAATTGAAAGTATTTTTAGGATATAGCTTCCCTAGCAACACTAAGCTCATAATTAGCCTTTCCTTTATTTCTTTTCTGGGTGGAGCCCCATCAGCTCCTCGGAGCTATCCAGGCTGAATGGATATGTATAGCTTTCTGGCATCAGTCAATGTGCTTGGAGTTCATGCGTACCAGGGACCATGAGCCAGAACCTGACTCCCTCAGAAGAGGCATGAGGAGCAATGGCATATAGAAACCCCCTGAGGTTGGGAGCATTCTATGTCTGCCATCGACCAAAACAGGCACCCAGAAAGGTAGGCGCCCCAAAACAAATCTCTATTCTGGTAAAACTATTGCTAACAAAAGCAGAACAAGTGGACAGAACTTCCCAAACGAAAATTAGCAAACAAGCATGACGTCATCATGTTGCCACGCCGCCGTCTGCACAAACCCCCCCTCCCCCTCCCTCCCCGGGAGGGAGAAGGGAGAGCCCCAGACCCCTCGCATCAGCTACCCAACACCAGTTCTTGGCTGATGGGTGTCTGGTGTGGTCATGTGCCTCTGGCTCCAGAATTCTTTGCTCTCAGTCCTGTCTGGTAAGTCTAGCCAGCCTGTAGCCTACCCCCGGGCTCACGACATTCGTAAGTTTGCTGCTTTGTTTTTGGCAACATGTCCTGGGTTGACATTCAGGCCTGGGGTTTTGGAAGGTCGAACAGGGTCCTGGCAGCTCGCTACCTGGTGAATGTCCCTGGGCCTAGTTGGGCCTGCGTTACATTGGGTTGGCGGTTGCGGCCAGTTGTCTCGACTTTGCGTTGAGGAGTGAGGACGGACCGCCTCCCGAGGTAAGTCCCTTGATTTCCTTCTCTTTGGGTAGTTAGCTCCGGGGAGCCAATGGGTCTCCCCCTAGAAAACCAGCGTTGAATGTACTGTAATGAAACACCATTTTCTGGGTGAGTCCTGGAGGCTCCCCAGCATCCCTCCCTTCCTCCGGTCGGCGGTGTTTTTTCGTATGTTTTGATATCCAGCCTAAGAACTAGTGTTAGGTAGTCGGTGCGAGGGGTCTGGGGCTTCCCCTCCCAGGGAGGGGGGGGTTGCGCAGACGGCGGCGCGGCAACATGCTAATTTTCGTTTGGGGAGTTCTGTCCACTTGTTCGGCTTTCGGTAGCAATAATTTTACCAGAATAGGGATTTGTTTTGGGGTGCCTACCTTCCTGGGTGCCTGTCCTGGTCAATGGGAGACATAGAATGCTCCCAACCACAGGGGGGTGGGTTTCTGTGGCCATTGCTCCTCGTGCCTCTCCTGAGGAGGCCAGGTTCTGGCTTGTGGTCCCTGTTAGGCAAGAACTCCAAGCACATTGACTGATGCCAGAAAGCTATACATTCAGCCTGGATAGCTCCGGGGAACCTCTGGGACTCGCCCAGAAAATGGCGTTTCATTACATTCAACGCTGGTTTTTTATTATAATAATAATAATAATAATAATAATAATAATTATTATTATTTATTATTATTATTATTATTTATTATTATTATTATAAAGTTTGCCACACTACATATTACATGAGCCATGGTGCTGCCCAGAAAGGTGCACTTACTTGCACTCGGTGCTTATTTTATGTGCTTATTTTATGTTTCTATTATGCTTATTAATAAATTTATTTATTTATTTATTTATTTATTTATTTATTTATTTATTTATTTATTTATTTATTATGCTGTATATTTTGCTCAGAAATCATTTTTGCTTCATGAATGCATTTTGGTTAGTTACTTCTCAGAATTAAAGAGAAAAAATCGGAGATGACAAAACTTTGTTAAATTTGTGTAAGGATATGCATTGCTTTGTACTTGCGTGTGTGTGTCTTATTACAATACAGTACTGCAATTGTAAGTTCTAGCGTAAATTTGAAATACAGTACTGTGTAATCGTATTTTTGCAGGAACATTTTGAACTGGTGCTATTTACTTACTTAATGCATGACAAATAACAATGAAATTTAGTTTACCATTACAGAAACCCTTGAAATTTATTCATGTATTTCTAATTTCCCTGATCATTAATATACACAGTTATATCATACTGTGTGTTATATTTTAGCTGACTACAGGCTCAAAAGAGTTAGACAAACTATTAGGAGGTGGTATAGAGACTGGTTCCATCACTGAAATGTTTGGAGAGTTCCGCACTGGCAAGACTCAACTTTGCCACACACTAGCTGTTACCTGTCAGGTGAGCATTATTGATGTAATATAAATAAAATATTTCATGACTATGAATTAATGATATGTATTGTATTAACATTTTTGCATTGTGAAAAAAACCTTGTATCATTGTGTGTAACTTTTATCTATATGCAACTTTAAGAAAAAATGTGATAAGATTAATGTTTAGAGAATTAGTATGATAGGTATAAATGGCTAGGAGGCAGGGCATAAAGAGTTAGATCTCGCTTCCTCGTAGTCACTTACGGTATAGGTAAGTCCTGAATATTTAGCTAGATTTGTTTGTCCTGCAATATTCTACAATGCTTCATAAATATTATGTGAATGAGTTTTGGACGTTATAAGGGGGTATTGTAATTAAATTTTACATTAAATATGCTTTTATATACTTCTGTAAGTAATTCATTGTCAATTAAATTGAATTTTGTCTTTGCCATGGTCAAATGAGTGTTGCACACAGAATTTTGTACGTTGATTCGTGAACGAATGTTTATGTATTTCCAACCAAAATACTGTAATTCCAGTATTCCACAAAGATAACCTTTTAAACATTTTCTCCAAACAAATAATGTTACAAATTGCCTGTAAACATATCTTAAATATTATTTAAATGTCAAATGTATGTTCCAGCTTCCCTTAGATATGGGTGGTGGTGAAGGAAAGTGTCTTTACATAGATACAGAAGGAACTTTTCGGCCTGAACGTCTTCTAGCAGTTGCCGATAAATATGGGCTCTCTGGGGCTGATGTCCTCGACAATGTGGCTTATGCTCGTGCATATAATTCAGATCACCAGACTCAGTTATTGATTCAAGCAGCAGCCATGATGGCAGAGTCCAGGTGAGTTCTTGTTTATTTTATAGTTGCTGCATGTACAATACTGTACTATTGTGGGTGATAGATTGCAGTACAGTATAACCTCAATTTCGTGAATCTCTAGTTACAAAGCACATTTTCCAAGATGGATTTACTTGCCCACTTCACATAAGAAGTGTTAAACGAAGTGAATGATATGCGGATTTGCTGAGGAAGAAGACCAGAGTTCACACCACCTCTCCTATCCTACCCTTCAATGCCTTTCTTTACCCCTCATCACCTTTCCTACCCTATCCTTCACTGCCTTCCCTACCCTACAATCACTGCCTTCCTACCCTACCATTCACTGCCTTTTCTACCCTCCCTGCCACTGCCTTTCCTACCCTACAATCCATTGCCTTTGATACACACTTTCCTCTTTAGTAAATAAACTAACATTTATTCATTGTGTAGAAAATAAGTTAAATGAATCTTAGTGAGGATGGAGTCTGGTGAATTTTGTAAGATTGGAAATTGGTATAACTTTCCATATCATGCTAATGTGGGCATTAGAGTCGACACCGACCCACTTTTGATTTTCCTTGAGCAACCATCAGAAACCCTGCTAAGTTTGGTGAATCTAGCCCTAAGTGTCTAGTCTCCAACTTTGAATATAGATGGCATTACAAATAAGAGAATAGAGCTTCAGGAGTAGGTGGCAGATCTGCATCATTGTACTGTATCATCATAGTTATGGAGACACAAATGATGAAGATAAGTGAGGATACTGAACAATATTTCCAAAAGGATACCAAATAGTATGAAAGGAAATGATAAACAAGGAAAGTGGAGAGGAGGAGAAATAGCCCTACTAATACAACAACATTGGAGCTTTGAGGAGATAACGATTCTGGCGGTAACCAACTGGCAGGATTTCATATAGATATAGTAAGAGTGAGGACTATGAAGACAATAGAAGGTGTTATTTACAACTTTTTATTAACTACAGCAAGGTAAAGGATAGAAGGAACATGATAAATGCATTGAAACATGCCTGAAGATAATAGAAAAGGTGGCCACAGTGGCAAGGAGGAGAGCCAGAGCAAAGATCCTAATGCTTGGAGATTTTAAACATGTGGAAATAGACAGGTCAACTAAGGATCCTCATAGGGAAGGTGAAACATGGAGAGAAAGATTTGTGATCACTACAGACAAACACTTGCTGGGGCAAGATATTAAGGAGCCAATAAGTAAAAAAGAAAGTGATCTACCAGCTACCCTAGACCTGGTGTTGACCCAAAATTAAGATGTAGAGAACTGAAAATATGAGATATCACTAAGAGCCAGTGACACCTAATTTATCATGATTTGATTACATTGTAGAACTGATAGTTTGAAACAGAACAAAAAGCATAACAAAAATTGCAGAAGAGGGGAATAGAGGAGGGTTAGGGATTAATAATTCCAGATTATTAGGAAATCTTGGAAAAAGGCAAATGTAGTTCCAATATTCAAGAAGTGGGACAGATGTGAAGCACTAAATTATCAACCCACTTTCTCGAATAGTACATCGCATTTTGATGTATAAATCCCCTAAGGCTGAAAACTAACGTACTAAAAATCATAGCAACTCGCAAAATTGATGTGATGTTCCATTTTCTATTCATGGGTCCTCGGTTAAGTTAGGTTTGGGCAGTTTAGCACAGCAGTTTAGTGATGTTTGAAATGTTCGAGAGGATGGGCTGAAATTATAGACCTGTAACATTAACATGCATTCCATGCAAGAATTATACAAAAGTCATCAGGAAAAGATTGTAGAACATTTGGGGAGTAAATTTTATAACAGAGGCACAGCACAGCTTCTGAGAAGGAAATTGGGCTTAACAAACCTGATTGAATTAAGTGACATGGTCACCAAAATGAGTCAAGAGAAAGAAGGATGTGTAAACTGCATCTTCCTAGACTGCCAAAAAGCTTTTAATGCAGTCCTCTCAAAAGACTAATTTAGAAGTTGGAGAGACAAGTAGGGATAACAGTAAAGGCACTGGACTGGGAATTGGAGTAGTTGATGGATGGAAACAAAGGGTCACAGTCAAAGAGTATATGTCAGGCTGGAGAAGAGTGGAAAGTGATGTTCTACAGGGTTCTGTCCTAGGACCATTGCTCATTTTAATTTATGTAAATGACTTTGTAGGAGTTGTGAGCATGTATATGGTGATTGCAGAAAATGTAAAGTTAATAAGGATAATAAAAGCTAAAGGGAACTGTAGGTTGCTGCAAGAAGACCTTGACAAACTTCAGGAGTGGACATATACATTACTGCTTGAATTCAGTCCAAATAAATTTAAAGTAATGAAAATGTGTATATACAGGGTGAATTGCAAGCGAGTGAAAGGGTACAAAAAGATACTCTAACAAAATCTACTAGAGAAAGGAGGAGTGAAGAAGGGGAGAGGGAACATGTTTCTGAAAATTGTATACACCAACATAGATGGAGTGAGATAAAAAAAAAATGTGGAGTAATGTAATACAGCTGTAAACTCCAGATATTGTTGCACTCACACAGCCAAAACTCGAAGATGATACTGTATTTTCTGGGGGGAGCTGCGTCAGCTTCTTGGAGCTATCCAGACTGATATGCTAATATTAGACTTTGGCACCAGTCAGTGTGAATGGAATTCTTAGGCCTACCGGGGACCATGAGCCAGAACCTGGCCCCCTCAGAGAGGCACGAGGATCAATAGCCTATAGAAACCCCCATGTGGTTGAAAGCATTCTACATCTGTTATCGAACGGGTCAGGCACCCAGAAAGGTAAGCATCCCAAAACAAACCCCTCCTATTCTGGTTAAGAAATTGCTACTGAGAGCCGAACTAGTGGACAGAACTCCCCAAACAAAAACGAGCAAACGAGCATGATGTCACCACGTCGCTTCGCCACTGTCTGTGTAGCTCCCCTCCCGGGGGCAGGGGAAAAGAGGGAGCCCCAGACCCCTTGCGCCGGCTACCCAAGACCTCATTTCTAAGACTGATGCGCTGGGCTTCAGCCCAGCAAAAGATGGGCATCAGCCAAGCGAATTCGCCGATGATGATGACTTTCATCATCGACGAAAGTTGTGTGCTCTGGTTCCTGACATTGGGGCTCAGCTCTGTGCCTGTGTGGTGTGGTGGCTGGTGGGGGTGCACGGGGCCAGGGGTAATTCTTCAGTACCTGTACTCGGGCTGCATGCGCCAAGGTTTCCCTTTCCTAGGTGCCCTGTAAGTACTGTAATCAATAGGATGATTCGAATCCCGAATATGACAGGAGAAAGAGAGAGAGAGATTCGGCACTGATACACAACATACCTAACATGAACTTGAGTCCTGGCTTTGTTGCTGTTGACTCTTCCCTTTCACAGTATATACTCAAATGCTCTAAAATTTCTAACAAACATGACTTAACATAAGCTTACCCTTCCATTTATCTTTCTCTCTTTCTTTCCCTTGTTTTCTCTTATGCTCCCTTTCTTATTCCTATTATTATCCCCTTTATTACACCTTACCTTTCGTACCTTTTGCCTTGCTTTTTCTTCCTCTAAGATTTGCTTCTCCTGAAATCGAGTGATGCGTGTCGGCAGGCGGTGCTGGCTTCCTCCTTGGAATCTGCTTGGGCAGGAAGCTTGAGCCTTGGCTCTTGGAAAGTCTTCACCTTTTTGTCCCTTGCTGTTTTCTGATTCTACACTGGCACAGTATCTGCAGGCGGCCTCAGCTAGCTGTCATCCAATGTCTGACTTACTGGTTCTCCGGGGTCCTGCAGGGGCCTTGCCAGGGGTGTTGTGCCAGGGCTCGGAGTTCTGTTCGTTGTGGTAGGCCACTGGTGCCAGCTTTGGAGCCGGCGCCACCTTCAATCCCGTCTTCATCTGGTCGGCGTGGTGTTCGCTCATCGTGCGGCGCTGGCTGAGATGGTACAGCCTGCTTTCGGTATTGATGTTACTTCAGCGCCGTTTCGCAAGCTGTCCCGTGTGTTGTTTCACCTCCGGCCTGTTCATGTGCCGCTTGAGGTGTCCTGGTCTTTGGATCAGGTGCTTTCTTTTCAGTTTGTTGTGGCCTCTTTGGTCCAGGATTGTTTTTCTAAGGTTCTTTTTTCCTGTTGGTATTGGCCTCTGGGGGTCGGGTCAGGGAGTTTCCTGCTCTCCTCTGGCGCAAGAGTTTCTGCTCTTTTGGTCCTCGTAATAGGTTTGTTCACTTGTAGCCGTCTCCTTCTTTTCTGGCGAATAATGAGACGTCTGCTTTCCAGAGGGGTCTTTGGGTTGTTGATTCTTGGTTGTTGATTCTTGGTTGGTCAGGCTGGAGGTGCATCATGTGTTGCCCGGTTGCGGTTCTCCGCCGTTATTTGTGCGCCACAGCTTCTGTGTCCGGGGACGTGCTTTGGGTTGATCCGGTTTCCCTTCTTTCTTGTTCCAGGGTGCGGGTCTCTCAGGTCGTCTGCAAGATTATTCGGTCCAGCCAGCCTCCGGTCTATCCCTGTGCCCACGACATTTGTAAGTTTACTGCTCTTGCTGCCGTCTTTGGCAATATGTCTTGGGCTGACGTTCGGGCGCAGAGATTTTGGCGGTCAAACAGGGTCCTGGCTGCGTGTTACCTCATGAATGTTCCTGGGCCTTGTCGAGCCTGTGTCACTCTGGGTCAATAGTTACAGCCAGTTGTCCCGGCTTCGCGTTGAGGAGCAAGCAACAACCACCTCCCGGGTAAGCCCCTCTTGTTTTCGTCTTTGGGCAAGTAACTCCAGGGAGCCGAAGGGGCTCCCCCCAGAAAATCAGCGTTGAATGTAATGAAATGCTATTTTCTGGGTGAGACCCGGAGGCTCCCCGGCAACCCTCCCTCCCTCCAGCCAGCGGTTTTTCGTGTATTTTTTTATATCCAGCCTCAAAACTGGGATCTTGGGTAGCTGACACAAGGGGTCTGGGGCTTCCCCTCCCGGGGAGGGGGGAGCTGCGCAAACGGTGGCGCAGCGACATAGTGATGTCATGCTCGTTTGCTCGTTTTTGTTTGGGGAGTTCTGTCCACTAGTTCGGCTCTCTGTAACAATGTCTTAACCAGAATTGGGATTTGTTTTGGGATGCTTACCTTTCTGGGTGCCTGACCCAGTCGATGGCAGACATAGAATGCTTCCAACCACATGGGGGTTTTTATAGGCCATTGCTCCTCGTGTCTCTGTGAGGGGGCCTGGTTCTGGCTTGTGGTCCCCGGTAGGCCTAAGAACCCCATTCACACTGACTGATGCCAAAAGTTTAATATTAGCATATCAGCCTGGATAGCTCCGGGTAGCCTCCGGGTCTCACCCAGAAAATGGATTTTCCTTACATTCAACGCTGGTTTTAAATGAGGTCATATTCCCAAGGGGCTACTTAGTTTGGAGATGGGACAGAAAAATTAGAAAAGGTAGAGGTGTTGCTGTGCTGATGAAACAATACCTAAAGGTAAACGAAATAATGAGTGCCTATCCACGAAAATTTGACAGAATAGCACTGGAGATTTGCAATCAGGTTGATAAACTAATAATCATAAATGCTTATAGTCCACTGCCATGCAACACATGGACAAAGGAGGAGCTGGATAATAAACAAGAGGGTCTTATAATAATAATAGAGAGATTATAGCAGGAGCAGATAAGATAGATCACGACTGTTTGTAGTCGGCGACTTTAACTTGAAATCCATAGACTGGGAGGTATATGAAGTGAGAACAGAGGACCTTTGTACCTATAGATTCTTAAACCTCATCCTGGAAACATTCATGTATCAACACCTTAATCAAGCTACAAGGAAGGGGATGTTCCCTCCATGCTGGATTTGATATTCATCAGGGAAGAGGAAGAGATATTTGACATTCAGTATCTTCCCTGCTTGGGTAAAAGTGACCATGTCTTTTTGGGAATAAAGTATGCAATGCATTATAATCTGGATGAAAAGGAGGAAGTTGAAACAGTTGAAAAACCTGATTTCAGGAGAGGACATTATGGGAACTTAGAAATTTCTTTGAGGAATTTGACTGGAAAGACTTGCTATTAGGCAAGGAAGTAAATGAGATATATGTCAAGTTTTGTGAAATATATGATGAAGGCACAAAATTTATACCAAAGCAGAAATGCAGAACTAGGAAACAGAATTGGTTCAACAGAAATTGCGAGAAGGCCAGAGACCAAGAGACACCAAAATGGAATCAATATACTAAGAGGCCAAACCCCCAAACATACCAGTGATACAAAGAAGTGAAAAATAACTATACAACAGTGAAGAGAGAAGCAGAAGGAAATTTTGAGAAATGTATAGCAGACAAATGTTAAACAGAACCAGGCCTAATATATAAATTCATCAACAGTAAATTGCAGGTAAAGAATAATATTCAGAGGTTGAAAATTGGAAACAGATTCAAGGAAAATTAAAAGGAAATGTGTGAAACATTGAACGAAAAATTCCAAAGTGTGTTTGTACAAAATGAAACCTTCAGAGAACCTGACACAATAAGAATTCCAGATAACAACATAGAATACATAGAGGTTTCTAGAGACGAAGTGAAAAAATGCTCAAGAAGCTAAATAAGAACAAAGCAGTTGGCTCAGATGGAGTTTCACCATGGGTTCTGAGAAAATGTGCACCTGAGCACATCATTCCTCTTCAACTGATTTTTCAGGCATCCCTGTGTACAGGAGTCCAAGCAGATGTGTGGAAAAAGGCTAACATAGTTCCAATCTACAAAAGTGGCAGCAGGGAAGACCCCTTCAATTATAGACCCGTATCATTGACAAGTGTAATAGTCAAAATATTGGAAAAAATAATTAAAACTAAATGGGTAGAACACCTGGAGAAAAACTATATAATATCAGACACAGTATGGTTTTCGATCTGGAAGATCCTGTGTAACTTATTCACTCGGTTTCCATGATCGAGCATATAGAGATTTTACAGGAAAGAGATGGTTGGGTTAACTGCATCTATCTGGATCTAAAAAATGACTTTTGACAGAGTTCCACATAAGAGGTTGTTCTGGAAACTGGAAAATATTGGAGGAGTGACAGGTAGGCTTCTAACATGGATGAAAAATTTTCTGACAGAGAAATGAGGGCCGTAATCAGAGGCAATGTATCGGACTGGAGAAATGTCACAAGTAGAGTACCACAGGGTTCAGTTCTTGCACCGGTAATGTTCAGTGTCTACATAAGCGATCTACCAAATGGAATACAGAATTATATGAACATGTTTGCTGATGATGCTAATATACTAGAGAGGATAAGAAACTTAGATGATTGCCATGCCCTTCAAGAAGACCTGGACAAAATAAGTGTATGGAGCACCACTTAGCAAATGGAATTTAATGTGAATAAATGCCATGTTATGGAATGTGAAATAGGAAACATAGACCACACACAACCTATAAATTATGTGAGAAATCTTCAAAAAATTCTGTTAAAGAAAGAGATCTAGGGGTGGTTCTAGATAGAAAACCATCACCTGAGGACCACCTAAAGAACATCGTGCAAGGAGCCTATGCTACATTTTCTAATTTCAGAATTGCTTTTAAATAAATAGATGGTGATATATTAGAGAAATTGTTCACAATTTTGTTTAGACCAAAGCTGGAATATGCAGCAGTTGTATGGTGTCCATATCCTAAAAAGAACATAAAAAACTGGAAAAGGTTGCAAAGAAATGCAACTAAATGGCTCCCAGAACTGAAGGACAAGAGCTTTGAGGAGAGGTTAGTCATTAAATTGCCAAAACTAGAGGATAGAAGAAATAGAGGCGATGTGATCACTACGCACAAAATAGTAATGGGAATCTATAAAATTAATAGGAAGAATTCTGAAGTCCTGGAACTTCAGGACCATGAGGTCATAAATTTAAACTAACTACCGAAGAAATGTAAGAAAATTCACTTTCGCAAACAGTGGTAGAGGGCTGGAACAAGTTAGGTGAGAAGGTGGTGGAGTCCAAAACCTTCCATAGTCTCAGTGTCATACGACAAAGTACTGTACTGGGAAGACAGGACACCACGAGCATAGCTTTCATCTTGTAATTACACTTGGGTAATTACTTACTTAGATACATACATATACATACGTTAGGCTTGGATTGAGGTCTACCCAAGTTGAACTATTAACCTTCCCCAGAATGCAACCCCATAACAGTTGCCTAACTTTTGGGTACCCCATTTCTGCTAGTTGAACAGAGACAGTGAAATAAAACATACCTAACCATTTTTGTCCTACTTGGGGATCAAACCTGGGATCTCTGATTGCGAGTCTAGAACATAGCCACTATACAACAGGAGAAGCAGGCATAACTATGTATTTTTCTTGCTTAAAAAATCTATAATACAAATGTTTACTGAAGACATATCTGGCTACAGCGAATCATGGTTGGTCTTAAATAGTTTGCCGAATCAGTGTTGCAATGTATTTTAATGTTTCTTATTTTCGTAAAGAGCTTTTATTTCATAAACTTATCAAAATAATATTTAGATAATAAGTTATGAGAAGAGCCCCTCTATATATATTTAAACATTATTAGAGTTATGTATTAGATGCACCAAGATGTCTGCTTGTGCACAGTGATGTTTACATACCTGTATTCATCATACACTGAGAACTCCCTGCTCTTGTCCTGTACTGTATTATTAATTTGGGCTAATATCTGTAACTATCTACTTGCTCCTCTGAAATATATTGTTATTTGTTCTCTACTTATCCTTATCATTTAACTTACTCTGCTTTGTAATCTCATCATTTCCTATTTTTTGTATAGATCCTGTAGTACCGTCTATTAATTTTTCAGTATCTCTCGTTATCTATCCTTCATGCTAAAACTCTACATTAAAAGAAATCCTGTTGTTATTAAGCTGAATGCTAACTTAGAGCAGTAATAGCTGACTTCTTATTTGTACCCCCACCCTAGAGGGAAGGCATATTGTGTCACTCTGTATCCCCATATTTACTACTAATTTATGTTTTAAGATGGAGGCAGGTGAAAGCATTGTTTGCATTAGGACCATGTCACTTTCTTGTTGTTGAATCTCTCTGAAATGAATGATTTAGCTTTTACTTCTTTTAACCTCCCGCACCTTGATACCTGATCATCCATTTCACTGTTGAAGCTGAAAGTGTTTTCCAAATGTATAATTGGTTTATACTCAAACTACAGCAACACTGGTGGTGGCTCCATTTTCTTCCCCTTCATATTGCAATTAGTATGGCTTCTCCCTTTATGTGGCTTTATTTCCCTATTCTGCCTCATCCTATTTATATCCAACTTTTTGCAAATGAATATAGGGTCTCTGCTTGCTGAGGCAATTTATATATTTGCATTTCTCATTGCAAGTAAGTGGTGACTGCTTTACTTGAATGATAACCAAACTAGCATGTGAAATTTTATGGTGAATGTTCCAAAAATATGAATGTCTTGGTCAAACTGTTGTCAGAAACTAGTTTCTAAATTATAATCTTTGAATAATTGTTATTAAATTTTTGTGATGTAATTGTAATATTTCAGATATGCCTTATTAATAGTTGACAGTGCTATGGCATTGTATCGAACAGATTATGCTGGACGAGGAGAACTCTCTGCGAGACAAATGCACCTGGCACGATTTTTGCGAATGCTTCTCAGATTGGCTGATGAGGTAAAGTTGACCACTAAACATGTTTTTCTATGAAGTGTTCAGTTTTGTGTGTGTAATTACCTAAGTGTATTTACAGGATGAGCTACACTCGTGGTGTCCCATCTTCCTAGCACTATTTGTCATATAATGCTTTGAAATTACTAACGGGTTTGACCACCACCTTCTCGCCTATCGCCTAACTTGTTCCAACCGTCTACCACTCTGTTTGCGAAAGTGAATTTTCTTATATAGTATTCCTTTGGCAGCTTTGTATACTTAGTTTCAATCTATGACCTCTTGTTCTTGAAGTTCCAGGTCTTGGGAATTATTCTCTATAAATTTTATCGATTCCCATTACTGTTTTGTACATAGTGATTATATCGCCTCTTTTTCTATTATCTTCTAGTTTTGGCATATTTAATCCCTTTAACCTCTCCTTGTAGCTCTTGTCCTTCAGTTCTGGGAGCCATTTAGTTGCATGTCTTTGCAACCTTTCTAGTTTGTTGAGGTGTTTAAGATACGGGCACCATACAACCACTGCATATTCCATCTTTGGTCTAACAAAAGTTGCGAACAATTTCTTTAGTATTTCTCCATCCATGTACTGTATTTAAAAGCAATTCTGAAGTTAAAAAGTGTAGCATAGGCTCCTCACACAATGTTCTTTATGTGGTCCTCAGGTGACAGTTTTCTATCTAGAACCACCCCTTTGATCTCTTTCTTTATCAGAATTCTTTAAAGATTTCTCACATAATATATAGGTTGTATGGGATCTATGTTCTCCTATTCCACATTCCATAACATGGCATTTATTTACATTAAATTCCATTTGCCAAGTGGTGCTCCATTCACTTATTTTGTCCAGGTCTTCTTGAAGGGCATGACAATCATCTGAGTTTCTTATCTTTCCTATTGTCTTAGCATCATCAGCAAACATACTCATATACTGTACTGTGCTTCTGTATTCCGTCTAGTAGATCGTTTATGTCGACAATGAACATTACCAGTGAAATACCGGTGTGTGTTTGTGCAAAATGTATTTCATATATGATCAGGTAGTAAAAATGAGTGTTATGCTTTAGTTGAGAGTGCAAAGAAAATGTGTTGAGTTACACAAACAAGTAGAAGAATAAGGGGAACTGCTTAGTTAGATGAGTTGGTGGCAAAATCAGTTGTCAATAAGAAAAAGATATGAGAAAATCAATAGGAGCCACGAGAAGGATTCGAACCTATGATCTGGGTACTCCCAAGCAAATGTCTTGGACCACCACACCACCACATGGTGTGGTGGTCTTAGGCTTTTGCTTGGAAGTACAATACACAGAGCTTAGGTTTGAATCCTCTTCATGGCTCCTAATGGCTCATTGATTCATTACATTTCTTTGTGCATGTAGTATATTTTATAGACACAAAGTAAACAAGATGGGCAAAAAATGGGAGTATACTGTGAATAAAAATCATGCAATAACATCAGTTAAACTGAAAAATGAATGAGAAAATATGTCAATAAAGGAAAGAAAATTATTCACAAAGCAGGAAGTCTTCTTGGAAAGGAGTGTAGTAGGGAGGATAATGGCTGGATGACTGGGAATGTTAAAAGATTAACACTGGAGAATATTGAATGAAGGAGTGATCAGAATTAGGCAAAAAGAATACTTTGAAAGTGTAATGGGCATACATTATAAAGGAAGGGCTAGTGTGAACATGATTGGTTATGATGGTGTGAGAAGAGTGTACGATCATATGAGAGCTGATGTATCTATGTAAGAGGTGATTATATCAGTGAAGAAGGTGTCATGTGGGAAAGCTGCACAGGGTGATGAAGTGTTTGGAGATAATAGTGAAGGTGCCCGGCATTGCTTGGGTGACACATGTCACATATTTATTATTTGAGATCCTCATTGCTGTAACAATCTCAATTCTTATCACAGTATCCATCTTAACTACATACCTACCCTCTCCTTTGCCACCTTCCCTCTCCTTTGCCACCATCCCTCTCCTTTGCCACCCTCCCTGTTCATCACTTTCCTATTCTTCACCACCACCCTCCATTTTCATCACTATTTTCCGTATCCATTACCCTTATTCCCCATGGCTACCTTCTTTACCCATGACCACTTTTCACTGCCTTTCCTACCATTCACCACCTTACCTACTCTCTATCACGTTCCCTTCATTCCTGTAATCTTATTGAGGATGGAGTCTTTTATGTAGTAAGATTGAAAATTAGTATGCAAAGGGAGAGGGGGGGGGGCATGGGACTTGACCTTAACCCACCTATGACCATCCTTGGAAAAAGACCAGTCATCCTGCAAAGTTTGGTAAGGCTAGCCCCAAGCATCTGGCCTCCAACCTCAAATGGACAGCCAAACACATAGACATTTTCTTGTATCTAGATTAAAATTTATGGGAAATTTGGTAGAATATGTATTAATGGTAATGTGTAAAAAGATTGGCAATGAACAGTGATTGTAGCACTATAAAAATAAAGAGAACATTGTGTAAGAATTATAGAGGCATTAGTTTACAATGTGTAGAAGGTGTATTGTATTACAGGATTGTGATAAAAAAAAGGCTGAAATTACTGAGCAATTGATCAGTGATAGACAAGGTAGATTCCATGGTGGAAGAGCTGTCAGGGGCGCCTGACAGCCGAGTTGACAGTGCTTCGGATTCATAGTCCTGAGGTTCCGGGTTTGATCCCCGGTGGAGGCGGAGACAGATAGGCAAAAAGTTTCTATCACCCTGATGCTCCTGTTACCTAGCAGTAAATAGGTGCCTGGGAGTTAGACAGCTGCTATGGGCTGCTTCCTGGGGATGTGTAACAAAAAGGAGGCCTGGTCGAGGACCGGGCCGTGGAGACGCTAAGCCCCGAAATCATCTCAAGATAACCTCAAGAAGAGGGTACCTAGATTATATATTCACATTAAGACAGTTCATTGAGAAGACATGCGAGAAAAATCATAAGATATAATGACATTTAAGGACTCGGAAAAGGTACCAGTATAGGACTGAGTTAATAAAGGTTTTGAGAGAGAGATGAGCATGTATGCAGTTAGCAGTGTTGATAAGTGCTGTGAACAATTCGTGTAAGGTAAAGTTCAGGTGGAAGCATTTAGTCAGTATGACTATATATAGTACTTTGTGTTGGTAGCTGCATGTTTAAGAGTTATGTGAAATGATGTCACTGGTTTGATATTGGAGTAAGTGTACAACAGGATTACGTGATGTCACCCTGGGCTTACAAGAGAGGGATGGGTGTGAATGTAAGGCAGAGGGTGTAAACATGGTGTATTGTACTAATATGAGTAATTGAAGTGCAGGTACTGTATATCTTATTTTAAATATGCAGACCATGGTTATTTTAGCACAACAAAAGTGAGCTATATTGATTAGTTGAAATTGTTTATTCAGATGAGAGCAGGCTGTTACAAATGAATATGAACAAAAAGTAGTTATTGCAGTCGAGATAGAAGGAAATTGTTAAATATATATGAATGATGAAGTGCTGAAGTGATCGATCAATTTAAATACCTAATGTGTGATTTCTAAAGTAGATATTTATGGAATCAAAGTTAGTTGAGAGTAGAGTCGGTGAGAGAAGGAAAGTGGCTTGTGCAATGAAAGCTATTCTTATGAGATAAAAGATAGCAATAGTTGCAGCCACAGGTAAAATGAAACTAGCACTTCAGCAGCTTGTATCACTCCCGACTTGTACAACTTCAGCTTCTTAAGAGGACAGAAAGTGCTCTTAGGGTAAATACAATTATGTTAAATTTTTGGGTCCCAGCAACTGATGTTATATCGACAAACTGGCTTAACCATTTGCTCGTTTCCAACCTATGTGGATACCATATGAACGAGTGTACGTCTCACAGCAGTCGGGTTAAGTGAGGGAATTAAATATGCTGGTGGATGGCTTTTCCCATGCTAGTTCTATTTGGTCTGGGTGGGAGCTGGCTATAATTTACTCTTGGTAGATAAGAAACATGTTCAGGACTCCTTAGGTGATTGTTTGCATGTGCACAGAACCACAGGCTTCTTGTTTGTGTGGCTCTGTTCCTCATTCACATTGCTTTTGCAGTGGACATGCTGTTTCTTGATTGAATCCAGTGAGAAATAATTTATTTTGAAAAAATGTACTTCTGGAGTTCTCTGGAACATGCTCTTATTTTTTCTATAGACATGTTTTCTATTCATCATATTTAAATTTGATTTGTGCTTTTTTGCTTTACATAAGTTTTATAAAAATGTAACCCTTACATAACTCAAGGGCCATCTGTTCAGACAATTCCTGACATTGTCACTTTCCTTTCTTATGACTTAATGTAATGAAAATAAGTACACTGTACATTAAATAGTATATATGTTTATGCAGTAACTGTTTAGCATTAGTTTAATAAGCACTAAACACTGAAGCAATAATCTTTTCTCTCTGCTTAGTTTGGTGTTGCTGTGGTAATAACAAACCAAGTGGTTGCTCAGGTGGATGGAGCAGCCATGTTTGCAGCTGATCCCAAAAAACCCATTGGAGGCAACATAATGGCTCATGCTTCTACAACTAGGTAAGACACATAGATAACTGTATAATCTGTATTTGAACTTCAATGAGGAAATGGGATATTGCAGTAGCTTCTTGAATGATATGTAAACAAACAACATGAAAATAGAAATGGGCAGTGTAGTGGAATGAATAGTGTCCATGAAACTTGCTACAATTTAAAGAAAGTAGATCCATTTTAAAGTATGACCTTGACCTCTTATCCTTTATAAACATCTAAGAAGAACAAGATCATTAAAGGAATATTTAAAGTGAATAAAGTAAGCCTATTCAAATTAAAAAAGAGGTAGGATAAGGGGACATCAGTGGAAGCTGGACATGCAATTGAATCGGAGAGATGTAAGAATATTCCTGTTCCCTGTACAGGTACGCAAGCAGAATGCATTGAAGGAAACAGTTGTTGAAGCTAATTCCATTCATAACTTTAAAAAAGAAATATGATGACAATGTTAATGTTTAGAGGGGGTAATTAACACGTCAGGTATGAACAGCTTGGAGACGAGACATAAAGAATTAGATCTCACTCTCCCTAGTCACTAATAAGTAAGCACCACATTTCCTCTCTCTCACTATTTCTTCGCAAACACTCCCTTCCCTACCATTTACCGCCAGGCTCAGGTAGTAGAGCTCTCAGGTATAATTCAGGTACATTCCCCACTTTCCTTATTGTTCACCAACTTCCTAGCTCCTTCAGCATCTCTACTCTTCACGTCGAGGTCGAGGGAGGGGGAAGACGTACCGTGCGCGCTCCGTTAAAATCGTGACATTAACCGGGATTCTTAGGACTACTGCCATGGATTACTGATTACAGACATAACAAAGTGCATAGTGACCCGCTGGAAAATTGAAAATAGTCATTAACAATAGAACTTTGTGTTAAATAGAAAATAAACGGGAGACACGTGTGAGCCAGTGAACGAGGCTTTGTGTACATGCGTGTATTAGGAAAAAAAATAGTGAACAGTGATGTGGAACGGGTATCACAACAACATATAAGTTGGAAGTGAAGGAAAATCGTGCATAGAATATTATAAATATAGAATACTAGAAATATAGAATAGTGGCAAGAGGCAGCATCAGTGGTTATAAATCGGGTAACTGGAAACTGGTGACATCAACCTGGGACAACAAGAGGTCACCTGTACCGACCGGGGAACCAGCTTCGCTACCCTACGCTAAGTACCTGCCATAAAGTTTGAACAAAATAACATACATAATATTACAAATATACGGTATACATATAATATTATAAATATTAAACATATAAATATATATACATATAATTTTATAAAGAGTTAAAAGGACTGACATCAACAAGTGATCCATACAGTGACTCTCAAATACAACACAATACACCAGACAATGGAGAGGTGTGGCGAGTGTTCGGGTGTACTGGGAAAGCGAAATGCAGGCGTAATGTGCTGCATTTGTAACATAAGATTTCACCTGGGCTGTACAGAATAAGCTCCAGGATGCATAAAAAGGCAAGGAATTTACTGGGTTTGCAAAGATGACAGATTAATGTTAGAGAACATAACTAAACTGATGAGAAACATTCCCGAGTCACAGAGAATATCATTCACAGACAGGCTACCAGTGATATATGCGGACTGGGAAAAGTCAACATTGGATAACGACCAAAACTCAGGAACAGATAGTTTAGAGAACCGCAGCAGTAGTGTGGAGGAGGAGACTATTGTGGTACAAAATAACAGCAATATTACAGAGCCAGATAATATAAACGATGAGAGCAACAGTGAGACAGTGCATAGATGAAGGAATTGGGACGAAAAACGGAGATGGCTCCAATAAAGGGGTAGACAAGACAGTCACAGATATAAATACCTTGAAAAACGCAAAACCGGAACACATTTGCAAATTCTACGCTAAAGGAATATGCAAATATGGAAAATTAGGAGCAAAATGCCATTTTCTGCATCCTCGAAAATGCAGGAACATGTTGGAGAGGGGTACATGCCGTTTTGGAACAGGGTGTAGATACTTCCACCCTAAATTATGTCAATTTTCAATTGGGGACAAAAAATGCTACAATCTTCAGTGTCCGGAATTCCACGTGAGAGGTACAGAGCGTTATAGACGGGAAGATCAATATGACACTTCTGGAAATTTTTTAGAGGAAAGCAGAAACAGAGTAGTAAATATAAGAGAGAGGAACAGTCAGATGGAACCACTACAGGATTACAGAGGGGAACGGAGATACCCACAAGACTGTAATTCAAATTATCAACAAGCACACAGGTACTACACCAGACAACACCCGTCCTACTACCAAAACTGGACGAATCACTTCCAAAACGACACACCCTGGACGCAAACAGTGGCCTCCTTACCAGAGCCTCAGATATTAACACCAAGTAAGGCTTCCAGCACTTCCACTAACACGATAACATCATTTATATTTGCCAACATCCAGGGTATAAAAACACGCAAATCCAACAAAGTTCAATTTATAGATGATCTCCTTCATGAGGCAAATGCAGTGTTTGCAGCCCTAACAGAAACCCACACAAAGGACTACAGTACCATGATGGTGAAATATGGATCTCAGAGTACAATCTTTTCAGATGTGATAGGAAACACCGGCTTCAGGGTGGGGTCAGCCTCTACATTAAAGACACACTCATCTGTACTGAGCTGCTAAACACCTCAGATGATATGGTGGAAGTGCTGATAATCAAAATAGAGATTTTAAATGTAGTTATTGTCCTTGTATATAAGTCACCGGAGGCAAACCCTCAGCAGTTTAAAGACCAACTAATGAAAATAGAACACTGCTTGGAAAACCTCACAAATCCAGCTCCGAACATCATCCTGCTTGGGGACTTCAACCTATGGCACCTAAAATGGAAGCACCTGGCTAATACAGTAATATCAGAAAGAATACCAGGAAGTAGCCTAAATGAACAGGCACATGCAAATGACCTGCTACGGATGTGCGACAGGTTTGCCTTAAACCAGCAAATAGTAGAACCAACTAGGAAGGAGAACACGCTGGACCTCATTTTCACTAATAATGATGAATTGATCAGGAACATATTGATTACAAATACCTATTACTCAGATCACAACTTAATTGAAGTTATGACAACCATGGGGAGTAGACCTTCAAAACCAGTCCAGATTCCCGGTGGAGGAGATTTCAGCAAATTCAACTTCAATAATAAACAGATAAACTGGGAGCAAATAAACCAGGACTTCACAGAAATAAACTGGGAAGAACAGCTAGAAAATGCAAACCTGAACCAGTGCCTGGAAAAAATAAGCTCAGTAGCACTAGAAATATGTTCAAACCGCATACCTCTAAGAAAAAAGAGGAAGAGATGCAGATTGGAACGGGAACGTCGTTCCCTATATAGGCGAAGAAAACGAATCGCGGAACAACTTGAGAGTCACACCCTATCTCAAGAACGGCGAAGAAAGTTAGGTAGAGAAATAGAAACAATTGAACGGAAGCTACAAGAATCATACAAAACCCAGGAGAGGCAAAGAGAGCAAAAGGCCATCAGTGAAATAGAAAGAAAACCGAAATATTTTTTCTCCTATGCAAAATCAAGATAAAAAACCACATCTAGTATCAGGCCGATTGATAACCCAAATGAATTTTTCATGGATACGATACCAACATCAAATCATATATCAGACGTCGCCCTATCCCCACTGGATTTTGAAGAAGCCATAAACAGTATGCCTATGCACTCTGCACCAGGCCCGGATTCTTGGAACTCCATATTCATAAAGAACTGTAAAAAACCACTATCGCAGGCCCTCCACATTCTGTGGAGACAAAGCCTAGATACTGGCGTTATTCCTGATATACTAAAAACAGCAGAGATAGCACCACTTCATAAAGGAGGAAATAAGGCAGAGGCAAAAAATTACAGACCGATAGCACTAACATCGCACATCATACAAATTTTTGAGAGTGCTAAGAAGTAAAATCACAAAATACATGGAATCACAGCAACTCCATAACCCCGGACAACATGGTTTTAGAACAGGGCGCTCTTGCCTGTCGCAGTTGCTGGACCACTATGATATGGCATTAGATGCTATGGAAGACAAACAAAACGCGGATGTAATTTACACAGATTTCGCAAAAGCTTTTGATAAATGTGACCATGGTGTTATTGCACATAAAATACGTTCAAAAGGAATTACCGGAAAAATAGGCAGATGGATCTACAATTTCCTGACCAACAGAACCCAATGTGTAATAGTCAACAAAATAAAATCCAGCCCATCAACCATGAAGAGCTCAGTCCCCCAGGGTACTGTGCTTGCTCCAGTACTTTTTCTTATCCTCATTTCGGACATAAACAAGAACACAACCTATAGCACTGTATCATCCTTTGCAGATGACACTAGGATCTTCAGGAGAGTAGGCAACATAGAGGACACGGCGAACCTCCAGTCAGATGTAGATCAGGTCTTTCTATGGGCTACAGAAAATAATATGGTGTTTAACGAAGATAAGTTCCAGCTCATGCGCTATGGAAAAAATGAAAATATAAAAACGGAAACCACGTACAAAACTCAGGCAAATCATAACATAGAACGAAAAGGCAATGTAAAGGATCTGGGTGTACTCATGTTGGAAGACCTTACCTTTAAAGAACACAATAAAGTAGCCGTCACAACTGCAAGAAAAATGACAGGTTGGATAACAAGAACTTTTCACACTAGAGATGCTATACCGATGATGATACTTTTCAAAACGCTTGTGCTCTCTAGAGTGGAGTACTGCTGCACAATGACAGCACCTTTCAAAGCTGGAGAAATTGCTGACCTGGAGAGCGTGCAGAGATCCTTTACTGCTAGAATCCACTCAGTAAAACATCTAAACTATTGGGACCGACTAAAGAGCCTAAAACTGTACTCCCTTGAGCGCAGGCGGGAGAGGTACATAATAATTTACACGTGGAAAATATTAGAGGGGCTGGTCCCAAACCTGAACACAGAAATAACATCACATGAGACCAGAAGACATGGCAGGATGTGCAGAATACCCCCGTTGAAAAGTAGAGGTGCAACAGGTTCTCTGAGAGAGAACTCTATCAACATCAGAGGTCCGAGACTGTTCAACACGCTTCCGCTACACATAAGGGGCATAACTGGCCGACCCCTCACAGTGTTCAAGAGAGAACTGGATAAGCACCTCCAAAGGATACCTGATCAACCAGGCTGTGACTCATACGTCAGGCTGCGAGCAGCCGCGTCCAACAGCCTGGTTGATCAGTCCAGCAACCAGGAGGCCTGGTCGACGACCGGGCCGCGGGGACGCTAAGCCCCGGAAGCACCTCAAGGTAACCAAGGTTCACTGCTTTCCCTTTATACCCATAATCTTAGTTGAAGATGGAATCTTTTTAGTGACATGGGAAATTTTACCAGACCACACACTAGAAGGTGAAGGGACGACGATGTTTCGGTCCGTCCTGGACCATTCTCAAGTCGATTGTGGGAATCGACTTGTGAGATTGTGAGAATGGTCCTGGACGGACTGAAATGTCGTCGTCCCTTCACCTTCTAGTGTGTGATCTGGTCAAACTACTTCAGCCACGTTATTGTGACTCATTGCCGACATTGGAAATTAGTATAATTTACCATTTCATGCAAAAGTGGGGGGCATGAGGCTCCACCCTGACCCATCTATGACCATCCTTGCACAAAGACCAGTCACTGTTCAAAGTTTGGTGAGCATCTGGCCCCCAACCTCAAATAAACACACTTTCTGTTTTATAGATATAAATAAATCAAAGGCTTAATAAATTATTTCTTCAAGGCTGTTGTATTAGGTTTTATTCTTTCAGATTATATCTAAGGAAAGGTAGAGGAGAAACAAGAATCTGTAAGATCTACGACTCCCCGTGTCTTCCTGAAGCTGAAGCCATGTTTGGAATATATGCTGATGGTATTGGTGATGCAAAAGACTGAAGTTTGCATTATAAAATTAGATTTGTGCCTTAATCTGTCTCTTTTTAAGTGATTGAGCCTAGCTTCAAGGATTAAGTTTTCTAACTTTTATATAATTATATATATATATATATATATATATATATATATATATATATATATATATATATATATATATATATATATATAAATAAATTACACACCATATACACATCTAGTTACATAAAGCTGATCAGTTGGTAAATATTTTGTACATATCTCCATATAATTACATGTTTCATTCATTAGTTTTGATTGTACTTCAGTCTTTCAAATATTAATTAATACATATCTTCAACTTTCCAGACATATGGCAATATTGTTACATATTTACTCATTTCTTATCTTGCATAATCATATACTGGTATTTAATAGAATTAAAAAGAGTACAAGATATAATTGCTATGAATCTTGACTCTTTATAGTAAAAAAATGAAAATAGTTTGCTTTAGTGTTTTAGTATCAATTAAATAATCATTGATCTATGCATTTATGCAGATTATGCAAAATAATTTTATTAAAACTAATTAAAAAATTGGATGTATCTTTATTGCTTTTGCTAATGATCTACCACAGTGTATTTTAAGTGATATTTACTTTGTATATAAAACTGTTATTGGCTTTGGAACTTTTTAATCATATTCTCTTATGTGCAGAGTACTATTTAGTAAGTTTATAATTGTGATATAACTTACATGATGCACAAATAAATTGTTAATCATTTAATATAATAGTCATTGGATAAAAACCCTCACTTATGTATGTATTTGTGAAACTTATGTAAAAAAAAAAATAAACCAAGTTTTTCGCACTCTCCCGAGTGTTTTGTCACAGTTAAGTTGTGTGTGTTAAGTCAAAGTTTTGTGTGTGGTTAGGTCGAGACTTGCATCTCGACGACTATTCACAATGATGATTAGTCCATTAGATTATTAATGTTGATGATGTATTGCAAGTCACATCCTAACCACACTTGGACTTTGATAAAGCACTCAGGAGAGTGCGAAAAACTTGGTAAAATTCTTTACATAAGTTTCACAAATACATAAGTGTGGGTTTTTATCATATGTTATTATGTGTGTGAGAAGACATTGCCATTACTTATAAAGTCATTGTTAACTTTTTCAGTCTCAAGTTTAAAATTTAAATGCATGTTAGTATTTTATTGACTAACCACGGCAAATATGCAGCAAGTAGTTTGAGTTCAACTTTATGATTCCTCAGGTTGTGCAAGGATGTGTATTTTTTTTAATATAAAAATATTTAAATTCATCAGGCTGTCTTAATGATGAAAGAGACCGGACATGGGTTAAAGTATTTTCTAGCAATACTTAAAGATTAGTTGGTTTACCTTCACATCCTTGTCCTACACTCCATTGTAGTTTACATGTGTAAAATTTCCTTTAAGGAAACTAAATTATTCACTCTCTGCCAGTGTCCTTATGTTCGGTTTATTCCGTTTCCTTAACAGAAACCTCCTGTTCATTGAGACATTCATTTTTTTTTTTTTTACATGCCTTACCTTACTTTGTATTGGTTTCGGGAATTAATGTCCCAGTCTCTGACTAGGCCAATTCTGTTTGCCTAGTTAGTTTGCCAATAATATTTCCTCAGTCCTCTGTCTTTTTGAAGCCTTTTGCTCCTGCTGCCATTTTCACTAATTATTCTTTGATCTATGAGCTGGATTGTTGAAGTTGGGCAAGTATGTGGCAAAAATTTCCTTATATTAGCTCATTCTCTTGTGGATGTGATGGGCTGTTATTTAGAAACATTACTATATGGTTGTCTGGCAGGCTAAAGCTCACTTTTAGATTTAAACATCAACACTTTTTATGGCCATATAAGTTACAAGGAGAGACTTGACCCATCTAATGACAATTGAACTTTTACTTTTCCAGATCACTAGTAATTAGTATGTGCCTATGCTAGGTGCAATGACATGCTACGCTACACCAAACTTACTTTATCTTGCTTATACCCAGAACCCCATCGTGGGTGTTGTCCATATGAGATAAGAAGACTCGTGTATCACTCTAAAGTTGGTGCAGGTGGGTTCAGCTGTCCTGCCTGCTGACCCTTCTGCCTTCTGTAATTCTTGCTGGTGCCAGATGCTCCATTCAGGAGTACATTCCCTCTCCTAGACGTTGCAATAGGCGATGAAACTTTGGGCATGGTGCCTTCAAATGCACAAATGCAGTGTGTCTATGCCCCTTGTGTGGGGACTCAGGTCAGTCTAAGATGGAGTGCTCTTCTTCCCAGACTCACTGCATCAATTGTGGTGACGCCCACCCTACTTTCTCTCACGTGTGTGTGCACTACAAATTTGAGGAAGCCATCCTCAATTTGAAGCACCGCAATCATCTGTCTTTTTCCTAAGGCAAGATGCCTGGTCCGCCGTCTCCCCTCTTTCGCTAGCATGTCTTGTGCTCATGTGTTGTGTTCTACCTCTCCTCAGCCTTCCCCTCCTTTCTCAATCTCACAACCGTTCCTTAAACATGTCAGGAGCCTTAGACCCAGACACATCCACCACCACCTCACCAGCTCCTTTATGTTCTGAACCAGAAGGTCCTCCTCCCAGTTCTCCATCTGGTGTTTCCTTCCTTCCTTCCCAGTCTGCCTTGTCTCCTGTGTCCTCTTTCCTTTCTCCCAATCCTTCTTCCCAGCCCTCCGCTCTGTCTTTTGGTCCTCCATGCCACCTGTCTGTCCAGGCTGTTGTCTAACATGCTCCCAGCAATCTTCATGTTGTTCGCTCCCATTATCCTTCCCCTGTTGAGACTATGAAGACTGTTGCCCAGTACGTTGCTCCTGGCACACCTCCCAAAGTCAGAAATGTAAGCCCGACTCCTCTCCTTCCTGCTCGGCAGGTAAGAAGGCATTACTTTCTATCCCTGCCTTCTGACCGATTCTATCCCTGCATCCTCTCCCATTTCAGTTGTCGAACCCCTTATCCTAGTTATGGAGATTCCCTTGATCCTCAATTCTCTCTCGGTTGCAGCCCTTGATGAGGTACGCTTCCCTGTTTGTCCCCCCACTTTTCCAATTTGCTTGACCACCCCTCTCCAATGCCCCCTCCCGCTCAGGACTCTGTCCGCCCTCCCACTCTTGACTCCATCGTCCTTGCTAGATTTACCCATGCCCCCTAACCCCAATTCCACTGATCCTGATCCTACCTAGTATACTGTGTTCTTCTTTGCATTTGTTTCTACCTTGTTCACGTTTCTGTTCATTATTTTTGACAATGTCTATTATTCAATTGAATATTCAAGGATTTTATGCCAACTTCTGATAACATGCTTTTTACTACTTGTGTGACTCCAGGAGCCGATGCTTGGCGCTTGTCCTGGTCACTTCCGTGGTTAAAGAGTTTCTGATAGGATCTTTTGTTGTTAAAGTTGTTTAAGATTCGCTACTTGGAACAAAATGTTCCATGTAGCACGGGCTATGATGAGCCCGTAAAGTCTATATAGGATCTTTTTAATTTGAATAAACTGTCTTCCATTAAAATTTCCAAGTTCATTCTTACCACATGCATTTAAAAATCTTTGATAAGGCCAAGACACTAATCTTATAGAACCATCCAAGGATTGTGTAATTACCCAAGTGTAGTTACTGGATGAGAGCTATGCTCATGGTGTCCCGTCTTCCCAGTACTCTGTCGTATAACCCTTTGTAACTACTGACGGTTTTTGCCTCCCACCTTCTCAATTGGCTTGTTCCAGCCATCTACCACTGTTTGCAAAAGAAAAATTTCTAATATGTTTTTGGTTTGCAAAATTATGAGTTAACTAACTAGTACAGTAGTTGGAAAACAAATCAGTCATGTTTTATTGGTAGTTTTATTAAAAAAGATTCCAGGACTACATGGAAAACAAGTCTGCAGTGAAATCTAGTTTACACAAGCCTTTTTAACATGGGAATGTACAACAAATTCAAATTTCTTGGCAATCAGGGGAGCTAATAAAATATCTATAATAATGGCTAGTAATGAAATGCTCCCAAAATTCACCATCCTTTGTAAAAGTATTTCTAATCAATATTTATACTGTATACTCTTCTAAACTTTCACTGCATTAGGAACAAGATTTTATATTTAAGATACCATACAACAATTTAAGTAACCAATAAAATCAACTTTTATTTGGAATATTATATATATATAAATTTTCATTGCCTAGCCTTAAAAAAAAAATTATATTCAAAGATTGTATGAAAATCTGAATGACCCATACATACAACATGTATCAGCTATTTAACTATAACAAATGGTAATGTAATTGGGGTATGAAGTCTGTATCATGCTCAATGTCTATTTCACTGCCAAGACCTTTTTGCAAGCAAGCATCCAGCCAGAGTCATCACGTGTGTGCTTTCAACACTGACCTTCATAAAGCAGAAAGAGCAAGCAGTTAAAGACAAGCATTGAGTGACAAGAGGGTGAAGGGCACACAGGCCTCGTGACCAGTTCCTTACATATTTAATGTCTTCAATGCACAAGGTACAAATCTATAATTAAAATCGGACCCATAGATGCCAAAAAGATATTTCCATAACAATTTTCAGATTGGAAAGTTAGGCATCACGAGTTGAAGGCTTCTGTAGCAGAAGGGATTCCTTGATCTTGGCTGGAAAAAAAGGGGGAAATATATTTATTAGTATATAATAGGATATTAAGCAACGACCATTTATAAAGTAATATATAAAACCGTGAGGGTGCCACTCCTGTTTGGGGGGGGGGGAGAGGAAGGTCCTTGCATGTTGAGTGGTAGTCAGTGGCAAAAAATTTTTCATCCATGTCAGAGGTTTTCATGTTACCCCTCCAGCTTCCCAAACAACCTCTTTCCTGTTAAATCTCTGTGGCTCTATCATAAAAACTAAGTATTGTTAAAACCCATACTGTCATGTTATTCCTCTTACATGTATTCAACCCACTTTGTTTTAAATATTTTTTGCTAGTGTTTTTATTACCACAGTTGTCAATGATTCAAGTATAATTTAGATGTTCTTCTCTGCCACCATTTTTTGTAGATTGAAACATTTTGCTTTTTTTTCATATCTGCTAAGATTTCTGTACAGAGAGATGTCTGGAAAAAAAAAAATTATGGAGAACGGATGTACACCTGAGCTGAGCAATCAGAACCAAAAGTGAAACTCCAACTTGGCTAATTGCTTTGTTTCTAACTCCTTGACCATTTTTTTCTACTTTATCTCTAACCACTTTATGTATTCTATGTTCTCTAACAACCTTCATTTTGCCCAGACACACTTTGGAACAGTTAATTTCGTGTCTCATTGCCTTTTCATTCCCTCTGAATCCGTTTCCCCTTATCAAGCTCTAGATTTTATCGTTCACATGTAACTCGCTTTTAATAAATTTGTAGAATAGGCCTGGTTCTGTTTTACATTTGTATGCAACCCCTTTCTCATTTTCTTTCTACTTCTCTATTCACTACAGTAGTCATTACTTGCTTGTGGTTTAGGCCTCTTTCTATATTGATTCCATTTGTCTTTTGTTCTCTGGTCCTCTTGCAATTTGTTGAACTAATCCCATTTTCTAGTTTTACATTGCTTTGGTATACATTTCTTTGCTGTGCCTTAATTGTATCTCAAAATTTGTCACACGTCTCATTTACTTCCTTAACTACAAATCTTTCCAATCAAATTAATTAAAATGCTTACAAAGTTCACCATACTGTCCTCTTTTGAAATAAAGTTCTATCACTACTTCCCTTTCTCCATTCACTCCTAGATTATAATGGATTGCACATTTGATTTCCAAAAAGGACATGGTCACTTGCCCTATGGAGGAAGGTACTGAATATTAAATCTATCCTCCTTTCTGGTTATATATCAAATCCAGCATTGATGGAGCATACTTCTCTCTCTCTCTCTCTCTCTCTCTCTCAAGGGCTGCTTAACATACATGAAAGTCCTCAGGATCCTATCATTTACAAATCAGCCAGTTTAAACGTTCTCTGTTCTTGCTTTGCCTTCTCAGTCTATTTCAAATTGAAGTCTCCCAGTATTAGCAATATTTATCTATCTACTCTTACTATAATCTCATGATTATAAGGCCCTCTCTTGTCATCTAGCTTTTACCTTTAGTCCAAGTGTTACTTGCTGGCAGACTGTAGGCAATAATGATTTATCAGTACTGTATCTTGATTGCAGATCTCTAGTGCCATTGAGTCAAATTCATGGGTTGGCAATATTAATATTCTTACCTTTAGTCATTCACAAGGACACCAATGCCTCCACCTTTGTGTGGGTGTTTTTATGCATGTGATAATTACCCAAGTGCAATTACAGGAGGAATATACTAATATTCCTAGGCCCATGTAGCCACCACAGCCCGGTTAGTTGATACCTGGTACCTGGTTGATGGGGTTCTGGGAGTTCTACTCCCCAAGCCCAGTCCAAGGCCAAGCTTGACTTGTGAGAGTTTGGTTCACTACTGTTGCTTGGAGCGGCCCGCAGGCCCACATACCCACCACAGCCCGGTTGGTCCGGCTCTTCTTGGAGGAAACAATCTAGTTTCCTCTTGTCCACGGTTGTTCCTGCAATATTTCTTATACTCGCTGGGAGGATGTTGAATAACCCCGGACCTCCGATGTTTACAGTGTTGCCCAATTGTGCCTATGGCACCCCCTGCTCTTCATTGGCTCTAATTCTGCATTTTCTTTCATGTCATTCACTCCAGCAAGTTGTTATTTTACCGTGAAGATTTGGGACCTGGCCGTACAGTATTTTCCATGTGTATATTATGCGATTCTCTCGTCTCCTTTCTAGCGAGTACATTTGGAGAGCTTTCAGACAATCCCAATAATTTAGGCGCTTTATTGCGTCTATGCGTGTCGTATACGATCTCTGTACTCCCTCTCGGCAATCTCTCCTGCTCTGAAGGGGAAAGCAAGTACTGAGCAGTACTTAAGGAGGGAGAAGCACAAGTGATTTTAATAGTGCAGTGTGATGGAATCCCTGGATTTGAAAGTTTTCATAATCCATCCTATCATTTTTCTGGCCAACGCAATATTTGCTTTATGTTCCTTACAAGTCAAGTCATCAGTCATTATTCCCAAATCCTTTACATGTATAACTACCCAGTCAAAAGCTTATTAATATCTTTGTAGTTTTTCCAATGTTTTTAGCAGAGGTAATTTTCATGCTAATTTTTATGTCATCTGTAAAGGATGACACGAAGCTGTGACTTGTATTTTTGTCCACATCCGATATGAAAATAAGGAAATGCAGAGGTGCAAGGACTGTACCCCGAGGTATAGAGCCTTTACAAACACCTTTAATTACCCAATTGTAACACGTGTATGTGTGTGTGCGCATGTAGTGTGTGCATTTTCTAAAAATAGTGTCTTGAAATGAAACAAACCACATCACGTACCTGAGGTTAAATGTTATCACTCCAGGTATTTGTATTTTGGTTGAAGCGTACATGATTGTCAATAATTTGGAAGAGCTCCGGAGGCTGGGGAATACGGCCCGTTTCTAGCTTAGACCAAACAGGAACATCTGTAAAGGTAGCGACTTCATTTAGTAATAAATATAGATGTAATTTACCACAATCCATTTACAGGCTGGGACATTCATTATGGAAAGAAATCTAAATACTGTAATAAAACAATGACTATCTTTGAAAAAGAATTTTTATACAAATAAATCTATTGTAGGAAAATTTGTTTAAATTAATCTAATAAATATCTGTAAAGACAACTTGTCAACTTACCATTGAAAGAAATTTCAAATGCACCTGTTGACACCAGCTGCCCTTCAACAGCATTACAGAGAAAGAACACCATCATACACGCGTAAATCTTATTAGTAGTGAACCACGTCCACCAAGACGGCGTCTCCTGCCCCAGCCATTCCCACATGTTAATGTTGGCTACAATCATGACTATAAAGAGAAGTTTGGCTCCACTCTGGTTATAAAAAAAGAAGAAAACAAAAATTCAATTTTTGTGGTGTAAATATGGCACAATATTAAATGTCATGTAAATCATTAAGTATTCATTTTTTTTTACCTTAATATAAATTAATAATTTATTTAACATTATGTAACTTTACTGTTAAGCACTCCTACCAGTACCACATTGTAAAACCTAGTAAATTTCAAAATATCTGCATATCAAAATATTCCCAAGTTGCTTACTTTTAAGATTCCTTAGAATGACCACAACCACCACCTACAGCAAAGACATACAACGTAGTACTTTTTTATATTTTTGCTGGTGAAGGAAGAAAACCCCAAGACTCTCGGACAAGGATATCTCAATACATAACAAAAATACAAATCCTACTCATCCTGCAGAGCAAAGGGTCAAAGTAATAATAATAATGATTATTATTATTATTATTATTATTATTATTATTATTATTATTATTATTATTAATTAATTATTATTTGTAGAGAAATGTGGACACTTTGTGAGTACCCATATATATTGCTACTGTATTACCAGTATTGTGGCATTTTGTTTAAAGTATCTAGTGAAACAACATATTAGATACTTTTGTACATAGTTACTTTTCATGCTTTGGGGGGGGGGGGGGGGGGGGGAATTCGACTACATGTACTTATCCAGACACGACTACATATCCAATCATAATTGAACCCAAGGTGTCTGGAAGGGAGGATGTTTTGTACTGTAATTTAAATAAAAATATTGTAAAACTCCAAGAAACCTGGAAATGGGTAAATGTAACAAATATTCAAGAAAAGGGATAGACAAGAAACACTAATAAGAACTGGAATGCTGTGTAGACAGCAATTTCTTTAGTTAGAAATCATTTCACACTATTCTCCATAAAGGGTTAGTGTAAAAAATGAAGAGGAAAGCCAAGTAATCAGGTAAGAGGCAATTACCCGATCAACAAGGCTGTGATTCATACATGTGGCCGCTTGGTCCAGCAACCAGGAGGCCTGGTCGACACTAAGCCCCGCCGTGGGGATGCTAAGCCCCGGAAGCACCTCAAGGTAAGCTGGGATAATTGGCAATATTATTGAACTGGGTAAGGAAGTACCGAATAGGAAACAGGATTACCATCCAGTCCATTCTCCGATTTGCCACAACTTACAAAATACGGGGGGAGAGGGGGGCACTAAAGATGCAAAAAGCAACCTTCTTAATCCAACCAACATTATGTATAAAAATTGTGGATATTTGTGAGCCACTACTACTACTGTATACTACTGTGCACATTGTATACTGGAGACCTTGGGCATAGAAAATTATGCACACAAGTCAAGAAGATAAGTTGCACAGTCAGAGGTGAGGCAGGAGGAATCTAGGAAACAGTGTCTCCAATCTATCCAAATGATTTACCTCAGGAGTGTATGTCCATGTTTGTAAACACAAAAGTAATAATAAAAGTAAAAACTGAGAACTGTTGAATACAGCAGGAAGATAAATGCCAGGAATGGGCAGGCACATAATTTAAGTGTTCAACCTTAACAAGTGCATGATAAAGATAAAAAAAAGATGAAAGGAAACCAAAAATAGAATATTTCATAAGTAGAAGGCAACTACTCGTATTGGAAATAGATTTTAGAGTACATAATTCCAGCACTAATACCATTAGTTTTTAAACAGGATAACATTGGCTGCATGTGGAAAACTGGCAAAGATAAGAACAGAACTTAGGAATGTTATCAAAAACTCATTCAAGATAATTTATATAATTTATGCTTAACTAGTACTAGATTACAGCACCAGCATGGAATTTTACACCTCATGAAGCACAGAGAAACTGGAAAAGCAGGTGTGTGCAATAGGGCTAGTGCCCGAATTAAGAAGACCATGCTACAATGACACGAAAACTCTACCCAACAACCATAGAGGAGCAGAAGGAATATGATCACCATATAAAAGATACCGAGGGAAAGCTGTACAAGGGCAGCTTCTTTAAACCAAGAGAAAACAGAACATTGATGGAAGAAGGGAATACATGCATCACAGAAGTAAAGAAGCACAGTATGAGGACCCTAATTTGAACCTCCATATCTAATAGCCGAGTAATTCAGCTAAAATCAAGTCAAAGTTCTACTTCATTTAATTCACATAGAAATCCAAATTGCTGGGCTTTGCAGTAGGGTTACTGAAACATGTGGCGGCCTTTGTTTATACTGTAGCATGATGTTAAAACTGTGCATTAATAAAGAAAGAATTATATTATAACAATTATGGTGTTAAAATGACTTAAGAGCTGTATAGTGTTTTCCCTGCCAAAATAAGGGATTTTTTTCCTTCTGTCAGCTAGCATATCACACCCTAAGTGGACTTGAGAACTTGCCACCCATGTGTTCCTCTCTTGTGTGAAACTATATACAGTAATGCAACTCCACAATTAAAAGAATTTTTATTTTTTTTTATTTTTTAATAAAGATTTTTTTGCCAAGAACATGGTTGGTAACAACAGCAATCAATGTTGTGTTAAGAGGAAGCAATCTTATCAGTTATGGATAAGCTTGGTCATTAACCATTGAGAAAATGGCAATTCTATTGCGAGCGTTGATAAGGAATTTGGAGTAGGAACAAGTACTGACATCAGGAAGAGAAAAAGAGCAATACACGACTACTAGCAAGAGAATTTTAACAAGAAAGCTTTGTAGTGTGCACACAATGCACAGTCAGATGAAGCTATGTACAAATGGTTTGCTTAGCACCATACAGTAAATATGACAAATTCAAGGATAAGTCAGGGTGACCCAAGTGTAATTAAAGAACCCAGTGTAAACATCAAAAGCCCAATCAACAACAACATATGTTGCTTGTATGTTGCCAAAACAACATTGGAAACTTTCAAAGTAACTGGACAATTCCTGCCGATGTTACTGGATTAGCCTGCCTGTGATAGCTATGTGCGCCTTTAACTATGAAGACAAATAGCCAACCAACAGCCAGTAAGAACCCCAGTTTGACAATCAACAGTGCTACCAAGCAAGGAATTGATGGACTAATTATATATGGATTGATCATATTCATTTCTGGGCCAAATTAACAAGTTTCTCCGGTGACAGCACAGGTACGACTAAAAATTATCTGTACCACAGAGCTATATGTTGCTTCAATATGACTGCATAATCTGATGTCCAAGAACAAAGTAGGATCTTGCATGCATCTACTTCCTACAATCCGAGTTCAGAAACAAACAAAATATACATGGCAGAACCACAAGGCATCCAATTTGAAGATGCTTAACAAGTTACACAAACATATACAGTACACTAATGGGGAAAACAATCATATCCTTAAGCCTACTAACCAGCATCTGCGCAAGCCATAGTTTCCAATCTGGAGGTGGATAATTGTCTCCCAAGATGGATATTTCTGGGTATTTCTCACGCAGGATGTTGGCATATTGCTCAAACACCTTCCTGTATCCTCACGAGTAGCTGTAATAAATAACACACTTTCAGTAACTTTTGTCATACATTCTACTAGTTACAAGAATTAATGAACATCACCTTGCAAAATTAATTAGCATATATTTACTTAATTCATTATGAATACAGTAATTTACATACAGTAGTACAGTATACACAGTACATTTATAGTGGAATTCTGACCAAAAGACCTAGTTAACAAGTTAAATGAACAAATCCACAAGGGCCGTGACAAGGGTTCGAACCTACATCCGAGAGGATCCCAGACGCTGCCTTAATCGACTGAGCTATGACATTAAAAAGAATTGCATCTAGTTAATAAGTTAAGAATCTAATAAGTTGCCTGGGTTAGCAAAATTACCAAGACCAGCATTTAATTTAAAATTATGTACTGTAGTACCAAAAATCTGAATCAATTATCCAACACCTGTTTACTGTAAGTAGTGCATGCATATGATAGGTAAATTTTCAACTGCTGCCCACTGCATGGAGGTGCAGTGCACGATTAGTAAATATGTAACTGGCTCACCACAGATGTAAATTACTCTACTTACGAGACTATGGCCCAGTTCTTAAACCAATTGGGATATTAAAAAAAAAAAAAAAAAAAAAAAAAAAAAAAAAAAAGTATCGACATCTACATTAAACTGTACATCCAGTTTATCAAGACTAAACGAGTTTTGGGGTTCAGTTCCCGAACCCATGTACCTTTGCAATCTTTTATACAACCGCTTATGGGATAGGCAAGGGTAAATAAAATTTTTCACTCAAAACTATTGAATTACTTAATCCTGTTGTAATGTTCCTAGCAATACCAGTACTGATGTGCTCCACTTTTTTTTTATACACAATAGAACTTTCTATATCTTTCAATATCTATAAATATTGTTACCTTACTTTATATTTCCTACAAGGCCACCATCTCTAATACCCATGATGGGAACACTAAGCCAGTGGTTTGTCAAAGGTTCTCTATTACTCAAGTAACTTTACCAGCTAAATTTTAAACTGACATTTAATCTTGGTATTTATGGCTTCAGCAGGTAGGCAATTGTGTGTTTTCTTTCCTACATTGTTGCTCTAGCTTGAAGCTCTTCCCCTTGTGTGCATTAAATTTTACCTTTAAAAGAAGTGGTCTTTACAAAAACTTCCAATTTCTTTGATAATTTAAAGAAGTCTACGAGATCAACCCTGTTGTGTCTGGTTTTGTTATTATATACTGGTATAGCTGGTATAGTATATACTGTATATGGTATACGAATTATGTGGATCAAAGGGTCCCAGTAATGCAGTCGAGTTCATTCTTGACTCGCAATCGAGAATTCCAAGTTCGAATCCCGGACGGGACATATGATTGGGCTCATTTCCTATCACCTAATGCCTCTGTTTACCTAGCAGTAAGTAGGTACTCAGGAATTAGTCAGCTCTTTGTGGGGTTGCATCCTGGACGGGGTCATATATGTATGTACGTACACACACAAGGGAAATCAAATTATTTCCTCAAATTGAGGAGAAAATAACAATACAGATTGTTAGATTAGAGTGGTCTATATTGGGTTGCATTGTGCAAATTTTCAAATCTGTTGTGAACTCTTTGGTACAAACCACTACACCACGGGCAGTCCTCATGGTGTAGTGGTTAAGGACACTCGCCTGGCGTTTTGCGAGCGCTTTGTCCTGGGTTCGTATCCTGGCTGGGGAGGATTTACTGGGCACAAATCCTTAACTGTAGCCTCCGTTTAACTCTACAGTTAAATGTGTTCCCGATTGTTCGACAATTTGTTGCGGGGTTTTATTCCGGGGAACACAGGATTAAGGACTTTCCTGAAATGCTACGCATATGAGTTTCTGTACAAGAATGTAAGAACTCTTGTATATATAAATAAATAAAAATAAAAAGTGACTAATCCAACTAAATCTAGCCAAATACAAAGGCTAGAGGCCAGGCACATGATAGCACTCGTGGGTTGTAGTGGCCCAAGTTCGATTCCCGGGGAAGGTGGAAACAAATGAGCAGTTTCTTTCACCCCGATACACGTTCACCTAGTAGTAAATAGGTAACTGGCAGGGTCCTGAGCTAAAAGCGCTATTCTGCAGATACAAATAGTAAATAAAAGTCACATCACACAAGAGACTTTGCACAGGCTTTTTAAAATCTACCTGACCTAACCAAATCGAGCCTAATCTAAGCACATTTCGTCCTAACCTCACATTTATGCCCATCTTCTTGTTTTGGTAGTACTTATAGTAACGATGAGGACCACAATATATATATATATATACCGATGTAAAACATGATTAGAAAGTAGAAACGGGTACTGTTGAACTTTGGGTAATAAGAAAAAGGTTTTTGTATTTATGATGCAAAGACAAACTAACCTTCATAGGCCTAATACACACTATCTGAGGCCTCATAGATTACACGTGATATACTAGGCCTAGGAATATTTGCTTTTAGCTTCATTTTTTAGTCTATAAAGTGAACAGTACAAAAAGTTCTATCTAATTGTTCAATACATCAATGTTTGTACTATGGTGCATATAGCTACAAAACATACTATCTAAACAGGACGAAGAGTTGATTATACAGGAAACTGGCTTTGTCAAATTTTATTGTTTACAATTTGACGCTGCCCTACCTAGCCTAACCTAGCCTCACCTAGCACGTGCCCATACATGTATGGCTAACTGGAAGCTGCAACATGTTGATCGAGTAAAGCATATCTTATGAATTAAAGATTAAAGTTTGCCCGAAACACTGTGCATACTAGTAGCTTTAGGTATTGTATATACTACCTATATCTATATATCCAACATGTTTGTAAATCAACTACGTATGGACTTTCCTGAATAAAATTTTCTTAACTAAGGCGCCCAAATAACTACGTGGTTATTTACCAGGGTCTGGCTCTATGATACACAAACTCCTAATGTTGTTAAGCAAGGAAACACATATCTAAGCATACACACATGTATTCCAAGGCCATTTAAAGCACCATTGATGAGAGACAAGAGCGGCCGTCAGTGACGAGTCACGACGGGTTGCACAAGTTGGTGGTGGTGGAGGCAGACATCTTCCACCTCACACAAGCTTACCAGTACAGGAACCTCAGCGAGGGACCCATCAAGTTGTTGAACTTCATCGCTGGAGCCTCCTTAACCGTGCCTCCCACAGGCATAAAGTCGAAGAGCAACAAGAGAGCCACAGTGGCCCCGAAGGCCAGGAGAGTGAGGGCGCCCCGCTCCGCCATGTTGTCCCTGCCGTCGGCCACCACCTGACTGATGGCTCCTCGCTCCTCACTATTACATTTCACCTTTGTAAACACACATTAATGACATTATGTAACACCACACCTCCATTACTTCATGTAGGACAGACGTAAATCTGTATATTTATGTATCGATGTATGTAGGTTAGATTAGCATTTTATAATCACTACAATCACCTGTGGGTGATTGTTCAATGAATCACTGAACTATATGTTTAACAGATCTATAGCCCTCTCCATGGAGGACAGAAGAAAATATATATTCATATATTGTATATTCTGGTTAGCAATGTAAATGTGTGACCATGTGTGTAGTGGAAAATAATAATAATAAAAAAAAAAACGCCTGACTAGGTCAGGGGCCCTCCGCTCTAAGGGGCCCCTCACCTACCACTGGCCCAGCTTAACCTTATACATCATTAAACATATCAAATTAAAACATTATGACAAAAAAAAGAGCTAGCATTCCAATGACAATTTACCTAAACATTCACTTACATGGATGTTGCATAACTATGGTTAATACGTACGTATTTTTTGGAAGAATTGTTCCCAGTTAATACTTGCTACTTCTGAAACTAAACTACTTATGAGGTCGAGCGAAACACACGAGGGGAATTTTTCTTATTAAAATTTTTAGTAAAATAATGTAAAATATAAAATGGAAACGTAGTGAACATATGATTTTGTTGAACAAGTGCGCACCTCTACTGTGTCTCAGATGACTGGCAGCTGCAAGGTCATGTGGGAATACCGCTTAACCTGAGGTCCCAGTTGGCTGGCAGCTGCAAGGTCATGTTGGAATACAGCTTAACCTGAGGTCCCAGTTGGCTGGCAGCTGCAAGGTCATGTGGGAATACAGCTTAACCTGAGGTCCCAGTTGGCTGGCAGCTGCAAGGTCATGTAGGAATACAGCTTAACCTGACGTCCCAGTTGGCTGGGAGCAAGTTTTGACTTTCCTTCTTTTAAGTGCCCTTTTCTTGATTAGGGTGATTTACGATCCTTTGCTCCTGGTGCTTCTTTAAAGGGAGCCAGGCTTAGGCTTTTGCTCCCCAGCAGGCTTATTTAGACTTGCAAGGGCCTGGTGTGGGTTGAATTGGGTGGAGCTTGCAGGCAGTAAAAGCTAGGATTCACCAGAAAATCTTTCATTACATTGTGCTTTATTTTTTGTTTTGCAATGTTACTAGTTAAATATACTTGCTACTCAGCTGCCCATCTGATTCTAGTGTACAAGTACTTATATCTGCACCTCTTCAGTTCCTCATTGTCTCTGTACCAAGGTCCCTATATGCCTTTATTTGCCTTTGTTTTTCCTTACACTAGTAAACCACAAACTTGGCATTCTCTTTTTGTACACTTTCCTCCTATGAGGTATGAACCGTTTCATTGCTTCTATGCATTTCCATGTTATGATTCCCAATTGTTTGGGACAGGAATTGCCATTGCCTGTTAAGCTTACTGAGGTTCCCTTAGGTCAACTACTGATGACCTTCCTCACATTGCAACCCACAATAATAGTTCAACTCCTTGATACCTATTTGCTGTTAGGTGAACAAAGACATCATGTGAAACAAAATGTACCCAACTGTGTCTGTCCCACCTGGGGGATCAAATCCAGGAGCCTTGGTTGTGAGCCAAGGATGTAGACCACCGAGCTACAAGACCCTTCATTTGCCATTTCCTCCCATTGGTCATTGTGGAAGTAGGCGAGAATTTGCATTACCTACTGTTATGATCTCAGCCTGCAGGAGAAACGAGTCTCCATCCTTGAGAGTTATTCATCAAGCCTGACCTGATTAGAAGGTCTAGCAAATATTGAGGTGATAACCCATATGTAAAATAGCTGGTTGGATATGATAAACAATTTGAGATTATGGGCAGTGAAGAAGGAAACAGATAAATGACTGGCTAGGAGATGTGGACATTTTGCTGGAGGCGTGAGGCTCGTTTCTGGAGGGCTGTGACCTCACTTGAGTGCCAGACATCGCAGGGGAAAGCTGCGCTCTGTTGAGCTCCCGTCAGAAGGGAACCCCTAGTGATATATCTCAAAGAGAAGAGAAGTGTGCAGACGTACCAGCTGGGGACGTGTGGTCTCAAGTCCCAGGCGATGAGAAGTGTTTATTAAATCGCCCAGAGGCATTATCTTGGGCCGTGGCAGCGCCCTGACCAACTTCGTCAGAGGAAGGAGCGCCCTCGACCAGACAATCTGTAGTAAGCACGATATACGCCAGTTCATAGTGATTGCTTGTAGTTGGTCGTGTGCCCAGCGACAGTAGCGATGTTTATTTATAAGTTAGACATGTTTTAATAAGGCAGAAGGCCTGAAATAAGAGAGTGGAGAGGGAGGAACACGGAGCGACGTCCGTCCCCTCTGAGCGCTGGCGGGCAACTGAGGGAGCCCGGCTCCTGACGGTGAAGGACCCTCCCTGAGTGAGGAGGCCCGCCGGGCGAGGTAGAGTATGGACCCGCCCAAAAACGGGGTAGTCCACTCTCACTGTATGTAGAGGACAGACAGAGGTTTGAGGCAAACATATTGTGTGATTATTTGCGTTTGTGTTAAAGGGGAAACAATTTTATTGGAGTGTCGATGGGTTGCAGGTTTGTCTTTGGGGAAGAAGTTGCTGAGAACTTCGATGCCAGCACAGATGAAGTAGTTGATGAGACTCCAAGGTAGTGGAGGCGAGGACCTCGAGCTGTGAGGAGAAGCAGTGAAGAGGAGTGTCATGTGCTTCTATAGAGGTGGTGAAGCACCATAGTTGCTCGAGGAAACTTCATGGTGTAGCAGCCAAGAGAGCTGTGGAGGAACCTAGCAGAAGTAGTAGAGCACCATAGTTGCTCAAGGAAAACTTCATGGTAGCAGCCTGGAGGAGCTGCAGAGGATCCTGGTAGTTAAACCCAGAAGAACCTGAAGATATCAGGGTAGTGAACTTCCAGAGGTGGAAGGGTAGTTCTGGTGGATTAATTGTAGGGAGTTGATAGTGTTTGGTTGTCATTAGCGTGCAAGACGCAGTGAGAGGTGAGTGACTGTTTGCATTCTTATGTCAAGGAGTGTTTTATACTGAAGTTTAGAGTTACAGTCGTAGGCTGGATTACCTACAGATGTATGTGTTCTAGGACTGATAGAGTGATCGATTGATCATTGTTGTGTATCAAGGAACATTTATACTGATATATGTCATTACATTCACATGATGATTTTCTTTGTACACATTTATAGATACATATATATATTTCTCTTGTTGATAGTGCAACAGTGTATGTAGACTTGATCAACTTGAGGTGGTTGATAGTATCAGGTGGTGAACCAGGAGATAGGATACCACTTGGTAAGCTGATGATAGAGTTCTGATGGTGTTGGAGAGCAACCTGATTGTAATATTATAGAGTATAGGATTCATTATTATTATATGTGTGTATGTATCGTGTATGTGCTTTGTCCAGTAAATGTATTCAAATTTGCTGGTATTTGACCTTGTCCTAGTGAGGCTTCCCAGGAAATAGTAAAGAAAGAAAGAGAGAGAGAGAGAAAGAACTAAGAACCATCGCTGTGGACAGGGTAGGATGGAAGATTAGTAAGTTAAAGGGGATTAAGGAGATTATATCACATAAGGAGAGAGTGGGGAGTCACAGCGGCTCGAGTGGGTGTGTGCACGTGACAACGAGGCTGAGTGTTGGAGCCGCATTCCCTAAACGTGTGACGTTGAGCCCCTCTCCAGGAGCCAGAAGCGCCTAGTGTGATCTCCTAGTGAAGTATAAGCACTCTACCGAGTTGTGGGTTGGGTTGTCTGTAAAGGAGGAACACGACAACACCACCAACACACAATCTATAATACTACCCACGTAGAGCTGACTAAATGTAAACTGTCAGCAATATTATTTGCACACTGCATGACTATGTACTGTATTGTGAAAAATTCAAAAATTTAGTGGTGTGCTAAAAAATATTTACAGTGGCGCCTTGATTAACGAATTTAATCCGTTCCGGCACCGAGCTCATCATGTGAAACGCTCGTCTTGCAAGACAATTTTTCTGCGAGTGGCTCGCTCGTTACTCGAAATGCTCATAACGAGTCGCTCGTCACTTGAGGTTCCACTGTGTTTCATTCACAATGATCTGCTACCAAAAGTTTTAGACAATTGTCCTCAGTTGACTGACTATAGATAGTGCATGTAGGTGATTGTAACCTTTCCACAATCATCCACTGGATGGGTATGAAGTGCACACATATATAAATGGTAATCACTCATTTGCTGTTGTTAACAGTTCAATGATTCCTAGCATGGCTGCCCTGCACATTCAGACATTGGATGGTGATGCTCCAGACATGATCTGCATCTTCTTACATCTGCTACATCCTGTGATGGCATCTTCCCTGGAAGGAAAGGGACTCGGGATTTTGTTCCAAATATGGCAAATGATTGACTGAGAGGTCTAATATCAAATGACATCCTTTAGAATGGGGAAAGACCTTAAAAAAAATGGAGAATCTTAAAAATCTCTAGGCAATTAGAGCATCTGGGCCAATCACTTAGAGATGATCGGAACAGTTAAAGGGTTAAGACAGCAACTAAGTGATCTAGCTCAGAAATATGAATACAAATAATGTTGCAAACTATTTTTTGTTAGTATGATTTTGCAAATCTAATGTAGTATAGGCCAGTATGCTAAAATTTATAATTGTTTCAGAAGTACTGTACAGTACATACTTATGAATTTATTAACACAGGCCTTGGTAGGGTAAATGAATAAAACATAAGACAGTTGGCTAGACATGTTTATTGAAATATAATGTTACATCTGAAGATACATCTTCCACTGAGGTCCATAATTTAAAGTGAAAATTTCATCTATTCTGCTCTTCACACCTTCAACTTCATCTTTAAGTCTGAAAAACAAAATTTGCTATATATGAGAAGCTGTCTAAAAGAATATGATTACATTATTTGAAATTTAAATAATTGCCACAGCAGATGATAAACATAATCGATCATAATTGTTCCTTACACAAAACAATAAGGAAACACACACATCTAATATATAGTCTATATTGCAGTACTTGTACAGTAATTTATCAAGAATTTATTCTCATTGCAACATTTTTTCTAATCATTCACTACATTAACCATTTAATTTAAAACAGTACTGTACAGGTACTTGTAAAAGCATAAATTTATACACATCACACTGGTCAGTGACCTTCAGTGCCTCAATCATACATTTTTTTTAAATCTTTCCCATTGCCAAAATCCATCATATCCATTAAGTTTCAACAAAGCTGATGATGTAAGAATGTTATTAATGCTGTTTATTTTAATAACAAATAATTACTGTGGAAGAACACAAAGTGACGCTCTGACATGATGCTGCACTCCAATCACTGAAGAAGGTGTAACTGTAGCATGAGTAACAGCATAAGTGCATATGTAGCAGTCCCCGTGGTGCAGTGGTAAATCATTTGCCCGGCGCTTTGCGAGCGCTTTGGTTTCCTGGCTAGGGAGGATTGACTGGATGCCAATCCTTAACTGTAGCCTTTGTTCACCTAGCAGTGAATAGATACCTGGTTGTTAAAGAATTTCACTGGTCTTATTCCAGAGAAAAATTAGGATTAAGGACTTGCCCAAAATGCTATGCATGCTAGTGACTTTACAAGAATGTAAGAATTCTTGCATATATAACAAAATAAAAAAATATGTAACAAGATACATCAGGTTAAGAGCACAGGAAGTTTAGAACTAGCGGTAGTTCTATACTACTGTATCTTGTGATGGCATATATTTATGTAGGGGTGTTCTACATGCAATATGTAAGTGGAAAGTGTGAATGTTCCAACACCTAAGCCCTTCTGTGTGCTGTATGTGACTTCATGGGTAAATGTCAATATCCATCCAATTATCTGCTAATTACTGAATGAAACCTATCTTCAGGGAGGAGATCCCCTGGAGGTATTGGATTCAAAACCATTATGTAATTAGTGCTGCTATCTACTCTATCCATGCCTGATCGCGCTCATATGTGTCGCTTACCTTTGGAGACTAGCATCTTTACAGCAGAGCTTTATGCTATTCTCTATGCTCTTCGTCTCCTGCTTTCTCGTTGTCAGTCTTCCTTTGTAGTTGTTGTTGACTCTCGTAGTGCTCTCATGGCTCTCGGGTCCTTTAATCCGGTTCATTCAGTAGTTGTCGAGATCCAGCATTGGCTGTTTCTTGTTCACAGTAAATTTAAGTCGGTTGAGTTTTGTTGGGTTCCCAGCCATATTGGTGTGTCTTTAAATGAGCGTGCGGATGCTGCCGCTAAGGAAGCTGTCCGCTCTTGTCCCATCTCTGGTAAAGGTATTCCATATTCCGACTTTTACCCGGTTATCCATTCCTCCGTCCTTACCCGTTGGCAGGCTTCTTGGTCGTCTGTTACTGGTAACAAACTACGTACTCTTAAATGTTGTGTTTCCTCGTGGCCGTCCTCCTACCACCGTAACCGGCGTTGGGAAACGGCTCTGGCGAGGTTGCGTATTGGCCATACTCGCCTAACCCATGGTCACTTGATGGAGCGCCGCCCTGCTCCTTATTGTCCTAGTTGCATTGTCCCTCTTACGGTCGTGCATGTCCTTCTTGAATGTCCTGACTTCCAGGACGAGCATGTGTCTTGCTTTCCGACCGCCCCTCGCGGTCACCTGTCCCTCAGTAGAATTCTTGGTGACTCGGATACTTTTGATGTCGTTCGCCTTATGCGTTTTTGTTCCCGTATTGGCATCCTTGGTGATATTTAGCGCCCTCTGATTATTCTGCACATTTGATGGTGCTACATAGCCTTCCCGGTTTGGTGCCTTCTTTTGATAATTACGTACTTACTCTATCCATGGTTAGGTTAGGTTAAAATTTGCTTACACCACTATGTAATTAGTGCTGCTATCTACTCTATCCATGGTTAGGTTAGGTTAAAATTTGCTTACACTATTAATAAAGTGTAGCATTGTCCAAAATGTGAAATATTGAATTTGAAAACTATTTAAGTGTACCCTTGAATTTTGTCTACAGAATCAAATTCTTCAGACTGTTTGAAAGGAAACGTGTTCAGCATATTTTATTTTAAACCAACAATTTATAATACAATAAGTTATAACTTGATAATATTCTCTGTTTAGGACAAAGTTTCACTTGCAAGTTTACAAGTAATTTACAATTCCATATTATTGGAACCATAATATATTTTCAGACCATCAAACATACCTAGATAACTATCCAGGTTGTTTGAAAGAGAGTTTGGCATCTCTGTCTAATGGATCTGCTCCGAGAACGGGCTGCTAAATGTACTCGGTTATTATGGTCACTGTATCAATCGCATCACAAGGGAAATAAATGGGGTTATTCCTTGCTCCAGTTAGTTATTTTCTTTTTAATAAATATACACAGCAGACACACTGATTATTATGATTCATTTTATATATCCCAAATATACAATGAACATTACTTAACGTAAAATATTAAGGCAATAAAGAATATTTAGTATTATTTGTCATATTTAATGCCCAATCCTTAAATTTATTGTACAGCTCATTTTATGAATAAAAACTTGCCTACTTCGGTTTCCTGTTAAATTTGACTTAAAATTTAGATATGACTGGTGTTGCATACAAATATTCATTTATCATACTTAAATAATACCAATATTTGTTGAACTTTAACAATGCTCTTACTTGTCATTTGAAGCAGAAGCCAGTGTTAGCACATCTGAGAACTTCAGTAATTCATGCGCAAACTCAATACTCTTGGACCCATAACGTGATTCTACTACTCGAAGACATTCTCTCAGTTCCAAACAACAGCTCTTAAAGTCACCTGCAAGAACAATTTGATCTTCATAATTTCCCCAATGAAATAATTAATATTTCAGGTACCAGCAACAGGTAAACAATGTAAAAATGTTCAGGAAGACAAAGTGAAATACAGTACAGTAAAGTAAAAGTAAAAATAGTCGAAGGCAAGTAGCATTACAGAATACTTAAAAATTACTAGATATCATTTAGGATGCAATATAAGAAGAGAAAGACATAAGATGAGCAATGTCAAAGGAGTCAGATTCACAAAGGATTTTATGCAAAGGATGTATCATGCAAATTAACAGGTTGGGGGGCTGTAAGAGCTTATATTACCTGGAGTATATACTTGGAGGGTTGTCTGGAAATTGTTCTACTCCCCAAGCCCAGCCTAAGGCCAGGCTTGACTTGTGATAATCTCTCACGTTCCTTGATCACGAGACTCACAATCAGAAAATGGAGTCATGTAGGAGGGAAGCCACTAGTTCCACACTGACATAAAGAGGTCCACTTTGGCTGATTAAATGTCTTGCAGAGCCAACAAAATGACACATTGTCAATGGTCCAGTCCATGAAAATGGGACAGAAACTACACAAGTCTGCTAGAGCAATGGACACACCTGACACATGAAACACACTGACAACCAAATCCATACATTTGAATTTCTCCATACACAAACAAACCAAATCCTAAGAATACAGAAGCCAAGCTATGCAGAGTCCAGCTAGAAAGGGAAAAGGACTGACGACTCTCTGCAGTTCAAGGAATGAACCAATGAAAATCAATAAGAACGGAATCAGAGAATGAAGCACAGAAGAAGACTAATCCTCCAAAGGGCGTGCCACACTGCCACAAACTCTCATACTGTGCTGAGCACCCAAAGGAGTTGACCCCCACCCAAAAACCCTTGCAGGCTCGGTGAGCACTGGTCATGAAACCCTAACCTAGCATCTGTAAACACATTGACTGATGGGCGAGGAAGGCACTATGGGACAAAGTCCCAAAATGCATCAAAAGAACCTGGTGAAACAAGAGCTGACAAAGGGCAAATGGAGCCCAATCCTGATGATTTGGCAGCTAAGAAACAACAGAACCAGAGGAACAATACAGTGTCCATAGCCAAACCCAGCCCAGGGAAATACCACGCAGGATAGGTTCAAGCTCATGCACAACAGATCGATCACCTAATAAAGCAATAAAGTACCTAAATTATTGGGATCATTTCAAAACTCTCCAAATGTACTCACTAGAAAGAAGATGAGAGAGATATCAAATAATATACATGTGGAAGATACTGTAGGGCCAAGTATCAAATCTACACAGAAAAATAACATACTGGAGTAAACGATATGGAAGAAAATGCAGAATAGAACCAGTGAAGAGCAGAGGTGCCATAGGTACAATCAGAGAATACTGTATAAACATCAGAGGTCCACGGTTGTTTAACATCCTCCCAGTGAGCATAAGAAATACTGTAATGCTAGAACAACCATGGACATCTTCAAGAGAAAACTAGATCATTTTCTCCAAGGGGTGCTGGACCAACCGGGCTGTGGTGGATATGTGGGCCTGCGGGCCGCTGCAAACAACAGCCTGGTGGACCAAACTCACACAAGTCAAGCCTGACCTCGGGCCGGGCTTGGGGAGTAGATGAACTCCCAGAACCCCATCAACCAGGTATCAACTGCCAAGAAACTGCTAGTTTCTGGGTAAATTTTTTGTTGCCAAGAACTCCAAATGAAATGAATTTTGCCATTTGGTATTTGGAATGCCAAGAATTCCAAATAAAAGATTAATTTGACTGTTTCAGTGCTTCATTTTCTTTAAACCTTGCAGTTGTCTGTATTGCTTCACTTACTTTCTGGATGTTTTCACAGCAAGAGTGATCATAATCTCCTGCCCTGTGCCTGTTGGGGGCACAGGTTCTGGCTCTCTGTAGACCATACTTCAATGGCTCATGCGATTCAGTAGGGAGGAAACCATCTCGGCAAGATGACTTCAGGAAGTCTCCATGAGGCTCCAGAAGTGCAATCATGATGCACAAAAGAATATGAACAAAGCAATGGCCTACAACAAAGCTAATATTCTAAGGGGAAACCAGCATCACTTAGTTGAAAGTATAAAATAGGTGATGAGGCCCAGCAGAGGTGTGTACAGCTATTGGCACCAGTAAATGATTGAGGTGGCTGGCTGTCTAGCTGAGGCTTTGGGTGACCTCAGTTGCCATCTAGTGGCAAATAGATTCATTAAGGTTAGCATATGTTGTTTGTCTTCTTTTCCTTTGGGGTTCCTAATTCTCTTGTAGTAATGTAGTTACTTGTTTTGTGGCACTTTAGAATTCTGGTGGGTTTTTTCTCAGTTCTTTAGAATTCTGATCTCCAAGCAACCCTTTGCCTTGTGGAGTACATATACGTACATACATACATATATATTATATATTATATATTATATATTATATATATATATATATATATATATATATATATATATATATATATATATATATATATATATATAATTTTCTAACCAAAATTTTGCCACATGCTAATTGGCTAATTGTATGGTTTTAATTTTGTCTTAATTTTAATTGCATGGCTTATTTTTTAGGCTGAAATTGGAGTCTCTTACCTAAATCACTCAAGGCACACGCAAGTGTGTCTCGAACTGAAGTGAAGTATTGATTTTCTGGCAGGTACACTTCAGAACCTTTTGAGAGAGCATTCCTAAGTAGAGTCACAGCACCTGGTACATCACCTTTTTGCAAAGCCTCCTCACCTGCATCAATATGAATATTTTTAATTATTAGGGAAAGTTTTAATTAAAACAAACTTGATAATTCATACAAATGCTACACAGTAGAGCCTTTATATAAAGCTATTTTAACAATGTTAAAGCCATTCCCAAATAATAATGATAATGTACACAGTATTTCACAAGAGGTGGCTATAAACTGTTTACAATTCTCACCAGCTTCATGTAAAGAGTTGACCTTAGCACACACGTCCATAAGGTGTGCTGATGGCCTCTGCAGTGTGTGACACTTGAGGCACAGAAACACTCCTCCACTCTCAGCTAAATCAGAGCCAGTGGGATCATTTTCACCCATCCAAGATAACACACCTCTACACTTTTCACAACAAAACCCACTCCAGCTTGCCTGAAATATTAAGAGTATACATCAACAGCTGAAAGGTCATAGTGTGAAATTCATGTGGATTCCATCTCATGTTGGAATAGTGCTCAACGAGGTGGCGGATGACTTGGCCAAACGTGCCACATCAAAACCACAAATTGACATTGAATGTGAATTCACAATGAGACAAATAAGAAGCAAAATCAGAAATATTCAGGCACAGGCAGGAGTGGAGAGGAGAGGGATAATGTATGAGAGAAGTCTAACCATGCAACACTACATGTATGTGAGTCAAAACACCCTTTTCACTTATGGTAAAAGGAGAAATGCTTGGAGTGACTGTGTACATGCGGCTCAGGCTTGGGTACAAATATTACTGGGAATATGGGATAGGCGTTCATGATAATGACACGAAGTGTAAACTATGTGGTATGTTAAGGTCTTACACCCTTGCCCATTATGTTCTTGATTGTCCGTTGATTAATGTATATAGAAACACTGAGATAAGGACTGTTCCTGAGCAAATAGCCTGGATGTGTCACAAAGGAAAGGTTGATGATATTCTTGAGAGATATAAGAATTTTGCACCAAGACTGTAATATTTTGTTGAATTATCCGTATAACTAGGTCATAAAAGTATTTGTGCACGTCTGATACCATACCACTTGTGAAGGAGGAAATGTACATGTTTATCTCTCAGAATGTTTGGTAACAGGTTTATTGTTTGTGATGTGTGTCTATGTATGTACTAACACGTTGTACTGAACGGGGTGAGAATAGCTTGAGCTACCTCATCCCTTTGTGTGTATTTTACCTCAATAAACTTATTTCAATTTCAATTCAATTTCAATTTCAATCATTACAGAGGATTCCAAGTTATAAAACATTTTAGAAAAAGGTTATAAAGCAATGAAAAGAACACATATATTTTGCCATTGATCATGAAGTCAAGTTGATCATGAGATGTATCCAGGTTGGCATATCATACGATATAAAAAATGTGGTGAAAGGCATCCTGGAGGTACAATGTTTGCATTCCATAATCTGGGATCCTTAATTTGCAAAGTATTTCTGTTTTGGTTGAGTCTCACTCTAGGAATATCAAATACTGTACATATTTGTTTTTTGTGTTCTTGTGTAGAACATATGGGCTCTGTTGCAGCCCTCTAGGAAGAATATAAGGTCAGGAATAGCACTGCAGTTATTGGCTTATAGGTACAGTATAGAGTATGCTCGAGTGTGTGAAGTGACTTGATATTTAACATATTCAGAGATTGCAGTAAGGGTGCTGGGTGATGCCTGGGACTGGAGTTTGTTATTGTTCTGATTGCTGAATAATGTTGAGTAATAATGGATAATTTTGGGTCGTAGATCCCCAAGTACAGATACTGGAGGCGAGATATGGATAGATGGGCAAATAAAGTCACCAAGGCAGAGTGAGGTACATAGTAACAGATTTTAGAGAGACTGCCTACTGTTTGAGACTTATATTTTATACAAGGCAATTGAAATTCATTTTTTTATCAGTGTAAACACCAAGGAATTTCCCCATCTACTCTGCTCTTAATTTGTGTATTGCTAATTGTTAATTTGATTTCTGGACTTTTTCTCAAACAATATGTAATACAGTTTTCAATGTTAAGGGTGAGTTAGTTTGTAGTCAGCCATAAATGTACTTTTTTTTTTTAATTCTGCATTCACTGTTATATTCAAAACAAGTAGGTTAGCATTTAAGAAAATGAAGGTTGTCATTAACAAATAGAATTGCTCTCAGGTGATGTGTGGCATTTGGTAAGTCATTGAAATAAATGAGAAAGAGGAGTGGATCAAGTATACTACTACCCTTTGGAAAGCCATTGTTAATTAGCAGTGTGGGAGAAGTAGCATTGTTAACAAAAACATACCAGTGCTTGTCACCGAGGTAAGATCGTAATTATTAAAGGGAGTGACTTCTGACTTCATAATGCTAGTTTGAGAAAGTTATTGTGGTTAATGGTATTGAAAGCTTTGTTTAGTCAACAAATATTTATGTTTGTGAAGAGCTGCAAGTATCAAGTCAAGCATATTTGTTAAAGAGCCAGTGGTGCTTTTCTGGAGTCTGAAGCCATATTGGCAAGAGCTAAGTATATTAGCTCTTATCTCATCCTCAAGTAAACACATACTTTTGCTGCCCGATCATGTATATTTCGTCACAGAACCAAAATCCAGAGAGTGCGTGATGATGCAAACGGCATCATTAATTTAAAAATGTGAATTGTCCAAATACTATGGGACTTGTTTTAAAATGCGCACCAACGTCTTCCCATTCTCTGTATTTCCCACGTGGCATCTTGACTCCGCTGTGTGGGGCAGGGTCAGGATGCCGGAACAATGTCAAGCTGGAGGCTCACTGTTCTCGTGATCTAGCGCGTGACAGCTGCAACCTCCCCTCAAGTCTAAAAGTTTCCCCATTCCAGATATTTTATCTCAGGTATTTGTTGTTATTGGCTTTATAAATACTGCAAATTGACTTCCAGATTGATACTGATCAAGAACAGAGCCAATCCATGACAAAAACATTGAAAGAAACATGTATGAGGGAAAAGTTATTGAGTGTTTGTCAAAAGTACAGTATAGAAAAGTGAGATTTAAATGTTCTTAAATGCAAATATCCTTTTACAGCATTCTACTGCGAACAATTTGATACCAAATTGCATGACATAGCACAAAAATTGAGGTCAGAAAGCTGAAACGAGAATAAACATTGGAGTGGTGAGCTCACGGGTAACGCTTGGGCTACATTGCAGTGCGTGATGGGTCTAAAGTACAGGAAAGTGAGCTTTTATGTTCTTATATGCAAATATTCCTTTACAGCATTCTACTGCAAACAATGTGATACCAAATTGAAAGACGTAGTACGAAAATTGAGGTGAGAAAGCTGAAAAAGAGTGTAAACATTGGAGTGAGGTTGTGTGCTCACAAGCAATGCTTGACCGACTTTGCGGTGTGCGGGGAGTCGCCGGCCGTGCCAGTGAAAGTTTTAACAGACACACAAATACTAAAGAAGATTAAATACTAAAGAAATTGTTCATGACCTTCGTTAGACCAAAGTTGGAATATGTAGCGGTTGTATAGTTTAAGAAGCACATCAACAAACTGGAAAAGGTGCAAAGTCATGAAACTAAATGGCTCTCGGAACTGAAGGACTAGAGCTATGAGGAGAGGATAAAGGCATTAAATATGCCAAACTAGATGATAAAAGAAAAAGAGGCGATATGATCACTATGTACAAAATAGTAATGGGAATTGATAATACTGTACTGTATTGATATGGAAGAATTACCAAGAGCTGGAACTTCAAGACCAAGAGGTCATAGATTTAAACTAACTAAACAAACCTGCCAAAGAAATATAAGAATAAACTTTTGCAAACAGAGTGGTAGATGGTTAGAACAAGATAGGTGAGAAGGTGGTTGATGCCAAAACCGTCAGTAGTTTCAAGGCATTATACTATACTGTATGACAAAGAGTGCTGGGAAGACGGGACACCATAGGTGTAGTTTTCATCCTGTAACTACACTTTAGTAATTACGCAAGAATCTTAAAATCTATGGAAATAAAGCAAGCTAAATATAATCATAATTTAATTGAATGACCTGTGATTAGTTTCAAGCTTCATACTACTATATAAAAGAAACACAAAATGTAATTTGCCATTACCTCCTTCTGCAAGTATTCAGGTTGGGTGCATGGTACACACTTGCAAGTAAAAAAATACTGTCGCTTTAAAGACTCTTGTCTCTCTTGACGTGTCTGACGGCAGTAGTGTGGTCCTGTAAAACACCAATGTTCAGTTATTTTAATTTCATAGAATTTACAGTATTGGCATTCAAGAACTGGTAACCAAAAATGGCCCACATATCCACTACAGCCTGGTTGGTCAAGCACTTCTTGTAAGAACTTATCTAAGTGCCTCTTGAACACATCCACCTATGTTCCAGCAATATTTTTAATGCTTGCTGGGAGGGTGTTGAACAACCATGGACCCCCTGATGTTAAGACAGTGCTTTCTGATTGTGCCTATGGCATCTCTACTCCTCACTGGTTCTATTCTACATTTCCTTCCGTACCTTTTGCTCCAGTATGTTGTTATTCTACTGTGCAAATTTTATGACCTGACCCTCCAGTATCTTCCATGTATATATTATTTGATACCTTTCTCCTCTCCTTTCCAGAGAGCACTGTACATTTTGAGAGCTTTAAGACAGTCCCAATAATTTAGATAGGACATCTAAATTTAGAAGCACAGGGTAACTCGAATGTGTAGAGTTCTCTAATTTGAAAATCATTACCACTAGCCCCAGGACACACACAAATAAACATGCACCATTAAGACAGAAGGTTTTCCGGTGCAAGTAATGAATGTGTGTGTTGCAGCACAAGCATAAGAAAATGTAAATGAGCTGTAAACAATACACTGCACTTATATTGGAACAGTACTGTTTCACTTCATTTTCTAAGTACTGTACCGTAATTTGTATATCTACCAGCAGCTTTTATGCCTTGTGCTACCATTATATATAAATGCCATATTCTACCTTTGATACTGTGCTTTATCTTGAAACTCAATACAGCGTTTAACACTGGATAATAAATATGCAAGGGAATATTGCTGGCACTTACCATAACAGTTAAAAATCTGGTCATTAGGGTTAACATCTTCAATTGTCCTTATTATCAGTAAATCCTTTTGAAAACTGAAAAAATGGAACATGCTATAAATGTACATACAAAACTTACATCACTTCATATTATTTGTTAAAAGATAAAATCTCAGATATGGGAATAATTAAATATTATAATAAAATAATATACATACTGTATTACCAACCATAAAATAAATAATATATTTTAACTTGTGTTGGTTCCGAGGATCAATGTTCCCGCAGGCCAGTCTCTGACCAGGCCTCTTGGATGGTGGTCTAGCCAATCAGGATGTTAGATGCTGCTGCTCTCAGTCTGAGATTTGAGTTACATCCTGGTTGATCAGGTATCCTTTGGAGATGTTCGTTACGTTCTATCTTGAACACTGTGAGCTCAGTCAGTTATACCCCTTATGTTAAGGAAAGTTGAGAAGTCTTTAGCCCTTGTTGTTGACAAAATTCTCTCTCAGTGTACCACCTGCAACTCTGCTCTTCAACGGGATTACCTTGCACTTTTTGCAATGCATCCTGGTCCTGTGGAGTTATTTCCATGTTCAGATTTGGAACCAGTCCTTCTAATATTTTCCAAGTATAGATCTATCTCTCTTGCCTGTACTCCAGAGAATATAGATTTAAAATTTTTAAGTGGTCCCAATATTTTAGATGCTTTATTGACTGGATTTGGGTAATAAAAGAACTTTCCATTTTCTCTAGGTCAATAATTTCTCCAGCTTTAAATGGAGCTTTTAGTGTGCAGCAATATTCCACACTCTAAGAGTACAGAATTAGTGTTTTGAATGGTGTCATCATTGGTATGGCATCTGTTCCTCAGACTTCCAGTAAACAGATGCCATCATGGAAAAATATCGTGGGCCTCCTGGGTGTGAGGGGCCTCAGTACTGAGAGCGACCATGAGTAACATATGCAGCAGCCAACCCGTTCTCGCAAATTCGTATAGTCAATATTGACTTATTAAATAAGTGCATAGGTGATATACTAAACATAATAGATACCCTTAAAAAGCTTCATAGAAAACACCGACCTTACCTAACCTTGTTAGTATGTTAAGATAAGCATCTTATAGCTTCGTAATTACAATTATTACTTAACCTATAAGATGCTTATCTTAACATACTAACAAGGTTAGGTAAGGTCGGTGTTTTCTATGAAGCTTTTTAAGGGTATCTATTATGTTTAGTATATCACCTATGCACGTAGTTAATAAGTCAATATTGACTATACGAATTTGCGAGAACGGGTTGGCAGCAGCACCAGCTCCACAACACTGCTATGCAGTTCGTGTCCACAACACCACTTAATAATGATGAAATATACAAGTAATTGCAATTCTTTAATGATGATCATGTCACAGAAGATGCTGATTGTGATAAACACTATGTACAAAGGTTCAGATACCAGTGAACCCAATGCTGGTTACAATGTTTGCAGCATCAGGCAGGCGCCCACAGCCACAGATTGGTGCACCTATGCATCATGAAATAGGACCTCATGACCTAACACACACACACACACACACACTTACATTAATTTATTTATATTTCAGTAGAAATAATGGTTTTCAACCTTGTTTTCCTGCTTTCCAAATAACCTTGTTTTCAAACATTTACGATAAAAATATTTCAACTAAGAGTAAAGATATATGGTATTTAGTAAAGGTTTTCAATACAGCTACAAAAATTTAAAATAAATCTGCAAGAAGATACCTGTTGATAATATTAGGTTTACACGAGTGATTCATGAGGCTGGCAGTGGGATAAATAGCAGATGCAATTCTCTTTTGTGACACTTGCTCCACCTTACTCCTCTCCCCTGTCAAAGAAAATACCAGATATATAACATCTTCTAAAGTGATAAAACATATTGGACAAATTTACAACACAATAATTAAAAAACAAAGCAATGCGCCTTTAATAGATACATTCTGATTGAATTAGTCAAATTAATCGAGATTCAAAAGTTTTTCCCATTCCTCTCATAGATGTCTGAAACATAAATGGGTTTTTGCAGAATCCCTAAATAATCATACAGTTTTGGGGGCCTTGCCCAGTTGATGGCAATTATTGACATACACTACTTTAAATGTAAAGTGCTCATAGGGCATTGCTCCCTGCGCTGAGGGGGCCAGGTTTTGGCTCGTGGTCCCTGGTAGGCAAAGGACTCCTGTGACTGATGACCCCAAACTAATAAATCACTATATCAGTTCAAACAGCTTCATGGAGCTGATGGGGTTCCCCACAGAAAATGTACATTTACTCAAACTTATCCACATCCTTAGACTATATCCAAATCCTTGATTTACATATTTACATAAATAATACAGATAAAGAATACTGTATATTTTCCCATAAATTATCCAAATATATATACTGTAAATACAGTACATATAAATGTGTGACGTTTCCATTTGTGCAACAATGTTTTTGTTGTAATATAGCTGGTTGCCATTACAGTACAGTACAACATTCAGCTGAGCAACTGCTTCAGGTTGTTTTTCTCTGTGAACCTTGCAGTTGTCTGTATTGTTTTGCCTACTTCAATAGTATACTTGCTATTGAAGGTGACTGTGACAGTCCCTTTATTCCCCGTGCCTCTGTGAGTGGACCCGGGTCCACAATTGGCTAGCCAGGACTCCTAACACTGATGTGACTCATTTTGGAAGGTTATTAAGCGAGATAGCTTCAGAGAGCCACCATTCAACCTCTCTAGAAAAAATGATTGGATGATCTTGAGGTTATCTTGAGATGATTTCGGGGCTTTTTTAGTGTCCCCGCAGCCCGGTCCTCGACCAGGCCTCCACCCCCAGGAAGCAGCCCGTGACAGCTGACTAACACCCAGGTACCTATTTTACTGCTAGGTAACAGGGGCATAGGGTGAAAGAAACTCTGCCCATTGTTTCTCGCCGGCGCCCGGGATCGACCCCGGGACCACAGGATCACAAGTCCAGCGTGCTGTCCGCTCAGCCGACTGGCTCCCACTGATTGAGTTATTGAGAAAATATGATGATGAATAACCCAAATGGTTCCAGTAACCGAACTGAAACCTAAATCCAAGGTATGACAGTTTATTAGAGGCACAAGATAAAGTGGTGCAAATTTTCCACTTATGTCCATATTAAACTCCCAACCAATATAATGTGGGATGCCTTTAACTCATTTATTTCACTATCACTGATAAGACTAGGCAGAAGTCAGCAGCTGATGTCAATTTTTAATTCATAGTTAGCAGATACTGCATAGCTATCCTAAGCAAATATCATTTCTCAATCATATTTACCACTCCTTACTAGCTTCAATACAAAAATACAATAAATTTTGGGGTATTGAGACCAGTTCTTGGAAATGAATTTTACTTACCACAGCTGGATGCCATGATCTGAGTCACTGCATGGGCATTGGACACAAGCTGGGCTATGTGCCTCATTATTGCAGAGGCAAGATGAGCTACATCAAGGCAATCCTCATTCATCATCTCAACCTCATTGTGTTTTGGGAAATCTGTTTTGTCCAAAACTGCAGTTGCCAAAAGAATTGCAGCCTAAAAGTCAAAACATTGATTATAAATGGTGCAATTTTTCTGTAAAATTATTATCTTTATTAATATCCTTAGTTTTCTTATTAATCATATTTGATAGTATACAGAATAATTATTCAAATCTTTACATTTATAAATAACATGATCTTATAGTAATTAGCTCAGGCAACAGATTACAGTATACCCTTTCTGCTCGTAGATTCCGTATTTATAGTTTTAGCCTTCTATGGTTAGCAACACTCCATACTGTATTTGCACAAATATAAGCAGCAGTGTTTTTCACCATAAAACTCACAAAGGTAGGGAGGGGTGCATCTTACAATAGAAAGCAAAACTAATGAAAGTAGACACAAAAAGCAACATCAACACATGCTTCAACAGACAATATAAGGAAAGAATGTATAAGAGAAGGCATGGAAGAAGTACATGACACAGAGTGCCAAGACAAACAGGAAGAGACACTTCTCCTATATCCACCCTCTGATTGAGAGCATGCAAGAGATACTAATCCTCAGAAACTTCAACAGGTAGTCAAGGTATCAGGGATATATATAAATTAAGGAAACTCAACCTAATCACACCAAAAGAAAGGAGGACCAGAGATGATATACTCACAAAACTTAAGATACTGAGAGAAGCTGATGTAGTAGATAAAGAAAGTCGACTCCAGGAAAGGGAACAAAATGAGTAAAAAAAAATGGCAACTCAAATGAATCAGAAAAATATAAAGAAATACTTTTATTCACTGTAGATGGTAACTAGATGGAACATGGTTGGAAGTAGGAGTCATAAAACTTAACTCAATTTACAAATTTAAGCTGAAGTTTGAAAGAACACGAGATTGTCGAGAAGTGGAAAAGTATCAGGCATAAAAGCTGAGAGATGGTGCTTTAGAACCAGATATCACCACTCCCTATAGACACAGGGATGCCCAAAATACAATGCGTGTTAGTGGCTCTGCAAGAAAGTAAGAACACCAATGTTATGTACTCTCACAAACCCAATGTACCATCTTGTAAATAAATAAATAAAATAATGTGTTCATACAGAAAAGCTCATACACTCAGCAAGCCCAACTCTAACTCAATTCGGCATTATTAGTAAGAGCCAAACACTTGGTTAAGTCTGATTAAGTGCATTTAAAAATATAGCTCAAAATCAGACATATTCTAGATGTATTCTACAAAACTGGATGCTTGTTACGCAATAGGATAATACTGTATGATAACAGGATACACAATAAGCAAGATGAATGTTTATTCTAACCACTAAGTTTAAAAGTGAACACACACATAAGTCCACTACATGCAATCTACTACAACAACAGCAACAGTAACCTTAGCCAAATAGGCTGAAGCTCACCAGGCAGTACTGAAGCTGATCCTCTGGGAGACAGCTATCAAAGTGCGGCATGAGATGATACACTGCTCGATATCCCTCACATACATCATTACCATTATAAACACCATTTTCTCCTACTCCTTCTACTCTGCCTTCTATTGCTTCATTTCTGAAAAGACAATATCTTATGTCTAGAAGAAATCAAATGCATAAACTAACAGAATGTTATGCACACTAGTTACAATTTATATTGAGGTGTGTGAGAGAAGACTGTTAAAGGTGGATGTGGAGAAAAGTAAAGTTACAGTAGTGGAGAAGGAAATTGTGTGTGGAAAAAAAACATGAACAGTGGCGTTGTCAAAGTGTTAGATCAATTTCAATACAGTTGTTTTACTGGCAAAAAAAAAAAAAAAAATGTACAATCAAATTTCAGAGAAGGAATGCCTGGTGCAATAAAAACCTTGATTAGAAAAAAATAAGAAAGGAATAGGTCCAGCCATAGGTTTTAATGAAGGGGGGGTGGCAGTGCTGCCTTTTATACATGATTACATGATAACGGTGTGGCATTAATGTGAAAAATCAAGTTAGAGCAGCAGAAATAAACAATTTGCAAAGTATGTGTGGTGGTAGGAAAATATAATAAGGAATGAATGTCATGGAGAGATATGGAGAACAAAATTTAAAAACTTCAAGATTGAGAAGAGAATACCAAGGTTTATGCATATTAAACAAAATGGATAATAGACTGGTGAAGTGTATTTAAATGATTTTGAGAGAAGAAGAAAAAGACAAAGACCAGAAAAGTGGATGGACATGGTGATTATGAGAGAAAGCAGGGAGACAGTGCGAGGACAACATATTGGTGAGTGGCTTAGAGTAAATATATTTGTATGTAACATGACAATTCATGAGTAATACCAACCATCTGGTCTTATGAAGTGGTGGGTGATGCTGAGGATAGTTTCTAAAGCATGGCAGTGCTGCTTTATTTGTGATGGTACATACTGTATTGTGACTGATATAATAAATGGCCAAGTGACTTGTTAATGTTTTAAAATTGAATATCTATAGCCTTCCTTTTAATGTATTTCTTTCCTTTTTCCATGGGTGTGATTCCAAGTCCCATGAAAGTAGGAAATAAGGTAATAATTTTCATTACCTCATTTGTTTTTGTCAGAGCGCAAATGGGGAGCATGGAAAAGGGGAAGGGGGACCTCTGACAAGCCGCCGACTTCCTGTTCTCATCGAGGTCGCTAGTGTTAATGGGCCTAAGGTAAATTCATGTGATGATGTATGCATATAAACACTTTAAGTACTAACAAGTCAAAGACCCACATACCTAATATTATCCCAAGATCTTGGATGCCACTATAATACACATTTGAAAAGCTTCCTTTGAACTTAAATACAGTAATACCAAACAAATAGGCAAGTACAGTACTGTATTTCATATAGCAATTATATATATTTTGTACAAAAGAAAACCAGAATTATTATTATCTGAAGCTTGATGTTGTAATATACAAAAAGTACTGTATGTGTGTTTCCATGTCGCTTATGTGTGACAGTATACAGGCATTATACAGCATTGTTTTCTCCTTCAATGATATTGTGGAATGGCAAAATATGATGCATACAAATTCAAATCACAAATTTGAATGAACATAATTACCTGATATCACAAGTATGCTTCCATCCTGTAACAAGAATAACTCTGACAGCAAGATGAGCAATTCCCACTGATGATAATATATGAAGAATACCACATTCATATTGATGCCAGGCTCGTCCTAACTCGCGGCATTCTTCCTTACAGAACACAGCATCACAACAATATTTGCACCTGACAAAATATATTTCAATAACAATTATATTCAAAATTTATTAAAAAAAAAGATATTAAAAAATTATATTAAATGTACACTTATGTGAAAAATATGAGCCAAAGAAATAGCTAATTAACCACTTTACTGCAAAGAGCACCCTAAGCTGCTCTAAGAGTTGCGCTATTTTTATTAATTAGGCTATATTTTAATGTTTTTAATGTTTTCATCACTCTTTGTGTTTTCAAATGAAAATGGTTGAGTTTGGAAACATTGACATTAACTTTAACTGAACATTTATAAAAACAACAAAAATATGTCCTTGACAATTGCACTATGAAGTTTTTGCCAAAACCAGGTGCGCAGTGAGGTGGTTAAGTTAAGCTAATCCTTGAAATAACAAACCAAGATTATGAAGCTAATGGAAGTAATCTCACACTGCCTGACAAATAACAAATATTATCTTGATAGGCTTTTAAAATTAATGGAAGATTAGTAGATACAGTGGTACCTCGAATAACGATCCCCTCAAATGGCGAACATTCTGGGTAACGACCGACCCAATTGCCGACAATTTGTCTCGTATGGCGACCGCTCGTTTGAATAACGACGACACCACATGGCGGGGTCGGCCTGCTTCTTGCACATTCTCGGACGCCTCCGACGATGCAAATAAATTATGTTGTTTTTGTTTAAAAATGCTAATGATGCTGGGATATAAAGGGGTGACTGCTAAGATGTTGCAAAGCATTGACTTTTTTGTAGAAAAAAAGAAATGAAATTTTTTGAAATACTGTACAACAAATGTCAAAAATGTTCATTCAGTGTTCGGCAGGTAGGCTGCTCCATGTTTCTTAAATAAAAAAAAAATGAATAATTTTGAAAAACAGAACAAATTTCAAAAAGATTCGTTCAGCGGTCGGCAGGTAGGCTGCTCCATGTTTTTTAAATAAGAAAAAATACGAAAAATAAAAAAAACAGTTGAAACAATTTGATAAATGGACAAGTGCCATAAAGGTTCATTCAGTGTTTATCGGGTAGGCTGCTCCATTATTGAGACGTAAATGAAAAATATAAACAAATGAAACACATTTGAAACAAAGAAAGATTACTATAATGGAGCAGCCTACCCGACAAACACTGAACGAACCTTTATGCCATTTGTCTGTTTTTCAACCGTTTTTTTTATTTTTTATTTTTTTTTTATTTAAGAAACATGGAGCAGCCTACCTGCCGACCACCGAACGAACCTTTTTGACATTTGTTCTGTTTTTCAAAATTATTTATTTTTTTTTTTTTGTTTCTTTTATTTAATTAACTTGGAGCAGCCTACCTGCAGAACACCAAATGGTGTTTCATTTTGCTGTAAGATAAATGAAATTTTTTTTTTTTGACAAATTTGAAGAAAGAAAAACGTCTTAAATGTTTGTTCAGTGTATGTAAGGTAGGCTGCTCCATTATTTAAAACATCAAATATCATATTGATGTTTTTCGGTGGTAGAACGGATTAATTTGATTTCCATTATTGTCAATGGGGACATTCGTTTTGTATGACTTCAGTTTCACATGACGATCACCGCGCCGGAACGGATTAAATTCATTATTTTAGGTACCACTGTATACTGTAATGCTGAAAACTGTAGGGATCTAAACCTAGGTAATGATTATAATTTCCAGATATCAGCTAGATAGCATTGCAATTGAAAATTTGAATGCAAAGAGATCTTTGAATCATGATTAGTAGTCAACTTAACAGTTCCGCACTCCCGGCGGGCCACCCACATCGCACCAGTAGGTATGCTGAGCATTGCTGGTGAGCACACAACCCAATGTTAAACCCTTTCACTTACAATGTTTATACTTGGTAATAAGAACAATTTATGCATGACGCCGTTTGCATCATCACGCAACTCTGCGTGTATTGTTTTAATGACGTAGAGTGTCATCAGGGAGCGAAAGTGTTAAGAAAATATAAATGCCTAATGTACAGAACAAGGCAAATACGATACTGGGATTTATTTCTACACATGTTAGAAATAAAATATCTAATGATACTCTTCAATTTAATCTTGTCATTATTTGTCCCATTTAGATTATACAGTTAAGTTTTGGTCGCTGCATTGCAGAATGGATATAATTTCACTTTTAAAAGTACATACAGAGAAGGATGACAAATTTAATTCCAGGAATTAGAAACCTCCTTTATGAAGAGATTAAAAAAAAAAATTAATTTACATTCTCTGGAAAGGCAAAGAGTAAAGGGATAACGTGATTGAAGTACAGTACAGTCTCGATTCAACAAACTATATGGGACCAACCCCAATTCATTGAAGTAAAGGATGAGTTGTAGCCGGAGATGCCTCCAGGATGCATTCCCACACCCTATGGGCTACATTTCACTTAGCAATATTTTAATTTTAACCTATAATAGACAACTACCAAATGAGCATGCCTGCAAAAATATTTAACCACAGCTTAATTTCGATACACAGGATCTTCGATCTGGAAGATCCTGTGTATCGAATTTACTCAGTTTCTATGATCGAGCCACAGAGATATTACAGGAAAGAGATGGTTGGGTTGACTGCATCTATCTGGACCTAAAAAAGGCTTTCGACAGAGTTCCACATAAGAGGTTGTTCTGGAAACTGGAAAATATTGGAGGGGTGACAGGTAAGCTTCTATCATGGATGAAAAATTTTCTGACTGATAGAAAAATGAGGGCAGTAATCAGAGGCAATGTATCAGAATGGAGAAATGTCACAAGTGGAGTACCACAGGGTTCAGTTCTTGCACCAGTGATGTTTATTGTGTACATAAATGATCTACCAGTTGGTATACAGAATTATATGAACATGTTTGCTGATGATGCTAAGATAATAGGAAGGATAAGAAATTTAGATGACTGTCATGCCCTTCAAAAAGACCTGGACAAAATAAGTATATGGAGCACCACTTGGCAAATGGAATTTAATGTTAATAAATGTCATGTTATGGAATGTGGAATAGGAGAACATAGACCCCACACAACCTATATATTATGTGAGAAATCTTTAAAGAATTCTGATAAAGAAAGAGATCTAGGAGTGGTTCTAGATAGAAAACTATCACCTGAGGACCACATAAAGAATATTGTGCAAGGAGCCTATGCTATGCTTTCTAACTTCAGAATTGCATTTAAATACATGGATGGCGATATACTAAAGAAATTGTTCATGACTTTTGTTAGGCCAAAGCTAGAATATGCAGCTGTTGTGTGGTGCCCATATCTTAAGAAGCACATCAACAAACTGGAAAAGGTGCAAAGACATGCTACTAAGTGGCTCCCAGAACTGAAGGGCAAGAGCTACGAGGAGAGGTTAGAAGCATTAAATATGCCAAAACTAGAAGACAGAAGAAAAAGAGGTGATATGATCACTACATACAAAATAGTAACAGGAATTGACAAAATCGACAGGGAAGACTTCCTGAGACCTGGAACTTCAAGAACAAGAGGTCATAGATTTAAACTAGCTAAACACAGATGCCGAAGAAATATAAGAAAATTCACCTTCGCAAATAGAGTGGTAGACGGTTGGAACAAGTTAAGTGAGAAGGTGGTGGAGGCCAAGACCGTCAGTAGTTTCAAAGCGTTATATGACAAAGAGTGCTGGGAAGACGGGACACCACGAGCGTAGCTCTCATCCTGTAACTACACTTAGGTAATTACACTTAGGTAATTACAGCTTATTTCTCATGTCCCTAGCCCCAAAACTTATTTTCAAAACATTGCAGGGCCATGCCATGCATAACATTCTGTATACATGAGTGAGTGTGGGCAAAAGTAGAAGCTGCCTTGCATGGACCAATAGATCTTTTGTAGGTTTCTTTATCTTTAAGGTCTTATAACATGGTCACCACAGACAAGAGTCTCAAGAGATATTGATAACATTAAGCAAGCTACGATGTTTGAAAAGGGTGGGTCCTGGACAAGGGAGGAATAAATTAAAATTGACACCAGAATGAGCCATGAACCAGAGATAAAACCTGTCAAGGCATTTCTCCAGTATGAGGTGTAGTGAGAAATATACAGCACTAGAAGAGGAAGTAGCAGTGATGCACTACATATGTGGAATCAAATGTAAATACAGTACTGTAAAACAAAATGCATGGGATTGGGGAAGCATCTCACCAGTCAATTAATGGCTCAAAACTAGAGCTCAAGAGTTTAAGCTGAATCTCTTATAAGCAAAGATGAGTACAGTTAGATTAGTACAGGTACACACTTTTTAGATTTCTTTCTAAACTGGTTTTAAATACAAGATATGAAAATACATCTATGTATTTTTTTTTTAATTTTAGGGTTTCCTCCTTGCTTCTTTGTCCTTGTGTATGGCAAACCTACTGCAAACCCATAGCAGCTGTTTTACCAGTGTGAGAATAAACCAATATATGTCCTTTTTTAACATATTTTGTGTTCTGCTGTTAATGAAAATTCAAAGTTTCAAGTTTTTAAAATGCTTAAAGAATTTAAAAAATTACTATAATACAAACAGTAACGAGAAAAATGACAACAAACTAACATGGCATCTGGTCAACATACGGCACAGGATTGGTAGCTGGAGTAAAGCAATTATGACAATGTGTGCTGTGGTATTCTGGAAGAAGGATCGCTGCATATGGCTTCTCTACAAACACTACAGACCCCTTGCTCACAGCATCAGTAGCAACAATGTGACGACCATACTTCTCACTTGTTCTGTGGGAAATTATGCGGGACTCAGAAATTTTGGCTAAAAATTCCTGAAATAAGATTAAAACCATACATGTATATACATGAAACCTACATTTTAATTATGGATTATAAACAAAAGTTGTGGAGTACACACAAATAAATAATATAAAATAAGAGTTCAGTGAAAATATAAAAGCTACTCTTTGAGCAAAGCATTTGACTGCTCCCATAGCCAATGTTCTGGTGTTTCCATGGACAGGACTATGCACAGTCCTGGCAGGTCAATATAGTATTTAACACAGACAACATGAATACTGTACATCTAAATGTCCCAACCAGTTAATGCTGTTGTAATACACATTAAAAGAATTTTCAATTCAGTCTGAATCAGCATGTAAAGTGAACTGAGCACTACAAAGACAAATAACTTTGCAAAGTGTCTTGTACTGTAATCCAGGAGCATAGTATACAGTCTGGCAGGATGAAATTCTAGGTAATTACTTTACCCTAATCCACCCATGAGAATGACCACTTGCTATGACACCAAAGAACATAACTCACCATCACCCCCCACTTCCCCGCCCAATTCTAAACAATTATTGACATCTCGTAATTAGCCTAGAATTGCTCTAAAATTGCATAATTACCCTTAAACTGACTGTCAACAGATTACAGCACTAGCTAGTACTACAGTACTGGAATGAAACTATATATACAGTACAATACACACAGAAATCACAATAGTGAAACATCAAATGAACAAATCCACAAGGGCCAAGAGTCAAATAAGTGGCAAAGTCAATTAAGGCGCATCTGGGATCATCCCGGACATAGGTTTGTACCCTCATCACGGCCCTTGTAGATTTGTTTATATATAGTACAATTTAATGGAAAATGGTCCCCACATGCCTACCTAAGGTTCCACTGTATATCTAAGGTATACAGTGGAACCATACAGGTATGGTTCATAGCTGATCTAGCTTTCTTCTACTGCCTCTAAAACCTTGTCACATAGTGTTCTTAGTGCAAAGTTAAAATGGCAGTTCTCGAATCTGCATGTATGATAACATGTTGTCGGTGCTCAGCAAGAGCATGTTCCTAAGCCTTTTGAATGGCTAGCATCTCTGTAAAGTTGAACACGTTTGAGAGTCTCCAACTATTTACAGAGTTTCCTGCCTTAACTGCAGCTCCGGTTTCTTGTCCCTGCTGGTCTACTGATCCATCTGTGAAGTATGTGAAGCTGTCAGACACCATTAATGACTGCAGGATACTTGAAAAGATCCTTCTGGCATCAGTGCCTAGAATGTCATCCTACCAGACTGTACATCAATATGGTCTATGTCAAAAAGATGGATTCTTAGGTGGACATGGTGGATCCTTACAATACCTTACAGAGCAATCAAGTGGATTAGTTAAAAAATATACAGTACTGTATACCATAATAATTCATCCTAATATATATCTTACCTCATTTCAAATACACTCGTCATGTACTTGACAACTGCATTCTCCCCCTTAAGCAATGAAGGGTGACCTAAAACTTCTTGCCTATTGGTCTGATTAAAACCAGAAGAATCCATTTTTTTTTCTAGGTCTGCTACTGTCTTTTCATATTTTTCTGAAATATGACATGTCTGATAAGTAAAAAGTTAATATAATTGCAAAAGAAACAATTATCTGCTCTCCTCACTCATTATTAAAATAGTTATAGATACAGAATTATGAGATAGGACAGTCAGTTTACAAGGATAATTTTTTGTTTTAAGTTTACAAATATTATACTAGAAGCACTAGTTACACTTACATATTAAAAAGTGTTACAGTAGAAAAATCTTTATATATACTTACTGTACAGTGGAACCTTGGTTTATGAATGCCCTAGATTATGAATTTTTTAGTACACAAAGTCAATTTCCTCATAAAATTTGACTTCGTGTATGAAGTTTGCTTCGGAATATGAGTCATCTGTTGATACTGTACATGGGTCAAGCACTTGGTTCTGCTGGGCACGGGGCGAGCACGCTCAGTTTACCAGTGTATCCCACCTAGTGATGATGAGCTTGAATTCTCTGTGAAGAATTTCATTGTTTTTCTGCTTTTTTGGCTTCTGAACATAAAAGTTCTTATTATATATCAAGCCATGGGTCCCAAGAACATCAGTGGTAAAGTTCAACCTAAGAAAATAGTGAGTAGAGGCAGTAGAGGATGTCCCTTCCTCATTAAGAAAGTGTGTGCAGTATGGGAAGACCTCCAAAGTTTTGTTGAAAAAACTCACCCAGATAAAGCTGAAGCAGGCTCTTGCATTAACCTTTTTAATGACAATTTGATGTCTCACTACAGACAAGTGTTAAAACATAGGGAAAAACAAGTGTCTATAGACAGATTCTTAGTAAGATAAGCAAGCAGTGAGCCACAACCAGGTCCTAGTACCCCAGAAATGTCATCACTGCCTGATGTTACAATGGAAGGGGACTCCCTTTCCAAACACTAACATCTCTCCTCCTCCCCCCTCCTCACCGTCTTCCATACACCAACAAGAGTCTTCAATAAAGGTAAAGTATACTAAAAAAAATGTGAGTATTATTCGGTATAAAATGTACAGTATTTTTAAGTTAATATTTTTTTGTGTGTGGAACAGATTAATTAAATTTTCATTATTTCTTATGGGAAAATTCACTTTGGTTTACAAATTTTTGGTGTACGAACCATCTCGGAACAGATTAATTTTGTAAACCAAGGTGCCACTATACTGTATATTGCTAGATGGGATACCCAGCGGTGCTGTGTCTGTCTCATCCCCTCCCTCCATCATCTCTCTACCAATCTTCCCACCCCTCCTCTCCTCTACTCTCCAATTTCCCCTCTCCACCTGTCCCTTAACATCCCCCTCTCCTCTCAGACCTCTCTTTCCCTTTCCTCACCCACCCCACCCCCTTTCCTCCAATATGGTAATATGGTATGAAATGAGCATTACAGTTTATTTTATGACACAGTACAAACCAAAAGCTGAAAAGGTGTTTATTTTATGGAAGGATAATATAAAACCAAATATTACTGCATCAAGTTTTCATTCATTAATTCGTGCATTATCACCACCCTGTTCCCCACATTCATGAGACAGGGAGGCATCAGCCCACAGAAAACAGTGGGAGTAGCATAGAGAAAATAAAAATGATCACTTGTCTACTTACTACCAGTATATCACTCACACTCCAGCTATCATCCATAGCAGCTCTTCACTGCTTCATAAAACCAGATGTACACTGCTCCTTGTGAAATATTAACTAAAGTACAAAAATAACATTCACTTCCTACTTAGAAACTGATTCCACCCAGATTTGTTTCTTACCACATCCTGTCATTATTTACACTGAATCCCCATATCCTCACACCATGTCTGCCCAACTTCTCAGTCTTCCTCACCTACTCTCAAGTTCACTCAAATACACTTTTACTACCAGTCTACCATCATTCATTTTTTTAGTATGTCCAAACAATCTCAGTAGGCTCTCCTCAATCTTGAGGTATTTTAACTTTTACATCTCTCTCCGTGACACTTTCATTCCTTAAACTATCTATTTTCCTAACACCACACATGATTCTCAGATTGTCTATTTCCACTGTTCTAATTATTGACTTTCAAAAATTCATACCACACCATCTTGCATCAATTAACCAGAGTTTTAACTAGCACTCTTTCATGCAGCCATCTGGCTGCAAGTTAAAGTACTATACAGTGTTGTACATAAATAAACATGTGTTGTTCAAATGGGAATAATTCATGAGTTAAACACTTAACAAGGAGAAATGAACTTGATTTGAAATATTAAATTAGTTACCCTTAGAGTCTGGAGAAACAAGTTCAGAATGCCTCTTACACACTTCTAAACTTGCTTTGGCGTGATCTTCTTCACCCAGGATTAAATAACAGTGACAGCGACGAGTCAACAACTTGTGTCGAAGCGCTGCAGGGTATCCACATTCTTCGGCTCGATTCATATCTTGGAGAGCTTCCTGCAGGTGAATACAACTAAGGTTTATAGAGCTGAGGTTTACTTCGGTTCTGTCTTCCACTGTTCTGTGATGGAAGCTTTTTTATTTACTAAAAATTTAATAAATCTCCAATGAATAAATACAGTAGTTTGAGACTGTCCTGTCAATCTACCTTCATACAAAGACTAGGTGTCGTTCTTTGACTACCTGTCATTGCAGGAGGCATGTAACCATTGTAAGTTTATTCTGCTGTCACAATTTGTATATTGCAGCTTTTTTATTTATATCCTTTGAGACAGCCACTATATTTATTTTGCCAAACAACATTTCAGCTCTACGTGTAATCGACAATTATAAGATTCAAGATAATAATCAAAAACCTTTAAATGTGAAACAATTTTACATATATCATACCTCATATTTACCCATTTGGAAAAGTACAGCAGAACGATTGGCATATGCTAAAGGTAACAGTGACGAGTCTGCTGGTGCCAAGCGCAAGCATTCAGTGAAGTTCTTAAGAGCCTCTGCGTCCTTCTTTTTAAGATAAGCCTAAAAAAATCAAATTACAATATATCTTCTTGTCCACTCATTAACAACAAAATAAGTAATAGCCAAAATTATGTAACTTATAATCACATACAAAAAAATTATAATACATTTTAAGTTAACACTGTTGCAACATTGATATATCAACACCATAAGTACTGTACCACAGAACTGTCCTGTGCTATAGTTAAGTACTGAAGGCAGCATTGGAAATACAGTACAATATTTAGAATCTACACTCCTGCCTGGGAATAGAATTGGAGAAAAGCATGTGTTGGCATAGAAACAGTTGAGGTAAAATTAACAAGGACAGAGACGGGCCTCAACATAATTACTGGCTTATTTGTGAACTACACAAATAGAAGCAGTCTTGGAAACAAAATAAAAAATTTAAATGCTAGATAAATGCAGAAAACAGGGAATCATTAGCTGAATATCAAATTAAGTGATTCACAATATTTCAAACAGATAGACATTGGATGAGGAGGGGTAGAAGCAATATATATATCAGGGAAAATTTAAAATGATTGCCAATGAGGGACTCAAAGCTGGGCCACATACACAAACTATTTGGTTTAAATGAAATTAAAATAATAGTCTAATAATAGGAGTTATATACAGGCCACCAAACTTATGTTTGGTGTTTATGTTATGGGTGACTAACTTTAGTCAAATAAACTGGACTGACAAAACAAAAAATACCAAAGCCGGAGATTGTTTTAATTCAGTGGCAATTGTTTCCTTAAACAACATTAAGGAGCCAATAGGAGAAAATAATATTTTAGACTGTGTTCACTAACAAGTTGACTCAAATAAATTATATCAAAATAGGGCATGAGCTAGGAAACAACAGCAAAAGGAAGTCAGATTTAACACAGAATGGAATAGATGTTTAATGATTAAGGAGTTTCTTGGAAAGGATAGATTGGATAGACTTAACATGGGAGGTGCGCTGCTGTTGGAACGTGATGTGAACCTGGCAGTGGGTTGCATGACAAACAATAACAATGTCGATTCAGATTATAATTTATTTAAAAATATTCTTAGTAAAGCCCAAAAATGTAGTGTATACCTTATAAATTATTACACTGAATACCAATGACCTCAAATAGATAATCATGGGCCTAAAGAACCTTACAGGTAAAAAGAACGTTTTGCACTAAAGGATTAAGAATGTGGAAGTCAATCTAGAACAAAAATTTGTCAAAGTAGTTAGAAATGCTAAAACAGAAATAGGGAAAGTAAAAAGAAACTATGAAGTACATTTAGTAGGGCAGGCAAAGACAAATCCGAAGAGGTTTTTCAATTGCTGTATATTAACCCTTACACTGCTCAGGGGTCCTTGGGACATTTACACCCCTGTGCGCAAGAAAAAAAAAAATAAAATTTTTTTTTTCGTCTTCTAAACATGTTAATTTGTGTCCCCTGAGCACGGAAAAAATAAAAAAAAATCGTAGGTGACATATTTTGGGCGCAATTGACCGAGGAAGTCTGGCAAAAAGTGGGCATTGACAGAGCGGTCGTCAGACCCGGTCAGCGTCACCCGCGTTGACAGATGGGAGTTGCCACAAAGATATTATTACCTAATTGTTTCAATGTCTCCGATAGATTTTTTCTTAGTTTTTTTGCAGTAATATTATTCAATAGTGTGTATTGTAATATATTTATATAATAAACGTGGTTAATAATCGCTATACTCAAAAGTATGATGTGCATATTAGTGATTCAATTATTATGTTTATAAAACAATAAACAAATAGTTTTGCTGCTATTACACTCTATACACAGGTTATATATAAGTATTGGCATGTTTTGGTCACCATAACGAACCACTAAGTTGGTATTGAGAGTCGAAAAGCAACGAGGAGTTACCGCCACAAACCAGCCAGCCACTCGCTGCCACTCCCTCAACACACGCACTAAACTTTCTCCCCCAACAATACCATTTGTGGTGTTATTACACTATATACAGACGTTATATATAAGTATGTATATATTTTGTTCACCACAACTGTACAGCTAAGCTGATATAGTTAGTTCAGGCACTAAGAGTCGTCGCTATACACAGATGGCGGCTGACGGCTCCCTCACTCTTTCAAGGTCACACGCACTAAACTTTCTCCTCCAACAATACCTATAGCAGTGTTATTACCCTATATACACATATTATATATAAATATCTACATGTTTTATGCACCGTAACTGTACACCTAAGCTTGTAGTGCGCCCAAAGAGCATAGTGGCCACCCTCTAAACAGCTAGACAAATCGTGCAGACGACGTCACCTCCGTCACCCATATGGCTCCTCCCAGCATAATCCTTTTGCTGTTATTACACTAATACACACATTATATGTAAGTATCTACATTTGTGTTCACCATAGAGAACCACTGACCTGGTATGGTGAATGCAAACAATAACAGGTGGCCACACAGTCAGTAAACGATGCTGTCTCCCTCCGTCTCTCAGCATCACTCCTCCCACAGCGCTAATTATTACAACAATCCTGCTATTATCACAACACTGGTTATTTATATCACAGTCATTGGTCATCTGTAATATTGTCATCGCTAAATAATAACAATTATATATTTATTTTGACATTTTTCGGCAATGCTGTGGTCACAAGCTGAACATCAATGCTGTTCGCTCATGCTGCGTGCGCCGGCCTTGGTTGCTCGAACAGTACTGTGCCTCTCACACCTGAGAATATTGCCCACGATTTTTTTTTTAAATGGCATCTGTTTACAAGAGCCCTGAGGAAGCTACTGTGAACCCCGTGTAGCCGCGGGCCATTTGAATCAGGCCTGGCACCCTATGGCGTATATATACGCCATGCGCACCATGGGACATGTTACTCAGGGCGTATATATACGCCATGCGCAGTTTAAGGGTTAAGCAAAGATTAGAGAAAAAACTAGGGCATTAAAAATTGAAACAGCTTAGATAACTAATAATGAAAAAGAAATAAAAGAATGTGAAGGAAAGGCCCAATACATGTGTACAGTAAATGTATTAATTAAAACTAAATTTTTGGATAAAACCTACATCCTTTCTCAAGGTACTGTAAACAATTTGATTTTTTTTTTACAGCACTTTGAGAAAGGATGTAGGTTGGATCCCCCCCAAAAAATTTAATACACTTACACATACATTGAATCTTTCCTTCACCTTCATGTTCATTCAAGCAACTGAATGCACATTATAGCAAATTTCTCCAAAGAAATTAGTAGTATTTTATGTGTCATGTCTGCATTTACTAAAGAAGAATTAAACATTATGCCTTCAGCTGAATCAATCTACTGTATATTGGTAGTGAAGAGGACTCCTGTTGATTATCTGTTGATGATTCCGAGGATCAACGTCCCTGCGGCCTAGTGTCTGACCAGGCCTCCTGGTTGGTGGTCTGGTGAACCAGGCTGTTCAATGCAGCTGCTCACAGCCTGAAGAATGAGCCACAGCCTGGTTGATCAGGTATCCTTATGTTATTTTAAAAACAAAGACATTTGAAAAAATGTGCTGTAATTTAACTGAAAGACAAACCTTTGATCCTATATTTTTGGCTTGCATGGCTAATTTCTCAGATTTTCCATGGTCATCACACTTTTCATAGAGGGCATCCAGGAGATCCTTAATATCAGTCCTGAAAGAATGAAAGCATAAATAATTTGCTCTTCACATTTTAGGTATTTGCTACATACATTTGATAGTACAATACTAACAGATTTACACATGACTGCAACACACACACACACCTATATTTTCCCAAAACTAAACTTTAAACAAAATTCCATTTTACTACTCACACTCCAACAATACCTTAATTCATATAAACATGCTAGCTATATTAGAACATACCTGTATTAATGAACAAAACATTTCAAATAATTTGACCCCCCCTAGGGTCAAATTACTGAACCTGCCGAGGATGAAGCCCCACAACAAGCTAATGTTGTAGCACCTGCGTAATAACTCCTGAGTATCTAATTACTGCTAGGTGAATAGAGGCAGTAGGTGAAAGGAAATGTGCTCAACCATTTCTGTCCTGCCTGGGATTCGAACCCGAAATTTTCGATTGTGCATCGAGAACGCACCCAACGGTACTACCGAGACCCCAAGTGTCTTAGTGTAGTCTAGGGTCATACACTCGTGGTTAGGCTACAGAAGAAGTACAAATTATATGCTCGTCAAGCCTCTAAAACAGGCTGGACTCGCGCCTAATTATCAACCTACCTGATGTTAATTTTCATATCTGAATCGTATATTATTTCAGATTCCAGAACAAATTTGATCTTTTCCAATGGAGATTTTTTCTTAACGAAGTGGTTGAGAGCGCCAGTCTTGAGGACTACGTGTGTGAGGCGATCAAACAACGGCTGGCAGTTATACATCTCCATCTCTATTTGCATATAATTACTGGGATATATATATATGTATATGAATTATAACACACAAATCATACACGTGGGACTTCTTGATACACTGTCTTTTAAAGGTAATCTTCGCTGCCACACAACATCAGTTACAACCAACGGCCACCTCCAGTGTGGTGCATGGCCTGGGGTCCTGGTGTCTCAGGGGTCTAGGGGGTCCTGGTGTCTCAGGGGTCTAGGGGGTCCTGGTGTCTCAGGGGTCCAGGTGTTTCAGGGGTCCTGGTGTCTCAGGGGTCCAGGGGTCCTGGTGTCTCAGGGGTCCAGGGGTCCTGGTGTCTCAGGGATCCTGGTGTTTCAGGGGTCCAGGTGTCTCAGGGGACCAGGTGTCTCAGGGGTCCTGTTATCTCAGCGGTCCAGGTGTCTCAGGGGTCCTGTTATCTCAGGGGTCCAGGTGTCTCAGGGGTCCAGGCATCTCAGGGGTCCAGGTGTTTCAGGGGTCCAGGTATCTCAGGGGTCCAGGTGGCTCAGGGGTCCAGGTGTCTCAGGGGTCCAGGCATCTCAGGGGTCCAGGTGTTTCAGGGGTCCAGGTATCTCAGGTGTCTCAGGGGTCCTGTTATCTCAGGGGTCCAGGTGTTTCAGGGGTCCAGGTGTCTCAGGGGTCCTGTTATCTCAGGGGGTCCAGGTGTCCCAGGGGTCCTGTTATCTCAGGGGTCCAGGTGTCTCAGGGGGTCCATGAGTCCAGTATCTCAGAGGTCGAGGTGCTATTCGAACCCCAGTTGGAAACAGACCCAACTATAGGATGGGTTAACCCAAGTATCGCGCTTCCAAAAGAGTCGCCCAAGTTGGAAAAGACGAACGCTGAAAGAATATTGTTGAAAACATCGTGATAACTGATTAAACCAAAATTATTTATTAGTCAGAAGAAAGACAGAAACGCGATCTATATGTAAAACCTCTATCAGACAAATATTTTAAGTAAAACCGAAGATATTTGTAGTTGTATAAAAGTGGCAGTTTTCATCGCTCGTCAAACTCGAAAACCGCAGCATTCATCTCAGAACCATGCCTATTTCACGCAGATTCCTTAATAAACGTAAGAGTTTTATATGTCACAAGAAAGACAGACATATAAGCTTCGTTCTAAATACCTTACCATGGGCATATTTAAATTTAAAGCGAAGATACGTGTACTTTTATAATAGCCGAGCTCTGACTCCGGACAGATCGATCGACGGAGCAACTCTCTCTCAGAACAATGCTTATTTCACGTAAATTTGTAAATAATAGTAAATTTTTTATATGCCTCAAGAAAGATAGGAATATAAGGCTCATTTTAAACACTTTATCATAGACATAATTAAAGTTCTAATGAAGATTCATGTATTTTAATAATCGCCGAGCTCCGACCCCCGCATAGACTGAGCGACAGAGCAACTCTCAGAAGAATGTTTATTTTACGTAAATTCGTTAATAAACACAAATGTTTTACACGTCTTAAGAAAGATAGAAATATAAGCTTTATTTTAAATACATTACATTAGACATATTTAAAGCTCAAGTGAAGATATATATGTTTTTATAGTGGCGTTCAGTAGCTTTTCGGTCATGGAGTGCAGACGCCTACGCACTTGCCAATATGTTGTGTAATTAACAAAGATACGCTAATAAAGCCTAAAATATTACATGCCTCCAGAAAGACAGAGCTATAATCGTTATTGTGAGTGCATCAAAGGAAATATATCATGTTGGAGACCAATGATATAGCAATTTTAATTTAAGTTTCGAGTCCCGCCCGGTCGAGAGAGATGGGGCGACTCTCGCCCCATCTATTGGAGATTCTGTCCACTAAAGACCCAAATCTACTCAAACCTTCCTAGCATTACGTAAGCAATGAAGTAATATGTTATATTTACTCACTATAATGTGGATGCTGGATGCAGAAAATGAGAAAACATAACTTTACTCTGAAAAAATATCATTTCATAACAAAATAAGATGTAAATATGTAATATCAAAGAAGTCGATGGTCCAAGCAACAATATCGTGGAGCGACTTGTCCAAGATATATTGCTCTCTGGAAAGTGTTTGCTGGCATATCAACCTTCTGTACACAGTGATCCAGTCGTCGAACTTCTCTGCTCAAATTATCGCAAATTTAATTTATGATGTTAACAAGTAGAATGCGTATTTTTAATCAAATCTAACGATATTAACAAGTAGAATGCGTATTTTTAATCAAATCTAACATAACTAGCCAGAAAACGTTAAAGATTATTTAAAAATACATGGTTGGAAGTTAAATCAACTCCATAGAACAATATTTTTGTTATAGATACTAATCGTTATTTGTTGGTATGCGTTCGCTACTTAAACTATCATGTACTGTATTTATGTAAAATCTCCCTGTTTCTTCGGACATGGAACACGGAACCTTACGCGCTCTGTGATTTACTTTTTAATAGAGATTCACAAATAAGCTTATGATTGTATACGTTATCAAAAAGGCAGTGACAAAGTCAATTTTGCATTTTAATCACAGAGATTAGATCTTAGTGAGATAGGAAAGATATTCATATTTTAAAGAAGGATTTTTGAACCATCGCTCTCCCTATCGATAGTAACTAACTTTTTTTTTTGTTATTATTAACAAGCTTAGGTATACACAGTAATGTCCTGCTACCCTATTCTATATGAAAGATTACACAGTGTATATAAAAAACTAGCTATAAGTTCATTAAATATTCCCATCTCACAGGATGGTTAGTTATACATGGAATCAGGGGATAAAATACCAGCCTCAATAAAAAAAAATCAACTGTGACTAACAAGAACACCACTTACGGGCTATTCATGCCCGTGCTACCTTTTGGGTGGCTTAATCCTCATCAATCAATCACAAGAAACAAGGGATACATCTCCCGTCACGCAGGGTCCAGTCGCACCTCCACAGATCTCCAGTATCATCTATTGATACTGTTAATGGTTCAAGAGGACTACCACTTACGGGCCTACCTCAAGGTAACAATCAGGTGAGAACATAAAATATAAGGCTGATCTATTAGCCTCCGTTAGCAAAATCCGGGTACAGCATAAGAATATCTTCCAATATTCCTAAGTGTATGAAGTAATTACAGAGTTCAAAGTACCTTATACCATTTGGTCTGAAGTCACTTATAACAGGCCAATCACAGATATAGTGTTGGTGAGTATGTCCCAGCTCTTGTTCACATAGTTTACAATTGGAATATTCACCATTGGGGGCTATCTTCAGAGCGAACCATTCCTTCTGAGGATGTATTAATATACGAAAGTACTTAGAGCATTCTATTGTGGTTTTAATATTGAACAATTATACATATACGAAACAGACAAATCTGGTGTCCGAAATAGTAAAAATATTAGTGTGCGATGTGATCAATGTAAGGGGGATATTGGGTGTGCCTCGTATCCCCTACAACAACAAGAGTTCGAGAGCGATGAGGCCGCCACCTACTAGCTTCAGGATGTCGTCGAATCTAAATCAACAATATACTACCGCCGCTACTTTCTCGGAAACGTAAGTACCTGCCGCTTTACTTCTCTCACCCTGCCTAGCCTGGCCTAGCCTAGCCAGACCTGACCAGACCTGGCCTAGCCAGACCTGACCAGACCTGACCTGGCCTAGCCTGGCCTGACCTGGCCTAGCCAGACCTGACCTGGCCTAGCCTTACCTAGCCTAGTCTGACCTGGCCTAGTCTGACCTGACCTGGCCTAGCCTTACCCAACACTAATCACCACACGTGACAGCCCAAACGAATCGCAAATAAGTACACGTAACAAGTCATATGCCCGGACACTCTTTCACCTTGGGGACTGAGTGGTAACTATTGTATAGAAGAGCCGGCTCCCTGAGAGTGGTAAGAGGGCGTGATAAGAGGCTAACGTGTGGTCTTGAAGGAAGTCGATAAAGCAGACAATTTTCAAAAGGAAGGGCAGCATAACGAGCAGACAGGAATGGACAGACAGTCGGTTATCCCATAATGTGTAATACGCCCCGCACAGCATGGGTGGAGTGGGGGGGGGGGGTTGTAGCAGAGCACAGTATGGTGATGGTGCGGGTGAAGTACACACCCACTGAATTCCTGCCATCAATAATTGTTTTCATAACCATTAGAACAATGGCATCCCTCCAGCCACCATCCTTCCACTGACCCCCTCCTCTGGTCCTCCACCTCAGACAATAACCCCCCACACCCCCTCTCCCTTCCAGACATCAGCATGTCAAAATCAGTATCATAATGTGTTTAAACTATTTAAACTAAGTCATTGTGTATCTCAAGGTATCTTAATTCATTTGAAATTGTACATGTGCATTCGTTCATATACTCGCCTAATTGTGCTTGCTGGGGTTGAGCTCTGGCTCTTTAGTTCCACCTCTCAACCGTCAATCAACAGGTGTACAGGTTTCTGAGCCTATTGGGCTCTATCATATCTACACTTGAACCTGTGTATGGAGTCAGCCTCCACCACATCACTTACTAATGCATTCCATTAGATATAATCATATATGATTACACATAATCATAATCATTCTATACACATAATCATATATGTGTACGTCAACGTATACATACATGCGTATATATACCTCATATTAAAATACTGATAAACGAATGACCATGAACAAATTAATTTATAATTGTAGCATTATATATAATTTTAATAGACTAATTACGTGTTTATACATTTGAATGGTCCAGACAGGTGACCAGCCTTGGACATATACACTTCTGGTAGGCACAATGACCTCATGTTAGATCCTTGATAGATTATGTGAGAGAGAGAGAGAGAGCTGGGGCAGGGAGGTGCGTGCCCCAGGGAGATAATCCATGCCCATGCCCCGCCTCGAGGTCAGTTCTCGAGTCACACCAAGAATAACAATCGAGCAAGTTGTCCTGACCAGGATGTGGCATATTAGGGAGGGTTGAGGAATAGGAAGCCTGTCTGATAGGGCTCTTGGCAAGCAGCTCTCCCTCAGTCTACCTATCTATATGGAAGAAATGTATCTAGGCCCTCCTCCCCCCTGCCTATTCTCTCTCCCCCACCTTTCTTCCTTCATTTCCTCCCTCCTTCCCTCCCCCTCACTGGTGAGAGAGTAGGAGTGTGAGAGTAGTTAGAGAACTCGTAGTTCTCACGCTCGTGAAATTGTCTGCGACCCTGGAGGAGTAGAGCGGAGGGGGGGGGGGTGAAAGTAGGTGACGATGGAGGAGTAGAGGGGAGCATTATATGCAGTGAACGTAGGTGTCTATGGAAGAGTACATCATAGAGGAGGGTGAAAGGAAGGTGACGATGGAGGAGGAGAAGGGAGGGGGTGTGAAGGTAGGTGATGATGGAGGAGTAGAGGGGAGGAGGGGGGCAAAGGTAGGTGTCTATGGAAGAGTACATCATAAAGGGGGGTGAAGGTAGGTGGCGATGGAGTAGAGCAAAAGGGGTGGGGGTTGAAAGTAATCCTGAGTTTAATTTTTTAGTTATATATAAATAAATAAATAAATATGTTTATTCAGGTAAGGTACATACTTACATACAAGTGATGTTACATTAATGGATTGATATATAGATAGAGCTAGTACATACAATGCCTAAAGCCACTATTACGCAATGCGTTTTGGGCAAGAAAAACATTAATATCTAGAACTTAATACTAATTGAGCATAAAGAATAAAAAGTGTTGAGAACAAATACAAATACAGATAATAAAAAAAAAAAGGGGGAACATGACTGAAAAAGCAGCACAAATACAATAGGTTGACAAACAGTGGTGATTAAACAAAAA